GGAACAACTCCAGCTGATCTCTTTCCCACTTTTCTTCTTTCTTCCATGGAATTATTGGACATAGTGGTCAAAGGTGCGCTCACCTTTGCTCACACAGTGAAACGCAGGAGGAGAGGGAAACGTGTCGGTGCACTTGTGCGTCTCCGCCAGCGCGAACATCGCACGCCGGTACCTGGAATATTCCTCTCCAACGTGCGTTCACTGTGCAACAAAATGGACGAACTTCCGCTACTTCTGGGGAAAAACAGAGACTTTTCTTCATCCTCTGTTTTATGCTTCACTGAGACGTGGCTGGGTTATATCGATACCGGACTCTGTGCTGCAGCTGGCAGGCTTCCAACTCCTCAGAGCGGATCGTGACACGGAACTCTCAGGCAAATCGAAAGGTGGAGGTATCTGTTTTCATACCAACAGTAGCTGGTGCAATGATGTAACAGTGATCCAACAGCACTGCTCTTCTACTCTGGAATATTTGATCATAAACTGCAAACCTTTTTACTCCCCCCGTGAGTTAGTTTCATTTATTCTGTTTACATTCCACCGCAGGCCAACGTGCAGGAGGCACAGCGCATGCTCGCCGACCAGGTACTGTGTGTGGAGCGGACTAATGGTGCATTCGTTTTGTCCACCTGACTCGATCGCCGAGTCAGTTTCCTGAGTTACGAACCGGAAGTTGCAAATAGAACGCTCCCGAGGACGTATAAAACGACTCGTTAAGTCGTCTGAGCTCAGAGGACCCTTGAGTTCAGTTACCAAGATGGCTACTCCGAGCATCACACGTAGTAAACATTGTGGTTTTCTACTATTTTAAGCACTTTTGTCTTTGTTGTAACCAAATGAAGAAGTCGTACACACAGCACTTCACTGATTCTTCTCTGATTCCCAGACCATCAGCACTGGTTCCCCCCAAGGCTGCGTTCTTTCTCCTCTACTCTTCTCCCTGTACACCAACAGCTGCACCTCCAGTCACCAGTCCGTCACCTCACTCATTGGGCTCATCTTAGGTGGAGATGAGTCCACCTACAGATGGGAGATTGACCATCTGGTGACCTGGTGCAGCCAGAACAACCTGGAGCTAAACGCTGTAAAAACAGTGGAGATGGTTGTGGACTTTAGAAAGAACCCAGCCCCACCCGCCCCCATCATCCTGTGTGACTCCCCAGTTGACTCTGTGGAGTCCTTCCGCTTCCTGGGTACCATCATCACCCAGGACCTCAAGTGGGAGCTGAAGAAAGCCCAGCAGAGGATGTACTTCCTGCGGCAGCTGGGAAAGTTCAACCTGCCAAAGACGATGATGGTTCACTTCTACACCGCCATCATCGAGTCCATCCTCACCTCATCCATCACCAAATGGTACGCTGCTGCCACTGCCATGGACAAGGGCAGACTGCAGCGCATCATTCATGTTAAAGAGTTCGGTCTGTTAAAGAGTTCGGTCTAGACCTGCTCTATTTGAAAAGTGTCCTGAGATAACTTCTGTTATGAATTGGCGCTATACAAATAAAATTGAATTGAATTGAATTGAATTCCGCTGAGAAGGTGATCGGCTGCAACCTGCCATCCCTCCAGGACCTGTACGTCTCTAAGACCCTGAGGCGTGCAGGCAAGATTGTGGCTGACCCCTCCCACAAAAACAGTTTCTTCCCGTCTGCAGCTGGCCTTATTAACAAGGCCCGGACCCCCCACTGTCACTGACTCTTATACCCACCCTGTATATATATGCATTACATTAATGCACTCCCGTCTTCTGGACAGTTTTCCTATCTTTTCTTGTCTTTCTTATCTTTATTTATTTATATATATATATATATATATATATTTTTTTTTTTTTTAAAAAGTACTTTATTCTTGTGTGATTTTTGTGTGACTTGTATATTTTTGTGTGATTTATATATATCTTTTTTTTTTTTTTTTTTGTGTGATTGTATATTCTAAGCACCATTGCACCAAGACAAATTCCTAGTATGTGTAAAAACCTACCTGGCAATAAATCTCATTCTGATTCTGATTCTGATAATGATGGTACTCCGAGAGACTGATATTTTCTGAGGTGGTACGCTCTGTAAAAAGTTTAAGAAACACTTTTTTAAGTGTAACGTCCTGGCAGTGACCAGGAATAGGACCCAATGTGAACAAGCTGGTGCTGATGAATCAGTTATTCACAAAAATAAAATAGGGTTGCAGGGAGGAGGGCAGGTTCAGCTACAAATTCTAGATAGCAGGATGTAAGGTAATGCCTGAATGCAGAACAGATGAGGGAAACAATTGAGCAGGGAAAGCCAAGTAACTGCAGGCCTGTGCAGTGAAGTGCTGATAGGTGTGTAAATGGGCCGGGCAGTCCAGTGATGAGGAGAGGAGAGGAAAGAAAGTCAGGGGGTATCTAGTGGAAGGAGGGCAATGAAAGGAGCTGAGAAACTGAGAAAGTGGCTGAAGAAGAGGAACAATTATAGCGTTTTCCAGCTGGCTCTTCAACCGGTTCCGCTCAAGATTTCTGTAATCTCGGTACTAGTGAAGCAGCCTGCATTTGATGTGTAATCAACAGAGGGCGCTGCACAATGCACAACAACCTGTAGAATATGAGAGAGAGAACCATCTTTTAGGTTTTGAACCAATTTCTTTTTGGTCGAAATGCGGTTCAAAACTAGGTGTGCAAACCAGAACGGAGCCGGTTCCCTGTTGGCCTATTAGAGGCTAAGAATTGTATTATTGATCCACACTCTGTACCAGTTGTTGGCGGTAACAGACCATTTCAATGCTAACTGCACTTGTCTCTAAGGGGTTTTACGTTCCTTCCAAGTGCTATGCTCCATCTAGTGGCCTTTTTGAATATTGCACTCTGTCCATAACACAAGTACAATGAAATTGGCATTCTCATTAGTCCCCTAATGGTCCAAAGGACTTTTTAACTTCCTGAATATACAATTTTTTTGCCCTTACCTTAAAGTCCAGCGTGTGTATGATTTATTGTCATCTAGTGGTAAAATTTCAGATTGCAACTCCTTTGCTTCACCATCCCCGTCCAAGCTTGAAGGAGAAACTACTTTGCCTACAAAACGCTCCTTTCTAGATCCAGTGTTTGGGTTATCTGTTCTGGGCTACTGTGGTTTAACATGGGTAAACACAGCTCAATCTAAGGTAGTGAAAACAAAACACAACAAATCCTATATTCAGGTGATTATACACTAATTAAAATATATCTATGAATGGTATCTATGGTTGCAGTTTACATATTTTCTGAGGGTAAATAATCACTGGTGAATTTGATGAATAGAAAAATAGAAGAAATATAGTTCTTGTTAATATATATGTTCTATAGAAACCACACATTTGTATCATTCACACAAACTTACTATTACAGTAGGGTATTGCACCAGAGACAGAAACAATGCTGTTAAATGTTTGACTTAATCTGTTCTTGTTACCTGTCTCATGTCCTACTGTTATGATATAGTGACGGTTTCAGTGAATATGACAAAAAGTTATTTTTATAAGTTACCTACTGCAGCTTTAAAGTCTCCATGCCACCCACTTGACACCCGATGAATGTTCCTTTAGATCTGCTCCTGTATATACTACATGATGCATTGCGTCAAATACATATTCATTTAAAATGTTGAAGATAACACAAAAAGTTAAATTAAATATTCCCTTGAAATATATTTCAGTATCTCCATAATTCTCTAAACAGTTTGTCTGCAGCATTGTGCTTAAACGTGATTTATTACTCAACTCAAGCTAAGTCAACTGATAACAGAGCTACAAAGTTCAATCATAAATCAAGCAAGTCACACTGTTTGCTGCTCAGCATCACCTGCCTGATATTGCATCTCCTGTGCTCCAGGTTCCTTCCTGTCTGGATCTTGTCTGCCTGCCCACCTGCCCACCTCCACCATGAAGCTCTAGAGCAGTTCACTCAGCCAGCATCCAGAGTCATTACATCTGAATAAATCTACTGTGAACTTTCCACTAACTGTTGTCCAAATCCTGCTCTTGCGTTCAGAAGATTACTAAAACTAAAATCACAGGTAAAGCAGGTCAGTTCTCAATTATGGATGGATAATTTATGACTCAAAAAGTTGGACACAATCCAGTATCACATTTTGAGATACAAAGACTACTTCAATGCCAGCTTTACCAGGAGTAAAAGTAGTAGTGCCTTTAGAAAAAGCTAATATTAACATGTTGGCCAAATTTAAAGCTCTAATCTGTAAAATTTCCATATTTAAATATTTATATACTATAGTACTTCCATTATCCCAAATATTTTCAACAATGTTCAAACTCATCGTCATTTTATTCAGGTAACGCTGCGTTTCACTGGTCGCCTGTCGATGGCGTCATATCCCCTTTGTGCCTGCGTCAGCATTGTGGTTGTCTGTTGTGTGGGGTTGACTGTTTATCCAGTCTGAAGCCACATTGTTACCATCCACTGTTTAGATCTTGGTGCATTTTAACTCTAGATTTGAACCGGATGAAGGATTTTAGTCATCGGATGTCTGGATCTTAAGTTATCAGAGAAACAAGCTGTGGCCGAGTAACTTTTAAAAAATTTGAAAGGCCCTATCTAGAGCCAGTGTTTAGTTTGTCCATTCTGGGCTTCTGTAGAAACATAGTGGTTCAACATGGCAGACTCTGCTAGAAGAGGACCCGCTCCATCTGTAGATAAAAACTAAGCAAATTTTGAGGCAACTGAAACACAACATTTCTTTATTTCAGATGATTATACACCAATGAAAACATACCTAATATTATATCAGATAGATCCTCCTAAAATGTGGCCCTTTAAAACCAGGTCAAGAGAAGGAAAAAGGACAGACAAAGAGTTTTGGTTGGACAAAAGAGAATATGGTGAATGAGACAGGAATAGCTGATAAAAAACTACATTGCCATTCTTTCTTGTCCCACCATGGACATTCTTCTAGAAGAAATGGGAACCCTCTTGTACAGGTGGTCTGACCTCCCGCCTGCTCTCACTTATGTATGGAATCCAGAAGCACAGATAGAGACAGGAGAACAGTTTATTTTTAGATTAGAGGACATTTTGGTCCAACATTTTACAGGTACTGTATACACACATCACTTGTTACATTAGTGTAACACCTACAAAGCATTTGCCATTGTGATAATACAACCATTTTTCCTTATAATTAATGCACACTAACGAGTGAGCACATTGGCTTCTGCTGCAATAAGTAAAACTATATTTTTCCAGCATTAGTACTAGGATCTACTGATTTGTGATTGCACTTATGTATTATCAACAAGCGTTCATGTGCAAAAGATTCTGGTTTCATAAAGTAGCAACTGCTTAAGCCTATAAACTATTGAAGAAATGTCCTCAGCACACTGAGCAGGATCAGTTAACCCTTACTGTTCACCACCACACAGGGATAGAAGTGTTTTGTGTTATGCTATCACTTGGCATGTGGTCAGTAATAAACAGGTTACAGTTAAACTTACATAAAGGATACCAGAACAAGAAAATGATTATACAGAATATATTATAATTAGAGAAATGAAGCTCTGAATGTAAATTGAATGGTTTTTGTGAGATATTTTTATAGCACACCAGTGTTCTAATCATCTGACTGACTGAGGAAATTAGTTCTATTTCATTAACACATTTCATCAGACAACTGAATGAATATAAAATGCTAATACAATTGCAGTTGATATTTGCTATTGTGTCCAGTGAAATTGTAAATTCTGTCCTAGTACATGAAATCTGTGTGCACAACTTGAGTGGATGAGAATATTTACCATTTTCTCTTCTTTTTTTGAAATAACCACAATGCAGTAAGAACCAAATTAGGTGAAATAAAATAGGTCTTGTTTTTACAGATAGCAATGCTCATTAGTGGGGCTGACTCAAATGCTTCGTTGCTTCAGCTGTTGCCATGGTAATCGATGCCCACATCAGTATTGGTTTACTTTGTTGTTTTTTTTTTCAAAGCCTGATCCAGCAGTGTTTCCCACATAGATGTTACTTGGGATTGAAACCCAAAGCACTATGAGGAGCCAGAGGAACTTGATTTTTTCACAGATTATCTGTCTCGTGTACTACTGTCAGGATGATGAAAGTTTTCAAATAAGACAAAAGTTACAAAATGCAGCTTTAAGAGCTGGCAACCCATTTTAGCATTTTGAAGAGAAACAGAGAGAAAGAGATATTATATGTTATCTGGTTGTTCATTAGAAGATGCAGACATGGGGGATAGCCTATTTTACAAGCACAGCCCTGGTAGAGCGTTCTGTCCCATGTTGGTTTCTAACATTTCGATGTGCTCTGTCATTAACAACAAGCCTCCTCCACATGTAGGTCACCTGCTGGGTGGAAAATCTGAAACATGCATTTTTTTTTGGGTGACTTAAAACATAATGCTGAAACCGCTGAGAAAGACAGTCAGAGAGAGACAGAAAAAGGCAGTGTGTGTGCAGAGAGAGAGACAGGCAGTGTCTGTGTATGGGGGGGGGCTGAAGGGAAAAGCAAGGTGAGCAGATTAACATAGAAGCTTTGAAGTCCAAAAAATGGTATTCAGGACTCATTAGTCTGTAGGCCAGAGATATGTAGCTAACACAGATATGTCATATGTCTGAATACAAAACATTCACTACTTTTGAACAAGCACACAAACAGACTCATTAAAGTGTAACAAAACCCCTAAAGTTTGCTAGCTCCCTCCCTCCTAGCACTTTTTAAAAAAGAGAATGAAATATGGGGCATGGCCTTGTGGCTATGGGGTGTGTAACAGAGTGACACACTGACTACTGGGGACTGTACTCTAGCTGAGCTAACTGAGCTAACCAGCCATGAGCAGCTGCTGGAGCTTCGTCAGTCACTAGAAGCACATTCACAGCTTTTGTAAAAGTTTCTGTGTAGTGGCGAAGAGGTGAAGAGAATACTGGTAATGGTACACAGTATTGCCGTCAAGGGTGCTGTCCATCTGCCATGTACCATTTGCCTGAATCCATGTGAATGCAGCATAAACTAGCAGCTCAGAGCTAACCAAGCTAACTAGCCATGAGCAGCTGCTGCCACACTGTCCATGTCTGTGCTGGAAACAGCACTAACAGTCACTAGAAGCACATTCATAATAGTTTGTATAAGTTTCTGTGCTGTAATCGTTAGCCAACTGCTAGCTTGGCAACCGATGCCGAAGAGCTCAAAGAGGCTAACTCTCTCGTAGGGGGAGTGTCAGGCTACGGCTGCATAGCAGGCCACAGTCTGCAGAGTCGGGAGAGGTTTTATAGGAGCAGGCGGGTAGGAGGGGTTTGTGATGAAAGCTGCCTCCACATATGACACCTGCCTCAAGATCAGCCAATAGTGAAATTCAATTGCAATAGCTGTGTTTCAACCAGTAGAGGGCGGTCACTACACATATTTATAGCACCAAATGTAGAATTCAAACACTGGATTTGGACTTGAATTGATCATCAATGCTACTAAATTAAAACCCATATACGTTAGTTTTCAGCAGAAAAAGTGGTTTAGGGGTTTAGTTACTCTTTAACCAACAGAGGACCAACAAATAGACTGAATCATTTTAATGTGCCACCCTGTGTCCTTCATCGCTCTTCCAGCTCTGGCCTCAGGGTGTTAATCATCAGCGGCAAATGGGACATGGTTTCAGATGAAATGCTGTGTAATAGGCATTTGGTCTCAGAAGAAGGAAGTGTCTGAAGAGAAGGCCCCTGCCAGCCTGAACTCCTCCCTCATCAGCACGCAGAAGAGCCGCTGCGGCAGAGCTTTGGAGTACGGCGCAGGCCGAGGGACACACGTCCGCACCAGAATCTCCCGGCCTGCCGGAGGAGGAAAGTCAGGCACTTTGTTGCTTCCTGCAGTCTGCTTCCTGTCGCGGCCAGAGTCTTCTTCCAGTGGTGCCAGGAGGGCGGCCTGAGGGTGGAGAGAGTGTGGAATGTTACTAAGCAACTAAAATGTAAGACAGGGAGGATGCTGAAGGGGTCTGTATGGAGTTTGAAAAAGTGCAGCCTGATGGGTCAGACAATGTAAGCTAGTTAATGTACATCAGCACAATGAATACATTTAAAGGTTTGGGCTCATTCTAAATGTTAAACACATGAATAAAAAGATCAAGGACAGTTGACTTCCCTCAGCTGTCTGTGGCACATTGGTTATCTCACAGCTCACAAATGTATTGTTTTTATATTATAACTGAGTATAGTTTCATTCAAAATAAAATACAACAAAACAGCTGGCCACTAGCTAATTGTTTTAGTAAACAATAGTCAAACAGGTGGAAATAGGACATTTTTTGTATTTGGACTATATTCAGCAACAGATTAAGACACATTTGGTGATCTATTGTAGTGTAGCTCTAGTATTTTCAGAACATTCATTCTACCCCTTTTGATGTGAATAGATTAAATATTAATACAATCCAACAGCACCACAAACTACAACGTCCTGCTGTAACTCACAAAACTGCACCAGAAACACGAGTAACACCAAGCAGTTCAAATATTCACCATTAACAAGAGTTTTCCCTTAACAACCTCCTAATTACTGCTTATTGATAGTAAGTAAGGAAGTTACGTATGTGAATTATGATCTTAACATGCTTTGCTCAGTATGGGCCTTATAGGGCTGTTGAACAATAAGAATATTCATTCTCCCTTAATAACACTTAATAATAATAAATGTGTTCTATTCTGATGCAACAAAGCTTGCTGCAGTGTCACTATATGTCACACTGCTAACTTGCACATTCCCATAGCAATATTTTGAACATTCCTGCAAACTATACAGCTCTTTATTTATTTAAATAACAGAATTTTACATAGTCTCTTTTTATATTTGCATACACTGTCTCTTTTAATTGTCTCTATTTTTTTATCTTTCTCTATGTTTATTGTAATACACCAATTTACTAAGGGTGCCCCGATTGATCGGACGATATTTTATAACACAGGAAGGTTATTCAGTCTTTGACACACAGATTTACTTGGGCGGGCCGTCGGTATATTAAGGGTCAGAGAAATAGAGAGAGAGACATTATCTGGTGGATGCTTAACAAGCACCCAACATGTAAAGCAACAGTTTAGTTTTCGATAGGCGACGTCATTAATTGTGTTTCTTCTGTGACTTTATAAAACTTACTGCTGACCAACAAAGTAATGAAGCAAACACATGCAGCCTGTATATGGAGAGAGACAGAGGACAAATGTGTAGGTGTGTGCGTGTGTGCATTCACTTTGAACATAAGGCTTTAAATAGACCTGGTGATCGGTAACGGCTGATACCACTTCTAGTAATCTGTGATCGGCCTCAAAAACCCTCATCAGAGCACCCTTACAATTTACCAAGGCAAATTCCTTGGATGTGAAAACCTACTTGGGAATAAACCCATTTTGACATGAAATAGTAGGATAAACACAGACATTACCAATGATACTAATTAAGACTGTTCTGTTTAGCAGAGCCTTTTGAGTGAGCCAACATGTACAATAGCAGCAACCTGCTACACAATTTAAAAAAAAAATATATATATATATATTTTGGAGGCCTTTATGCTTTTATGAGATAGGACAGCTGCAGATAAACAGGAAATGGGGAGAGAGAGTGGATGACGCCAAGCAAAAGCCCAAAGGTCAGACATGAACCCTACTGAAGCAGGAGGAACAGGAAGCAGGAGGAACAGGAAGCAGGAGCAGGCTGGTGGCGTGGTCCCGGCAGGGGGACGACTCATGAGCAAATAATGTTAAGATCATAATTAATTCACAACTTAATTACCTACTATAAATAATAAGGAGGTGGTATAGGGAAAACTCTTAGTTAATGCCCTAGTAGTTGTAGAATAGGGTCATGTAGAATAAGTCATGAATAAGGGCTGTATGATGACTAATAAAGAGCCAATATGCTACGGATATGCACGCTAAAAAGCAACTAGTTAATGGTGAATATGTGAAAAAACTATTAGTTATGCAGTGAATGAGGACCTGAAGACCTGGGGGTGAGATTGCCAATGCTAGAGGAGGAAATACTGTCAGTATATATCAAACTGTGTCAGACTCCAGTCAGCCTATTACCAAACTCCTCCATCTAGAACCCGATCGACTGTTTACTGAGCTAGGGCAGAGGTACTGGCTCCTCAGGAGTAGGGCCCAACCTTGCAGACTCACCACCTGCTAGACTCTGGCTATTTAAACAAACACAGTTCTCTTTGCCCGTCTGTGACACAGTAGCCTTCAGTGTTGATGGGCTATTCTTACGGAGAGTGTGAACCTATCATGGCGTCACCCATTGGTTTGTGGAGTAGCACTTTGAAGCCTCGAGTTTGGGGTTATGGCCGTTGTCAAGTTGTTTTTTTGCAGCCAGCAGCAGTTCTAATTGGCTGTGCAGTTTTGACTTGTCTGTAGCAGGAAACAATGGCGGCTCACCTGGTGTCGCACAATCTCATATTCCAGATAAACAGTACACTAAAATTTGTTTGTGAAATGATTGGAGGAGAGAAATAGTCAACACAGTAACAGAATCTGGATCCATATCTGATCAGCACTGCCAAGTTTGACAGTTTGATCTGAGTTTGGTGCATTGAGCTGGACGGACTCACTGAGAATGACCTGTCAATCACAAAATAGCAAGCCCTAAAGTATACCCTGCTTTATGGTCTATTTTACTGCAAATGGGACCATCAGTTACTAAATGAACATCATGCTGTATGGAAGAAGACTGAAACTAGAGATTGAGACCAGAAACTCATTAGGAAACTGTTTACTGAGCTCATAAATCAAGTCAGGAGCAGGCTCATGTTGCCCTTGCATTAAATGCAACCGGGCTGGAGCTTCCCCCTGGTGGCTATTAGAAAGAATGCAAGTTTAAGACATGTCCACATTGGCCTCAATTTTCAGACCCGAAAGCTCTGTTCACTAATTAAATAGTGTCATTGGGTGAGGCAATAGCGTTTATCACTGCAACACCATGCCACCCCTGAATCCAATTATCCTCAGGTCTGACAGTCTTTGGGATTAAACTGGTCTTCAATACATTAATTTATGCAAACGTTGGGTAGGCTTTTCACTTTTTCATTTAAGACGTGTGAAAACCTCTACCATCATCCTGTCACTTTTACTTTCACTGTAATGTGTGAATCATTAATATATTCTTTATTAGCTGCTGTTTCTGCTATGTACATGATATGAGTCAAAGATGTGACTTTGCAGACAGTGATTGATTAGGTTTAGGCAACAAAACTACCTGGTTAGGTTTAGGAAAAGATCAAGATGCAAATATTGAAGCATGGTTGGCTGCTGACACCTGGGTGCTAATAGCATTGGCCATAATTGAACCAGTGTCAGCTTTAAGGAAACTATGGTTTATTACAACGTAGGTTTTATTTTAAACCTACGTAAAAACAATGCGTAATAAACTTTAACCACATTCTGCAACCAGGATATGTTGTTTACATGCACAAACACAAAGAAAACATACAAAAAGATGATTACAGCAAATTTACCAGCATGAAGGTTAAAATACTCAGACTTACAGCATCCTACTGTACTTAGGAAGGAAAAGGGGAAGCTGAACACATATACCAATAAAGGAATGAATCTGAGGACAGTAAAGGGAGGAGAAAAAGTATCTAGCGGCTTAGTGGAGTGATTTGGTCCTATGTGCTTCTTTGATAAATCTATCTATAGTGGTAGGGTGCCAAGACACAAAGTATCTGAGCTGGAGCTATAGGGAATCAAACTCTAAGTGCAACACAGGAGCAACAAGACTACCACATATATATATATAGAATATTCTGCTGTGCAAACCTCCATGTCACCAAAAAGACTCTCCTTTCAATGCGGGTCACATCAGAGAAGTATGAGAGGAAATGAAGATACAAAACAGACACTTCTGTTAAGATCTGTTAGAAAGAGGTCTTTGTTTTAAGTGCTATCATCTATGGAATGGATAGAAGCTTTGGAGGACAATGTGGCTATGTGGGTGTGTCTATGGGTTGCAAGGGTTTTATACCTAATAGGAGTGGTTATGTGTGTCCACAGTTCAGATCTTTACATATGTACATATAATGTATGTATGTTTGTACGTTCAATCAACAGTAGGGTCCAAAACTCTGAGTCCAATACAATACTAGTTCAGGTAATGCTCTTATACTGTCCAGGTTTTCCCATGAACAGGTGTTGCTTTAATAAAGCTGCAATCATTAGCTCATTTCCATATTCTCACCTCATAAATTTGTTATGGCAAATGTGTTTGCCTTTACACATCCAGAAGACACAGACCAATATTTGCACTCATAAGGGTTCAAACTATATTATTTGTCTTGGGCTGAGGCTCAAATTGCTGTGAGCTGCAATGAGCTGGAAACTTTGCACAATAACTGGAAATAATGCGCACATGCTTCCCCAGAAACATGAGCACAATCAGCCAGCTGGTGGTGCTACAAAAATGCAAATTTATAAAAGTCCACCATGATACATGTTTCACTCAGTGTTTCCTCTATGTTGATTTCAGAGTGGCAGCCCGCCATTGTTAACTTTCTACCGCCATGGTATCAGAAATGGGGCAGACGCACAATGTAGTCACGGTTGCCTTTTAAATGATCCTGCCGACATAATGCACCCCCGCTGGCTGCCGCTCACATTGCAATTTAACAACAAGTAGAACTATTCAGAGGTTGTTCGGACAGGCCTGCCCCCACTGCTAAAAAAAATCCTAGAGGAAACACTGTCACTCTACTATCTGCTTTTTTTTTATTTTGATCAACACCTAACCCAAATCTTAGAAGGTTCTCAGGTTGAAGCAACTCTGAACTGGCACTAGCACCAGCCGAGAACTAGCACTAGGTTCGCGTTGGTGGAAAGGAGGTATTCGTGTCAACCTGTTAAATCTTTTTTTCTCAACCACACCAGAGAAAAATATTTTGTTCTTTAGAATTTTGAATTTCTTTTCCAGCTACTTTAGCATACAGTGAGCTTTAGTGTAGAGCTTTTTCATAGAAAACAGCTTCCAGCTAAATTGAACTGCAGAGTTGGTGATAATTTTCTGTGGGTTCATCACCTTTAAAATGACAACAATGGAAACAGACCTTAGATTATAGAAATCACAATAGATAACATACACAGACTAAACCCAATTCCACTCAAGATTCTAAAATCTTGACTGTAAGAAGGGCACAAATACTGCACAACAAAATAAGTACAGAAACTGTACACAAGTTGTGTTACTTGGCAACCCCAAAACTGAAACTCAAAACAATTAAAATCTAAAATTTTAGGAGTTTGAATTAGTACAAGAACTTAAGTATTAGTGCACACAGACTTCTGGAGCCCATTTATACATATTTGTGTGTTTCTGTGCGTGTTTGCTGTTGGAATGCTACTGACAGACTGTAGAGGGGTAGGGGTATATACTGATAGTTGGGAGGAAAAGTCTCATTGCTAGTGGTTACCTCATCACTGGTGAAGTCAGCCAGCTTGACGTAAGCAGCAGGGGGAGAAACAACACAAAAACATTTCGAATGGAGGAAACGTACAACAAAAAAGAAAAAGCACATATTTGTGTCTCAAGAGGGTCTGAGAAACTGCTTGACTGCCTATTACACACACACACACACACACACACACACACACACACACACACACACACACACACACACACACACACACACACACACACACACACACACACACACACACACACACACACACACACACACACACACCAGTGTCATGTGATGTTTAGTGTTTGTTTGGAGGGGTCCCCAGCATTTAGATTTGATACCCCACATTTATTTATATAGAAATACATTCAAATGCGAGCATTTACCATGTGAACATTACTGCATCACTGAGTGAGCTTTATGAGCACTAGTGCACTAGTGCTCATAAAAACACGCTTAGTGTCTTTAGATATTTCCACTGGTTGGAAATGAGTCAGACACTATTACATAACAAACTAAAGTTCAATTGTTTGGTACCAACAATGTCACACAACCAAGAATGGAGGAAGATATGAACTCACTCACTGTTTTGAGCAGAGTCAGTGGCTTAAGGGGGAATCAGTGTAAAATTGTGGAAAATTGTGACAACAACATGCAGCAACAATAGTGCAATGACTGTGTCAATGTGGAAATCCTCAACAAGCATCTCCATCTCCCTCTGAGACATCCACATGTTATGTTTTTCTCACAGACTTAAAGAAGAAGTGACTTAAGCCTCTGTGATAATCTACAGGGGGAGCAAAAACTGACAGCTTGTACATTTGTGCTGGGCCTCGATTTATCATGTGTCTCAGAGTAGGAAATCAGTCCCAACTGGCCACAAAATTCTCAGACAGACACAATTTAGGTCCTACTTTCAGGACAAGGAGTGCTACATGCTCCTCCCTGCTGGTCTGACACATTACAGTTAAGTAATGTTGGTCTGTTCTCCTCTGAGGTGTGGCTGATCTCCTCATCTAGGAAACCAATAAAGAAAGAGCAGGGACTTTGGCTCAGTCTCTCTATTCCATTTCCAGCCTGAGCATGCTGCTTTTGTGACTGGAGTCACGGTGAAGTAGACTTTTGTTTGTTGTGGTGTCTTTGTTTTCTGATGGGACCGGTAGTTTGATTATCAGGGCATTATTTCTGTTAGTCAGGTTTATTTTCTTAGAGAAGAATCAAAGATCCTGCAGCCCTATTTTTTGTATTTATTTTGGCAAGCCCATCAGACATGTCTTAATTTGGTTGCTTTGAGTAGTTTTGACATTTTGGTATTTTTGGTCATCATTTTTATCAAAATAAATAAACCGTCACGGCATCGTCACGAGGAGTAAAAGTATTTATCAACTTTCTTGACTTAATGATTCCTATTCCTGCAGATATTTACTCCAGAATTGTCCTAACCTGTTATAAGGTGGATGTGAGGACACATGCTGTGCGGAAACAACCATTTCTGCAGTAAGAAATTAAACTAAACGCCTCATGCGCACAAGCGAGGGTCTATGGCTGACGAACCCAGGCCAAATTCCTTGTGAAATCTGCTGCCATTACAGAAATGATTTCTTACACCTGTAAGAACACATACATAAAAGCAGGTGTCACTGAAAAGGAAAATGGACAGTGGAAGGGAAGACATGCTCCACAGCCCACGCAGGGTTTGCAACGTCATTACTGCATGTGTGCATGCAATACTGTATGCAAGATGCACCACAATTATAGGCACTGTGAAAGTGATTGTGTGTTTAATTTGTCTATCATTTTAGCAACAACTTTGTGAGTTATCATGCAGGCAGTTGAAAGCTTTATGGGTGTATTGTGGATGGATTATGTTGCAGTGACAACCGAACTGATACTGCATTTATTTAAAGCTGCAGTAGGTAACTTTTATTCCACTAAGCCTGAACGAAAACAACCAATCAGAGTCGAGAAAGATAGTTGATCGTTTAGTCTCATTCCCAGGGTGTCAAATACAGATGCTTTGGGACCCTGGGAATAAGACTCAACAATCAACTATCTTCAAGCTTCCAACCCAAAGCGTTCGTATCTTTCTTGGCTCTAATTGGTTGTTTCCCGTTCAGGTGTGGCAGATTCTTGCAAATCCCATTAGGAGCACTAGGAAGAGCCAGAGGAACCTGATTGTTTCACAGATTATCTGTCTCATGTACTTCTGTCAGGATATAGAGGAAGTTTCAGCAAATATAGCAAAATGTTTTTTTGGGGGGGCTTTTATTGCCTTTACTTGATAGTGACAGCTGGAGACAGACAAGAAAAGGGGGGCAGAGAGAGGAGATGACACGCAGCTAAAGGGCCGCAGGTCAGATTTGAACCCTGGGCCGTTGCAGCAAGGACTCAGCCTCGGTACATTGGTCGCCAGCTGTACCCACTGAGCTAACCGGGCGCCCCACATAAAGTTATTTTTTATAAAAATTACACAATACTACAGCTTTAATAGTTCAGTATCAGTGCTGATACTGATTCTGTGTATTGGTACCACTATAGATATGCCAGCCTCGTGTAAATGGGAAATTCATTTATACTTCAAGTCAGCTGCAAGACACCAGATCGAGCAGATGAATGGCTGAGAGAAGGTCATGAAGCATAATGATCAGCAGAAGCAACCCATTTGTGACTAGTGTCCAATTTTGAAAAGCCTGAAAACCCTATCGTAAATTACAATACTTTTTTAAACATGGTAAGAGGCTACCATCAAATGAGATAACAGCCCATGGTAAATGGTGTCAAAGGAGAGGCTGCTTACCCTCTGAGCATTGACAAACAGACGGTGGATGATGCTGCCAGCCGGCCCCTGGCCAGCTCCGACCACCACCACCTCTGGTTCCTCCAGCAGGGAGCTCACAAACCTGCAGAAAGACATCAAACAGGGATGTAACAATACACTCAACTCACATTTTTTTTTTTTTTTTTTTAAATTGTCTCTACTTTATCTATATTTATTTTTATCTGTTTAATTATTATGCATCAATTGACCAAGACAAATTCCATGTATGTGAAAACCTACTTGACAATAAACTGGATTCTGATTCAGTACAATTCACAATACTAGGTTCATGATCCTTTTCTAAGACGCTGCTCAAATAAATCTGTGGAACTTACGTCTCTAGTTCATCTGTGTCCTCCACCTTCTCACCCTCACACATGGCAAACTTGGCCTTTAGTGAGCGAGCTCGGGTGATGACCGTCTCCATGGCCATCAACTGGTTAATGAAATCCTGCAGATAGAGAAAGGTCACACAGACATGCTGTCAGAGCAGGGGCTTGAGGAACTTCACAAGAAGTATGCTTTGACTCAAACACATTAACAAGTAATGGGCGCCTCAAGGTTATTTCAGTTTTTCTTCAATGTACTTATGTATGATGTTGAAGTGCCAGTCTTTAATTTGAGGACTCTTCTGATGTCCACATTTGAAAGGTTTTCTGGCTTTTAGCCCACAAGGTAATGCTAATAATTCAAGTGAATATGGTAAATTACTTTGTGTCAGTTTCAGTCTAGACATGGTATCAGTTTGTTATGAATAAACTCATAATGGTACCCAAATAAAATCACTTTCAAACTTATGTCTCTTCACTGGGGTGGGTTTTAAAACAGCTGTGACTCAGTTCTGCAGAAGTGAGTACTAAACTGGTAAGAGACTGAATAATTTAAAGAAGGAGTAAAAGGTATCTATGGGAGTAGAAAGTCCAGCCTGGGAACTGTGAGCTCTGGCAGATGCGTCTGGCCCCCTCCCATTCAGACAGATCTTGCCCCAGTCCTGGATTTAATATGGGAGGCAGGTTTTATATGATGACTGCACAGAGGAGCGGCATTTCCATAGACAACCAACATGGCTGCTGCTGATGAACTGTTTCTGTTGAACCTACTATCACGTCTGTATTAAATGAACTGGGGGGACAACTGCACTTAAAGCTTTTGATGATAAGACTGATAATACATGTATCATCAGTAAGAAAAGCCTATACTTGCTTTTATGTTCCTGAGAAGTGTAAACTTCACATCTACAAAAAAGCTGTTCATTTTGACAATCAACTTTTCAGGTGCATAAAATTTGCGAGCAGTTGCTCCAGCAGTTAAAGTAAAACACAAAGTGAGGGGCATGAAAGATGTCTTATCATAGTAAGAATGAGCAGCTTGTGGAGTTCATTTGTCACTGACCTCTAACTTCTTGTAGTCATAGTTGGGGGTGTGCAGCAACTTGCTGGCTTGACTCGTAGCTTGTTGGATGGTTTTTCTGACTGATGGAATGTCTTCTACTGCCTCTGTTAGGGAGGGGATCAGGAGGCCACAGAGGAGAGAAGGAGATAGAAAAAACAAAAGGAAACAGTAAGCAGGTGATGGATTAAAGGCAACAACACAATATAACATACTACACTGTAAAACCCAAGACCATATTATATAAAAGAAGTAACTTGACATAACTTAACTCATTCCCATAAATTTAACCCAACTCAAAAATTAATTGTTGAAGTAACAACTCAGTTGTTTTGAGTGCACTTACATTTGTGCAGTATTTTAAGTATTTGTGATATAATTCCAGTTTGTTCAATTGACGCATGTTCTTTACGTTGACTTAATATCATTACAATTTTTTTTTCTTCAATTTTAGTTTTTATATCAGTTTATGAATCATCACATGCCAAAGTATGCATCCAAATAATTCCTAATGATCCCCCAAAGTGTAAAGAACAAGTAGGCTATTGTTAACAACTTAATCACTGCAGTAACAATTAGATTGATTTTCATAGTTGATGGTAAATTGTTCTTATCATACATTGAATGTTTTGAAGAGTAATGTAATAATTTGCTTTAGTGGAAGAACCCGGACAACTTAAGTGGTATAATTTGTATAAAGAAGATGCATTTAAGTTAGTCTAACTATAAATTCTGTCAGCACTTTTAAATAAGTTTGGAGAAATGCTACAAATGAGTGTAATAGTTTTAAGTTCAATTAACAGAAAGGAATTTGTACAATGAACTTCATTTATCCAAGTTACCTAACAATAAATACTTAACTTACGTGTATTGAAATCATATATTTAAAATGAATTAAAATAGTTTGAGTTAATAAACGCAAACGGTTTAAAGTCAATTGGTTTCCTCAGTTTTTGTTGAACTAACTCATTAAGTTTGACTGTACTACCACACTCCAGGTGTTACACACTGTATTTGAAGTCATTAATCTGCAGTCATTTCCATATTTTCAGCATTCAGTTGCTCTTCGGGAAGGACAGCAATCAATAAATTACATTGAATACTTTAATGGAAGATGTTTTAGAATTTTGTCTTGCATCATGAGACAAAGATTGTTTCATAACAACTGAAAAAATGACGCTTCCCCTTTTCAAACACAGAGAACTATAGACGCCAACTCATTTCTTAGCATGTACGGCAGCCTAGACAGCATTTTATCACGTTTTTCTTGAACATTAGGCTGCATGTAATATCCATAGGGGCATCCAAGTGACAGTGACAGCTTGTTTCTTTGTCAACCCTGAACCTCCAGGTAGCCTATTTAAGCTCAACAGAAAGATAGATATACAATGCAGCAACCCCATCACACTCTGTATGACCCATATGTTTTAATGTTTGATGTCATGAGAAAGCATTTTCCCCTCACCTTCCTCCTTCAACTTCAGAATAGCAGCATGGAGGATGCAGGGCAGCAGATGTCGGGTCAAGTCTGCAGGTTTCTGCACCGCCAAATAGTGCAGAACCTGAAAAGACAGCTAGTTACATCTGTAACGTCTGAACAGGCTAACATGACTTTCAGCAACACACTTGATACAGGGCACTCTCTTTTTCAGACACTGATAAACTTAGTTATGACAGTGTCTTTTGATTTGAAATTACCTTTTCAGCCTCCTTAGTGTCGTCAAAAAGTCTTCTCTGGCGGCGTGCAGGTGTGACCCTGGCCGTCTCCCAAGCTTCCACCCACATGTTGCCTGGGATCTTCATCCTGGCACTAAGCTCACCTTTCACCACTGTGTTACCCTTCTCATCAACTACCTCCTCCTCCACGTAATCCCTGGGTGAGTACCAGCGCACAAAGTCCTCCAGAACACAGCCTGGATTGGCTGCCTGTGGAGAGACAGGAAAACAGCTTTATTATGCCACAAAGGTTATGTTTTTGCTGTCATTTGTGTGTTTGTTTGTATGTCTGTCTGTCAGTAGGATTATTTATTTTTAAATAAAAATTTTTAATTTTTATTAAACCAGGTGGAAGGGTGTAGCATGGGCCAGGCAAGAGCCCATTCAGTGTAGGTCTGGTTACATATCACAGGGCAGATTAACACATTTCTTTTTCCCCCCTAGTGTCTATTGCAAAATGAAGCAAATTTGTTGTGCATGCACAAACCCATCAGAATGAATGTGAATGATATGCTGCAACTATGTACATACCACAAAACAACCTCAAACATCACTGTAGAAACAAATGCAGCAGGAATGTAAGAAATCAGCAATCAGGCATGGGATTTTTCACGATTTATCTGGAATTGCGGATTTTCCAACCTGCACATACTGCTCGTAATTACGGTGAATGGTGTACAAATGAGGAAATCACAGAACGCTGGACTATAAGCCTTGGCAGACGACTGTGCTGCCCAAATGCCTTTCTAGTTTCAGTCTGTGTTAATAGCGATTCCGATACCTGAACATTACCAATCCGATGTGCATTAAAGAATAGATGTGTACATAGAAATATTTTAACAGGCATATACTATAAAGCCTATATCCTGTATGATTGCTATTGTTGTATGGCATGGTGAAGGTTAAACAGTTTGTCAGAGTCACAGTCAGAGTAGGGTGGGTCATGTGGTATCGGATTGGTGCACAGACAAGTGTACTCGCTGATGCCAGATAAATACAGCACAGCATGTATAACCTGAATGTGTGCCTGTCTCACCTTAAAGGACTCCATGTCAGAGAGCAGACAGGCACTCTGCATCCGGGCACGGAGGTGGGTACCTTCAGCTGATGTGCCCAGTTTGGCCAGTACTTCTGACTGCTCCTCTAACAGATCCTCAGTCATTGGAGCAGGTTCCTGGAAATCAAACACACACATGCATACACACACGCATACACACACGCAGCAGCAATGAACTTGTGTAATTTACACAGAAGTCTCTGCTCTTTTGTTGTTCAAGTACACAGGACTGGATTTCAAGCTCTGCAACAACCAAAACCAAAAATATATGCGTGTGTGAATGAGTGAGACAGAGGGATCCTGACCTGTGTGACAGGAATGTAGAGAGGCTCTGTAGAGTTGAGTAGAGTCATGTTGTTGTAGGGGTGCAGTCTGCCCTCTGCTTTACTTTTACTGCCATCCTTTTCTCCCTCAGTGTGTGGAGCCTCTATCTCCCCCTGGTCACTGAGGCACTCAAAGAACTCATCCTCGCTGTCGCTCCACGAGTCCCAGGATTTCCCTGGAGACACCTCCTTCTTTGATGCGGATGCGGTCGCAGACTCCGATGCGGGCCGGCCGTTCTGACCACTGCCGGACACCTTGCGCTCTCTTTCTTTGCTTTCTTCCAGCACCTTGCGAGCTTCGTCTCTGGCCCTCTTCCTCTCAATGCAGCAGTTCAGCATCTATGGGGGTAAATGAGGCTTTTTCAGACACACTGCTGTCTTCATCTCTCTGTTATAGTCATGGCTTGTTGTTATTCTGACGCTGATGTTCCTTACAGCTTTATTCAGAAACAACACAACCATACAGAAAGAGTGGGAATGGAGCCACAGCTAAAAAACAGCAATGAGTTTAAAAGTTTTATGATATGAGGGAAACCGAGTGGTTTCTGGATGCATTTTTGCAGTTGAAGACTTAATTAATGACTATCAGAGTGCAAGGCTCTGCCACTTCTCCTCTAGTGCATCCAGTGACAAATATTCTCATCAGTTTCATCACTTTTAAGATAGTAAATTCTGTATTTACATTTTAACGCATAAGATGGTATGATTTTTAATTGGACCTCTCCTTTAACTTAACTTAATATTTGCTGTAGTAACTTTATTTTCAGCATAGAGGATAATGCTTATGTGAGAAGCTTATTAGTGGTCTTAATTATGATTTAGTTACGAATGTTTATAGGTTGTTCCCTTCCACTCAGTGGAAGATTTTTAATGATTTTGGGATAATTTACTTATACTTATGTTCCTGTCTGCCCACATCACCTTGCAAGCAGTTGTTATGGTTGGTTGGCTGAGGCACACACAATAGATCACAAAAGAACAAAGCCTAGTAGATATGTTATTGATTCTTCTCAATACTGTTTGGAGAGTGTGTTAAGATCTTTTTCAGTCAAATACCTAGAACCACCAGCAGCAGGACTGTACAAGCCTTGTGCATCATACAACAGGAGATGCTACACACAGCTTATACAGTGGGTACCTCAGTAATGATTTAAATCTTCTGACACAATTAAGTGACAACCTGTGCTTTTGTGTGAGTTGTTCCACACAGATTCAAGTTTATAAAGTGAGATAATTTAAATAGCGGACAAGTGTTTCCTCTGAATAATCCAAATAAATCCTGTGCCGTCACAAGGATTAGTACAGAGAGTTTATGTAAGTGGCTTGATTGTTTTTTTGGTTTTTGTAATGAGGAAACACAATATGTAATCCAAATTGTTTTCTAAAATAACTGGAGTTTAAGATCTTGCCTAGAGCACCACCTAGTCATTTATCTAGTTAGTTATTATGAATGTAATTTATTGTTGGACAATTTCACATTTTTTTGTAGTTTTACATTTGTTGCATTAACATGGATAATTGTTATGAAATAAATCATTAGAAACATAGATACTGATTTATTTGTCTTGTGTATTTTTAAATTTGATCTATCCTCGTGGGTCAAACACACACACAGTATGCTACCTGGAGCTTCTGATGCAAAAGGCAACAGCGAAGATCAGGAGGTCCACCAGCCAGTCTGCAGATCAGGAAGCACATGGAGGAGATAAGAGTATATATTAATAGAGCAACTACATCAACTACTGCTTGAATTGCTTCAACAGGATTTCTCACCCTTTTTAAGAAATCATTTTCCAGGACCTTTCCAGGAGTTTTGAAAATACAGGACAGTACTTGCTCACATAACTGTCATATAATTTACCAGTACACCTAGTATTAACACATTTTACCTCCTCGTAACATTATTTTGCAACGGTTCAAAGCAAGTAGAATTTGTTTTATTTGACAGAAAATAGATTTTCTAATCCTTGTGCATGTTTTTATTCACAACAACAAATGTAAATGTAACAAATTGGATCATTAACAGACTGTATGCATGTAGATATGGCTCTAGAATAAATAGTCAACACCAGAAAGAGTGTTGCAAATCCTTCAATGCTTCACTTCTGGTAAACCTGCTTCTTACAGCGCAGATTATCCTACCAACAATTGAGTTTCAAACTAAATATGGACCAAGGTTTACGTAGGCGATATGAGTGACAAGCTAAAATGATTTTTTTTAGGACAACTTAGATTATTTCCAATTTTAATAGATTTCCAGGTGTTTCTATGACTGGAACACTAGTCTCTAAATGTACAGGTTTTCCAGGATGCTGGGGAACCCTGTTCAACTAGTGAGGCCTTTCAGAAATTATAATCTTAGATGTCTATCTTAGATGTTTTACACTCGGATGTCTATATTTTATCTGTTATTATTATATTATTTGTTTGCATACTCAGATTTATAGTATTATTAATAGTAATAGTCATATTCATAATGTGTAAATGAAATCTACATGCGAGTTAAGAGAATCAAGATGTGCCATCACATCACAAAATTTAATTCTTCAAGATGCAGATCTCAAAATGTTAAACTGTGGCTACAGCCCTTTCCAAAAAAGCCTGAGAGCAGCCCAGGTATGTTTGGGTACCTACCCGTAGATGAGGTAGTTGTTTTCCCAGCGGTAGCGCAACTCTAGGACAAACTCCTGCCAAAGGTGGGCGACAGCCCGCAGCCCGCCGTGGTTGTAGTTTACCAGACACACACACAGCGCCAGCCGGTAGGTCAGACTGTCAATGGGTGCTGACTTCAGCTGGAGAAAAAGGTTCTGGACACAGGGGAAAAGTAAGGACTGGGATAGGGATTGTGTTTACAGCAGAATTATGAATTATGCAGAATTATGACTGCAATAGTTCATGCAGTGGTTGTTAAATTCTATATTCCAATGTGTGCAGTTCTGCAATGGTTGTGCTTCTTTTTATGGTTTGAGAGTGTATGCTACATCGGTGTTTCTCAAATGGGGGTACGCATGGTGCAGGGGGTACTTGAGATTGTGATGCATAAATAAGAAAATAATGATATTATAATAAGTAAAATAAAGCATGTAAGTGTAGTTGCATACCAGAGAATGACAGAATATACTCAGTGAAGCTCATGTTTCTCACTAAACTATATGTCCAATTCAATGAAACTACAATACTGTCATGTTATTGCATGATGACAAATATTTGGTTTGCCATGATTTTAGTAATGGATTTTAACGATTTGCAATGTAGCATCAAAGTTTTTTTTCTAACAAAAATTTTTTGTGCTGGTCAGGGGGTACTAGGCTGAGAAAATATTTCAAAGGAGGTACATGAAGGGCTACATGAAACATTCCTTATTAAAAACTTGCATCCTCAAACTCGACTCGACTTGAAACCTTAGATGTCAGCGTGTGAGTGGTAAACATACATAGTCTGAGTTTTTATCCTGCTCGGCTTTCCCACAGGCGTTAGACTGTGCAGGTTTATTCTTGCTATTCTCTGATGACTTCTCCACAGCAGCATCTGGAAAGACGTACTGACACATTCCAAAAAACAAAAAACACATTATCACTTAAATATAAACGTGCAGTTCAAAAACACATTCACAATAATATTGGTTGATTGATTGCTTGATTCTGTGACTATGCTTGTCATGTTTGTTTGGTACAGACCCCAACAAATGTCACATCATCATGATTTTAGTAGTTTTTTCGGAGAAAATGAAAATTGTGCTGCAAATATAATCATTCCCACTAATCGTGAATCATATCGCAATATCTGTCAAAATAATCGCAATATGACAGTTTAGCAACAGAGAAGCACACAGGGTATATTTGTGTGAACCTTAATCTGTAATTTCTTTCATTTTATTTGTCTGCACCATTCTAAGTTGGCCGCCCCTCTTGAGCCGGGGAGCGGCACTTTTGGTCGAGCTACATAGAAAATGAATGAGGAGAGGGAGTGACGTTTGCGAGAACAAAGCAGTGGATCTCAGAAATAAAACTCTGTTTTCTGATCGTTTCCCAGAGGTTACATTCTAAAAGGACAAATACACACAGCCACACCTCCACACAACCCTGCAGGAAGGAGCCATATTTGTGGATTGTGTGTGAATGCAGCTGGAGTATAGCTTCATCCTGTCTGCCCTCAGTCAAAGGGGGGGCAGAGGGCTGCAGGGTCTCTGCAGATACAGACACTGCCACAAACGTCTACTGGGTCAGAATGGATGAACATTCATACATTATGTTTGTGTGTATGTTATGCAGATAGTATAGTATTTTCCCAGTCCCAGTTGAGTTAACAAAGGCAGTTCTCCTCTGTAGTTTCCCTTGTCGTGTTTGTTTTCGGTGACAATAATACCAGTGTCAGGAAGAATAACTCTCACCAGAAGGACAGAGTTGAGTATATCAGTGTTGAGTGGTGACTCATCAATGCGTCGGTGGCGTCGGATGTGTTTCCGGGCACTGTGCACCATATTGGAGACGGAGAGTTTGGAGATCGGCACTGGTGCCACCGGCTCTGTCAGTTTATTTAAAGCCGAGCTGATGTCACTATTTTCTGCAGGGGAAAAAACAGCAGTTATTTACAATCACGGTATGCAGTTACCTCTAATATTTTATACTGTATGAATGAGGAATTTGTATTTCTGAGGGAACACCAGCACACATTTCACAAACACCAGTGAAAGAAGGTAGTAGGCGCCATGTTTTAGAATGTGCTTAGTGACATTCCAGTGTAAAACAGTACAGCCAGTAACCTGACCTTTGCCCTCATCTTCAGCCGATCCTCTTCCCAAAACCTCTTCTGTAGACTCCTTCCTACAGCAGAGCTTAAAGAACTCTGACAGAAAGTCACCTGCATTGAAAGAGAATGGGTCAGACGTGTTTTACACTGATTCTACTGCCCCACACAGCTGAGGAGCAAACTAAAAGACTGAATCCATCTTTTGTCTTGTTAAAGACAGATAAAACATAAAAACATTCTTCAACATTCAACAACCTTCTGCTTTTTAGGGTATTATACATGCCATTAGGCAGTAACAATTCCCTTCTTATGATAATAAATAGGAAACATCAATGACATTAAGTTATCTATATTGTCACAGTGACAAGATATATTTTGTCCTATTATTAAGTTGTAGGTATTATCTAACATGAGTCAGTGGACAGACACCAAGGCAGAAAGAGAAGTGAGAGTGTGAAGGAGGAGATACAAACACATGGGAGTTGGTGTGCTGCTGAGATTTGTCCCCAAGGATTAGCTTACATTGCTGCCAACATTATCATTAACTCGTTTCACAAATATGTTCACGTCTATCTCAGTGAATTAAGAGTTTGTTTGGACCAAACCAGAGTTGGTGATTGTTGGAAAGACTAGCGTGACATCTAGTAGCAGTAAATGTCGTATATATGAGCTTTAAGATGTGTGGGATAACTATAAGTATGTGCTAATGAATTTTGGACAGAGGTACAAGGTCCGCTTGTAAATGGTAAATGGACCTGTACTTGTATAGTGCCTTTCTAGTCCGAACACTCAAAGCGCTTTTACATACTATGTGCAACACATATACGCCCTTTCACACACATTCACACAGTCCTGGCAAAGCCCATCAAACAGAAACTAACTCATGCACAGCAATTCGGGGTTCAGTATCTTGCTCAGCCAGGGATCGAACAAACAACCTTCCGATTAGTGGACAACCCTCTCTGCCTCTGAGCCACAGCCAATCATTACAAACATTAACATGTCCCTCTGACAGTTAAACTGATTGATGAACAAATAAGGGGGCACGAAAGAGTCTTCAGACTGTGAGGTAAATATTTAATTTTGACCAGTACGACTACAGATTCCTCCCAATGCAACATTACGTTAGAACAATCATAAATAACATTCATTTGGTGAACCCAAAGGATGTAATAATTAACAGTTTTATATCCGCCTGTAACACTGAATAATAAATATATTTCAAATATGTACAATTGTTTTTAAAACAGAAGATCAGAAGAGGCACTCTATTGGAGAGATATGGGACAGGGAAAGTTCCTGCTGTGGCATACATTCTGACAAATACATTGGAAAACTACACCTTCCATTATTTGGAGAGAATTTTGTTGGAAGTCTCCACAGCCAACATTACTATCTTTCAGAGGCTGTAGCAGGCTCTGTTTTAAAGCTAGAGTGAAGATGCTGATATCATATGAAACCAGAACAGGCACCAATTGGTACCATGGAATGGAATGTAACAGGGCAAAATAAAAACAAGCCAAAAGGAAAAGAAATCAGTAGGGTGGAGATAATTCCACCTGTTCGCAGTGTACTTCACTAGGATTCATCTTACCCAGTAAACACTGAGGGTTTTCAGCTGTCCTCACTCGGACTGACCAGTGAGGAGCTTGGAGAGGGTCAAGGTCACTGCCAGGACACACAAACAGATTACATATGATTAAATCTCATATCTTTCAAGATCATGGCGCATAGACTAAATCTACTCAAACTAAACAAAGGAAACAAACTTGTGCTGGCGCTTACAAGCCAAGGACAGACAGCCTTTGTCTGCATTGGAAAGGAGGAATACCACAACATTAAGCATGTAAACTGACTGATGTTGACATTTACACGTGGGTTGTTAAGTTGTTATGTGCTATATCTGACTAACTTATATGTCTATCCTTTTAACTGATGTCAGCAGTGCACTTATTCCACAGTAGATGTTTTTCATCCCTCATTCAGAAGACCACTCATAAAGACATGTGTCCTAGATGTACTGAGTGTAAAATGTAGATAGACATTTTTTGCATATAGCCAAATCATAGACATATTTCATAGAGCAGAAAACAGCTTTCTGACTAGGGATGGAAGAATACACGCTATTATCGAGTATGGATAAGTTACCAGATTTCCATTGTCAGCGGCATAAGTTGTAGACCCACAAAAAAAGTTAAACTGGATGTGTGGAAATATTATAGATTCCAAAATACAGAACAGGGAAATGAGGTGTCTATCTGTGATGGATTAACAATATATGAAAATGTACGGAAAAAATATTCCAGTATGTTTTAGTGCCATTTAAAGGAATTTTAAGTATATTTTGATAATTATTGGGATAATATAGTGAATCACAATTATTTTTGCCAGGATAATCATGACTTGAAATTTTCATAATCATGAAAGTCACAGTCATAAAACAAAAAATTGTTTTGCCCCCGCTGTTACGGAAGGTATATTACATTACAAGCTTTATAATTGTATGGAACAACATATATTTCAACGAACGCATTTAAATGTTGTTGCAGTTGGAGTCTCTTACCTGTAGACGTCATTATCCACTACTATGCCTTCCGTCAGGTGAGGCCAAGTGGTTGCAAGATGAAGCTCACTACAGCAGCCGAAAACAGACTAAATGAGTCATTTTGTTTTGCACAGACATGTGTTCTTGTGATAAACTGTTTCTATTAATTTATGTAAACACAGAAAAACGGAAACACGAGCAAAACAAAAATATAAAAAACCACCCCACCCACATGCCAAAACCCAGCCAGGATCTCACTGACATCAAGTGGACATAACACATCAAATATGTTTTCTTATATGTGATAGTTCTCCTATTGGAACTGAAATGTAATCAAAGCACAGTGAAACAAAATGTAAAACGTAAATTAATTTACAATGCCTTTACCTGATTGGCTCCTCACAGGCTCCAAATGGTATCTTCCCAAACTCCACCCCTCCCACCTCACCTCCAAGGAGTGTGTCAAAGTCTGTCAGAAAGCCAAACAAAATACACAACTGTAGCAAAAACAGCTGCAACACACAGCACTAAATCTGTTGTTACCGAAAACTGAGTGTGTACAGGTGACAAACACCAGAGGTCAGCAGGAGGCCATGACACATCTGAAAGAGCTATAGTGTTCAGTGAGACGGGAGGCACTGCCTGTGTCTGACATTTTCAGTGTAAAATGTGTGCAGGAGCAGTAGTAGCATTAATAATACATTAACTGTACTTTGCAATAATTCTTGGGTTCTGAATAAGCATTAAAGAAAATACACATAAAAACACTAAGGCTTGGAGAACATTTTTATTCTTAGATGTGTCTCCAATAATCAGAAATTTAAAACTAAACTCTTGACATTCTGATTGGCTGTAACAAAACAGTACCTGGCTGCAGACAAAAAGAGGAATGTATGTTTGTTACAGCCGAATGTTCCTTATAGCTAATGTAACGAATGAGAACATATTTTGTGTTTACATTCTAAGGTCAGCGTACAGCTAAATACTGAGATTTGGTGAGCAACCGAAGACTGACACAATCCAACTGGCACCCCATAGCTTAGCAACAGCTTTTATCAAGTGATTTAGAACACACTGAAGTCTGTGTGCTGTTAATGTACTACAAGGAAGCTGCTGTGATGCTTGTTCATGTACATGATGAAGGTTATGTACCGAAAACAAAATAATTCATATGCAAGACGGACAGTGGACAGGATTACTGTGAGCTACAACATTGCATTGTTGTACTTGTATTGTACTTTGATATCATGACAGGCCTGTTGTCAAACTGACGGTATGCGATCGATGAGATTTTTTGGTAATGTGTAACCACATCATCCTCTGTTCAGCATATGCATACCTGGAGGTTGCTGTGGCCACGAATGCTGCTGCCAGTCCTGGAGAATGTAGGTAAAACGGATGGTGATGTTGACTGGAGGTAGGGGTGACAGGGTACAACCCTGAGGAGAAAAAAAAAAAAAAAGCTGTTGGTGAACATGCTCTGTGGCTCTTTAGCCCCACTCCAGTGGCTCCCTCTGGTGCGAACCAAGACCCTCTTTTTAAAGCGGTCTCAGTTAGGGCTGTGGGATAAGATCAAAATCTTATATTCCAAGTCAGTGATCTCCTGTAAATCCCTTCTTAAAACATACTTTTGTGTGAGAGCCTGCACTGATTTTACTTGAACTTTAATTTTATTTCCTAAATGTTTTTTTTCTGGTTGAATTTTTGAATTTGTTTTTAAATTGATGATTTTAAAGCTTTTTTTGTTTTTATGTGTAACATGGGTTTTTAAAGTGCTCTATAAAGATTATTATGATATCATTACTAACGATATACATCGATCAGCCATAACATTCTGACCCCCTGGGCACTCTGGTGGTCATTATGTTCTGCAGCCCAATACCAACAAACTGCTCTGCACTGTGTGTTCTGGCACCTTTCTATCAGAACCAGCATTAACTGGTTCAGCAGTTTGAGCTACAGTAGCTCGTCTGTTGGATTGGACCACACGGGCCAGCCTTCACTCCCCACCTGTATCAATGAGCCTTGGCCCCCCATGACCCTGTCTCTGGTTCTTTTCCTTCCTTGAACCAGGTTTGGAGATACTCTGACCCAGTTGTCTAGCCTTCACAATGTGGCCCTCGTCAAAGTCGCTCAGATCCTCACGCTGCCCATTTTTCCTGCTTCTAACACATCAACTCTGAGGACAAAATGTTCACTTGCTGTCTGATATATCCCACCCACTGACAGGAGCCATGATAACCAGATAATCAATGTTATTCACCTCACCTGTCAGTGGTTATAATGTTATGGCTGATCTGTGTATTTATCTCATAAAAACTCAAGAGTGTGATGCACAACAAAATAAGAAAATAGAGCATAATATAAATCGACGATGTTCTATCATCACAGGATACAGATCATCACATCGCACAGCCCTGGTCTCAGTGTTGTTTGGTCAGACCCTGCCTGCCTATATCCTATAACATGGACTTGAAAACAAAACAATACCTGTCTGTTCGTACACAACCCTTATAAAAGGAGAATAAAAAACACAGAGAAAGGCTAATTGGGCATGTGACCAAGTTAAAGAGAGGTGGGTGACATAATAGAATTCCATGAAGTAATTTCCTCATGTTCTTTCTCTGTAACACTTACTATCTTAGACCTGAAGATGTCGAGCAGGCCAGACAGGTGATTGTACTGGCTTGGCACCTTGCGGAGGTGGACCATCTCAAAGTCAGTGCGCACACCTGGTCCCTGGCACTCTCCGGCATACATCCGCCTCCACTTCTGCTGGATCTGCACAAACATGGGCACCTGGCTGAAAGTACAATATAAAGAGGAGGGGGAATTATTACTATGAAGAGTGCGCTCTATCTCTCGGATAGTGCTCACACCCAGCAGCAGGTTCTCTCAGCCAGCTAGCTCCTCTGAAGCTACACAGTGCTAAGTGAATGACTGCAGGTTCATGCTTGAAATAATGAAAAAAATCTCCAAATTAGACAGATATCAACTCTTTGCAGGATTGGCATCCGTAGTTACTTATGGAGACAAAACAATGAATTGATTTTCTCTGCTTTTAAATAAGAAATAAATCCTCAGTTCCCGCTCTTCTTAAGAAATCATTTCCCAGGAGTTTTTTCTTGGCAATACAGGACAGCACGTGCTCCCCACGGTGGTCAGCGTATGGGACACTCAGCGTAAGCTCGCTTTCATGGCGCGCTCGGCTATTCTCACCACAGCCAAATTTTCCGCTGCGGCCTTAGTGAAGCAGAACAGCAGTCTTCATGAATTTCTTACAGTTTCCTCTAACCATTATATTAATTTAGCCACAGCCCATAAATAACAGTTAATTGAGTAGAAATTATTTTAATTCACAGGAAACTCATCTTCTGACATGGGGGCCAAAATGAAAAGGGGTTTTTTGTTCCGTGTCTTGTAATCCCACCATGATGTGTATACCGAGCAGCTTATCCTGCCAACAGTTACATTTCAAACTTAATACATTTTGCATTAAAACTTTGTCAGTCTATAAAGTCTATAAACTGTAATATTTGCCTTTGTCTTCTCTCTCTGGTGGTTTGTTTCCAATCTGTTCTGTTTCTTCACAGTGGTGTATCAGTGTCCCCAGATGGCAGGTATTGAACTGATGAGTACAAAGGTATATTGATCGATTGAACCAATGGCTAGATCTATGAAAATAAAACTGTAGCCCTTAAAAATAAACCTGTTGCTGATTAGCTTACATTCTATTAGTCACATGATTAACTGTCTTTTTTTTCAGACCATTTACCCTGTTAAACCCCATCAGAAATCCCAGAATGTTTGTGAGTTAAGGCCACTGTTGTTGTTTTTTGTAATTTTCAAATATTTTTAAGAAAAGGACAGTATGATGAAGTACACAGGATTTATTGTTTGGTTTTAACCACGGTATAAAGAATCGTGAAATTTCACTAGTATTGGTATGGTATGGATTACTACATTTTTAGTATTGTGACATTCCTATATCCATCCACTTATGCATATAGGGATAACATTTGGGATTCTTACAGTATCTGTAGCAATGTAACACTATAAAAAGCTCCTTCAGCCATTTAAACTACAGCCTCTGATTTGAGAAGTGCTGTACCAAAGCACAGCGCCAGTCTCCTCCTCTCCAAAACAAACGGACCCACTGATTAAAGCAGTTCCACCTTAAAAATCACTGCTTCTCCCACACTGTTGGGCAGACAAAGGACGTCCCGGAGGGGCTGCGAGTCGAGCTGCTGCTAACGTTAGCTCAGCTTGTTTCTCTGATAACTTAAGATCCAGACGTCCGATGACTAAAATCCTTCATCCGGTTCAAATCTAGAGTTAAAAAGCACCAAGATCTAAACAGTGGATGGTAACAATGTGGCTTCAGACTGGATAAACAGTCAATGTATGACAGTTTCTGGCAGACAACCACAATGCTGACGCAGGCACAAAGGGGATATGATGCCATCGACAGGCGACCCGTGAAACACAGCGTTACCTGAATAAAATGATAATTTCCCTGAGTTTGGTAGGTATATAGACAGCTTTGACAGAAAGGACAGAAATGTTACATATTACAATTTTAACAACTTTTCAGTTCAGCTCCTTTTGCCACATTAGACTAAGACAGAAAACTGCATCAGAGCTTTGAGTGATGACACTCACCAGCCACTGTTGGCCAGGGAAATGGAGATGGAGCTGAGAAGCAGATTGCATTTGGACTCGCTGATGATAGCTTCGCAGTTGGTTCCAGGGCTGATGACCACAAACTCTCGTATGCCGTACCTGCCACCACAGACACAGTTACAGCAGAACACGTCAGCATCACATCTTTCATTTTACAGTGAATTTAAACATTTGTCTGATTTTCTGCGTAACTTCTCTCTCTGTAACCTAGTTTTCTCTTTACATAAAAACAAAATGACTGACTGTGCTCAACTCACCATCTGACCAGGCAGTGGGCTCGAGGAGGGAAGTCATTGTTCATGCACAGAAGGTCCTGCATTGCCAAGGGGAAGGCATCTGGACAAAAGAGCAAGAGTTGTGTGAGACATTCTTCTCATATTCAGAATGGCAATCAGGATGTTTGGATTTCAGGTGATAAATTAAACCCGACGTGGAGAAACTCTTGCAGATGCACCCCCTCTTGAAATTTCAGCATTACACGTTTTGCAAATCGCTATCCGTGGGTCTTTCTCAGATATATTTAAATACATCCACACCGCAGACATGGTGGCGCTTATCCAGACAAGCGTGTGCTGGCCGCGGTTTTTGTTTGCATCATCACAACTTTCTGTTTCGGCCGTGTTGTTTCGGTGATAAAAGTATTTCATCCGAAAACCGAAAATGCGCTTTTGGGACATTTTCAGCCGAAAATATTCGGTGCATCCCTAGTTAAAACATTGCTATTAACTCATCAGGTAAATATTATGCCGCATTCAGACATGACTGTACCTTCCTCAACCTTGTCCTTCTCGTCATCCTTCTCACATTCTTGTTTCAGGAAGTGGTGAGTTATGTAGAATTTGAAGTCAGCAAAGTTGATATCCTGACACTTCTCCCCCCAGGTGCCACTGGTGTATTCTCCCTGTGTTGGAATAATGCAGCATCATTACAGAGTGAAGGGGAAGAGCCTACCGGCAGCTCACTGCTGTTATTCAGCTCAATATTTGATTTTGATTTAATGAAAGCACAATACCTTCTCAGGGGACAACTTTCCTGCAGAGCTCCCGATCAGCTTCCAGTCATTCAGCACTTCCTCCACTCTGGACACAAACCTTCAGGTAGGCAAAATCAGTTCTGCTGTCATACACAATATCCTACTATGGAAGGCGCTGATAGTAAGGCCAACAGCAATAGACATGAGCTAACTTAGAACTGAAAGAATTAGTCAATTAAAGCTGCAGTAGGTAACTTTTCTAAAAATAACTTGTCGTCATATTAGCTGAACCTTTCACTATATCCTGACAGTAGAACATGAGACAGATAATCTGTGAAACAATCAGGTTCCTCTGGCTCCTCCTAGTGATCCTAATGGTATTTGCAAGAATCCACTGGGCCTGAATATAATAGTTAGCTTTTCTTGGCATAAATCATGAAAAGGCAACTCGTTCCAGAGACAACATCACTAGTAGTTAGGTGATGTATGGCTCAATGACTGCTATGACTGGTGATACTCACGGGAAACTACAATGATTAGTCAAATTTGTGGAAAATTGTGGCGATTGGACAAAAATGCAAGCTCGCACAGAATTCGCAGCGATTAGCTGAACTTGTGTCAGTTGTTGCAATCACAACTTCCTGGAGGGACTAATGACTACTCATGGGTTAGAACATGCAATTACTTATTTTTACAACATGCCATTACCTCCTTCTGTAACCTGTGCAATATTCTATTTTAACTTAAATCACATCTGTATAGAAATATTGTATATAGTGTACATACAACCCTAACTCTATTTGTTTTTATTGATAACTTGTATTTTCTATTTTATTGTGTTATTTCATGTGTATTTATTTTTTTCCTATCTGCTATGTACTATCTGGAGCTGCTGGAACAAGTACATTTCCCCAGTGTGGGATCAATAAAGTCTATCTTATCTTATCTTTACATGAAGTAAAGGAAGTAACAGATGTACACATTTTGAAAAAAGGTGAATAAAGACTTTTGTTTTATTTGGCACTTCACTGTTGAGATTTGAAACAATTCACGGGGCTGTTAAGAATATTTGACTTCACTACTGTCACTGTATGTAAATCTCCATGAGAAATTAAACACATCTTCAGTAGACTCCATGTTCTTGCCATTTTGATACAGTTGCTCAGACATTGATCTGTCTTGGTTTAACAAGTGATTCTGGTGTGTTTCATTTTGGTTAGAGATATCCTGATCACGTTCTTTAGCCTCTGATGTGATCTGAGTCATTTAATATTGAATAACTGCCAATAGCAAGGCCCAAGATAATACAGGTGCACAGCACACACTTCAAGTACATTTAAGTTATTAAAATAAACCCAGTGTATATGCATGCATTACAATTGAATAGCTCTGCATCAATATATAAAACCAATCATTTAAAAAATGCCTTGATCAGCCCCGATACCACTCTCTGAGTTCGAATCCGGACATCCCTAATTGTGGCAGCTGTTATTGGTTTCTTTGATCAACGCTGCACCGTGCTCTAGTCTACATCATTAAATAATGTGGCGATGGCTGTTTGAGAACCCCTGGCCTAAACACCTTCCTCATTATCAAACATACATAAGCATTTAATCAGCATTTACTGCTAACTGATCTAATGTTGGAGAGATTGGATTAAAACATAATAATGTATTCATTTGTGTTTAGATAACTGCGACTTGCTGTAGGCAGCTTCTGCCTTCTGTCTATGGCAGGCCGTTTTAACATGTATCATCTTATTTTGCCTAGTCAGAATTACATTGTGGCTAGTCAGAATTTGTATTCAAGATATCTATAACGTCATTCTGACTAGTCAAAACATCAGTTAGAGATATCAGTAATTCAGTTTAGACTAGTCAAAATAATAGCTGCAGATATCTCAAATGTCATTATGACATGGTCAAATTGTTGTGCATGACGCTGCTCATGCAAAGGCTTCCCACTGGATATTGTCCCAGCAAAGCATTTATTAACTGTGTTAGCAGAAGCAATGGCAGTTTCTATTGTGGATAAAATACCATGACACTATGAACTAGTGTCTGTCTGAACCGGTGTCAGTCTGACTGTATGAACCGGCGTCAGTCTGAACCGGTGTCAGTCTGACTGTATGAACTAGTGTCAGTCTGACTGTATGAACCGGTGTCAGTCTGACTGTATGAACCGGTGTCAGTCTGACTGTATGAACCGGCGTCAGTCTGACTGTCTGAACTAGTGTCAGTCTGACTGTATGAACCGGCGTCAGTCTGACTGTATGAACCGGCGTCAGTCTGAACCGGTGTCAGTCTGACTGTATGAACTAGTGTCAGTCTGACTGTATGAACCGGTGTCAGTCTGACTGTATGAACCGGTGTCAGTCTGACTGTATGAACCGGTGTCAGTCTGACTGTATGAACCGGCGTCAGTCTGACTGTATGAACCGGTGTCAGTCTGACTGTCTGAACTAGTGTCAGTCTGACTGTATGAACCGGTGTCAGTCTGACTGTATGAACCGGTGTCAGTCTGACTGTATGCTTCGGGCTGTGTGACCCTCTGCTGTACATCCGGCCGTCCAGCTGTGAGGTTGTAGTGGACACGTACAGTATGACATCACGGCTCGGCTGGGGCTGAAGCGGACCGACCGTGAGCAATGGAAAATCCTGTTTGTGTGTGTGTGTGTGTGTGTGTGTGTGTGTTTCTGGCAGTAACACGGTGCTGTCCTCGCTGCAGTGTCAATGACTCATAATACCAACTCTAATACAGGGTAGCTAGCTGGCCGTGAGAATAACTCGCCTACCGTTCCCACTCTGACGCCGTGGTGAAGTCGGTGATTTCAAACACCTCTGACTCCGGCTGGAAGACAAAGAAACAGAGTATTCAAGAAGATGAACACACATTCAGGTCGCAAATACTACTACGCTGACCTCCTGCACTCAGTTCCTTCTCTAAAAAAAACTCACATCGCTGTCAGCGGCCATGTTGGTGTCCTGTTGTTGTTATGCTTCTTCTTCGTCCACGTCTTGCATTTGTGTTTCCGGCATTGTAGACGCTGCGTATGGTTTACTGCCCCCACAGTTCAGAACATGGATGTACTCTCTTCTTCTTTTTTAATGGCGTTTGGCAAACAGCTTTTATGCGCATTACCGCCACCTTCTGGATCGGAGTGTGGTTCATTACGTTACTGTCCAGCGGTTCCCAACCTTTTCCGCCTTTCTGTCAGTGAGTAAACTGACTAAGAGACATATTTGATGTCTGTTTCATATTATATATACTGTGTAACAGTGACAGTAGAGAACAGCTGATACACTGTACAATGAACACACACAGTGAACACAATACCTGCAGGAAGTTTGTGTAAAACCAGAGATCTGGGTGAATCTTGAGCAAATTATTGAATATATGTGAATATTCATCAGTTTTCCTGATATTTTTAGGGACACTGTTTATACAATTCTCTGTATTACTCTCTCTGTTCGCTCTTTGGTTGTTTGAACTGTTCTAATGCAGGACGAGGCTGTTTATCAGAGAGTAAAGGCTCTGTGAATACAGCTTGTGTCATAAAAAAGTAATCTAAACTTTAAAAATATTTATAATTAATAATTAATGAAATACTGAGAGATAGGCCAACTGTGTATCTTTTCTATGTATTCTTACACCTCTTAAACATAAAGAAGGCCTCTGAAGCTTCAGTGACCCCAAGGTGTTCTAAAACTGTGTTTTTCAAATTGGGCCCTGCCTGGGGGTGGCAGGGGGCCTTAGCAGATTTTAGGGAAGATGAGAGAAAAATGCAATTGTAGCAAGTATTATAAAACATAAATTATGATTATTATTATAAAATAGAATTAATTATATTAAAGATATCCAAACCTACCTATCGTTCTAATTGCCTGAACACTATAATTTAAAATCAGACAGATATTATCCCATAAACTCCACGATTTGCCAATATATTCCCATTCTAAAAAAATCTGATAATAGCCCCTGTATCACCTAAACTCCTCTGCAATGTTTCACAGCATCTCACGAGTCACATGTGTACAAGTTTCCTGCAACAAAGTGCACTGAAGATGTTTAATCAGTCTCCCCCTCCCCCCCGTCACCCCGTCTTCTAAGATGGTTCCTCGTGTTTCACAAGAAAAAGGAAAATGTACCATTGTCAAACAGAATCCGGCTACTATCTAATGGAATTTACTTTGTTTTTTTAAACTGGTCAAGCTCAAACATTACAATACATCATGCTTATTTCCATCTTTCACATGTTTGATTTATTGAAAAACACACAATAGTCATAAAGTGATTAGCTAGAGGCCTTTATTAGTTGAAACACATACTAGAAATATTACAATACAAGAGAGGAGCATAATATACTGTCACTTCCTTCTCCTTTTCACTGCAATCAATCACCATATTCGCCTCCAGTCACCTGACCCTTCATAGACCACATTTGAGGTCTCAGAAGTCAGGCTGGCTGTTGTACAGTGGGCCTGGACTGCTTTCTGGGGGTCATGAAACCAAGTGGGAGTCAGAGACAGGGAGGATACAACCTTTCATCAAAGATCCTAGGACAGAGGGGATCCCCCTACTGCTCAGGGGCCTGCTGTTCAGATCTGTTAAGTCCACATACAACAGGCGCCTTAGTAGTCATACACAAACCTAAAAGCTAAAAGTGAGACATTTATGTACCAAATGTATTAATTATAATCACTCTGGGTCTATCAAAATACTGTGACTGTCACTAGCTTTCACCTTGTGTTCACACAGATCATTTGTTATGGAGCAGAGCAACAAATATAACCCACCAACCAAAGATACACTTGAGTATAGCGATATTTTGTTTTGCGATATTGTATTGATTCTCAAAAACACGTAAACTGTGGGCTATGATGTTGGATGTTACAGGGACTGGGATAAATTCAAATTCAGAACCCACTGTTCTGGTTGCATACCAACGTTTTTTACTCACATTTTATGCATATGGTGGTTTGATTTTTAAAAACTGCAATATATCGCAGTATATTAAATCGTAACCCCTTTATCGTGATACGTATTGTATCTGCAGATTCTTGTCAATACACAGCCCTAATAACTGAAGCTGCACTACATTACAGAAATACAAGTTGCTCTGTGTTAACATCATTTTAGACATTTTAGTATCAGGGGTCATTTTCACGAGTATTGATAATTCTTTACCCTAAGAATTACATTGAATTAGAAATTGTCCTTTCCCTGTATCCTGTCAAACAGCCAATTTAACCATCAGTACAGTCTATAGAGGTCATTCACACTGTGAAAACACTTTCTTCTGACATACTGTGTTTGCAGCACATGATGTTTCTAGAGGCTTTTCATTATTTGAGTGGGTTTTGGTTTGGTTTGGCTCAGTTGACAACAATAACAGTACAAGCAGCTGCTGCTTTGCTTCAAGGCAAACGAATGATGAAAACAACAAAAAAAATCTGACACACAAGTAAACAAATATCCTTTTGACAAAATAAACAAATAAAAAAAGACAAAACTGAAAAAAAAAACAGCCTCAAAATGGTCATATTAGCAGAAATAATTGGTGCATTAGGTCAGGAGTAATTTTACAGTCTAACAGGTCTGTGTGCAGATACAGATACAGAGAGAGAGAGAGAGAGAGAGAGAGAGCGCTCTGGGGTTTCACTGGGTAAAGGACATGTACATGTACAGTGAAAGCATTTAAAGTAGAATACATGACTCCTCCTTCGAACGTAAACATGCATTAGTGTACAACTACGAAGCAGCCTTTGGCAGCCAGACAGGCTGAGTACCATAAATGTGACTAAAGCTATGAGGCAGCTGACTTTTACTTTGCTCAGCCAGAGAGCTAGCCTTCCATATATACTGCACTGGGCTGCATTCCATTCCAGTTGTTTTGATATGAGAAGTACAGGTGGGACATGGTGTATAAGATATTATACTACAATCTAGACGTGTAATTAAGTACAGTTAATAATTTAACTAATTGAAATAGTACGAGGTGACCCTTGTACATTTTCTGTGCAGGTGAGACGGTTTTCAGACCAACATCAGTGATCATTTATTTCAGCTGATGACAAAATAGGTCGTCTGGTAAAAGTAGAGTCTCAGGGTTCTTTTGGCACAACCAAATGCAATGTTGTCCAGCAACCAACTGCACTGGCTAAGTGCACATTCCTGAATTGGGTATTTCTTTCACTTATCTGCCGTCTGTTGAGACGGAGTAACAAGTTGGTGGTGTGTGGTATTAAACCTATATCCTACAGCTTGTGTCTGGATATAGACTGTGTGGTCCACAGGGACTGAAGAACAAAGTAACTTGGGCGAATTACCTATTAACCTAGTCCCAACAGAGAGCGTGACTGCAGCTATGATACTAATGGTGCTCCCTGTGGATAAGCGCTTTACACATGCCTCAAGTGATCTCTGAAGCAGAAGGCAAAACAGACACACCTTCTCTGTATGTGAAACCAATTTACTCTCAAAGGGAATATCAGAGCTATCCTGGGCTCAACAGGATTTGTACACTGGTGGTTTAGCAGCTGGACTAGCTGCAGGGGACAGACCATGTAGGGACATGAGGGTAGTCTATTTTATGTTTCTGCTTGCTGACAGACATTTGCAGTTGGCCAACAGACACGACAGAGAAGGATCAGGCTTGGTCTTAAAGTTAGTTTAATCTGTATCCTCCATTGACGCCTGTGAGCAGGGAGCATGCACTAGCAGCAATCTTAAGTGATGAATTAGTTTGTGTTATGTAATTCATAATAAATGTTTTACTTGTTTATCTAATAGCTAATTTTCTTGGATTGCGTTATGAAAATTGCCCATGGAAAAAGTAAAAAAAATCCTTTATTAAAGACAAATGTAGATGTTGTATTTGATAAATTACTGATAATTAATCAGTCCTGATTGGTATCCCTTCTATAATCCAAAAAGAAAAGAAACAGGTTGAATGAAACATTGCAACATAATGAAACATAACTTACACTGTACAAACTGACAGCACATTTTATTTCCCAAATAGGAAGAGACCAGCTAAGAGCTCTGATAGGTTGAAGGGAGCGTCCATTGATTGAATTGACCCATGAGCATTGAGAAGGTGCAATAATGAGGAATAAGGTGCGTTTGGGTTATTGGGGGGTAAATGGCACAGAATGTAAACATAACCATTAAACCTATACATCCTGACCTAATCGAAGGAGGAGAGCTGTTTTGGGAATGTTGTGGAATTAGTGAGAAGGTGGAGGGTGTGAGGGTGTGGTCGGGTCTAGCCCTCCCTCGCCGTAACGCGTGGCTCGGCCAGGGAGCTGTGGATGATGCTGCTTATGGACTCCGCCCCCTCTCCTTCCAGGAATGTGCGATGGTCTCCCTCGATAATGTGGATCGACACCTTGCCATCACATACCTGAAGAAAGAACCACAGAGAGAGATTCAAGAGAGAGTCAAATATAGTCCTATCTGCCATCATCCTTCAGCTTTTCTCTGCGGTGGACAAATTCATTTTCTGGAACCTTCAAATGTTTTAAATAATCTTTACTCCACTTTTAAATAAACCCTTGTGCAATTGTGTGCGATCTGTAAGTTACCTCGCCGAGCTTGTAGTCAGCTCCCAGGTTTTGTTCGTACTCGCTGCTGGTTTTTGCACGCAGTAGTGTCACATTGCCGCGGTATTTTGCTGCAGGAACGTAGCTGTCAGCAGCCTTCAGCTTGTGGTAGAAGGTGGTGGCAGCAAAGTGAAGCGAGTCTCGGCTGATGTCCTTGTGGGCAGAGGTGATCAGGTCCACCGCAGTGTTGACGCGGGCCTCCAGGTCCACCAGCGGGAGAAGAGTCTCCAGAAGCTGCAAAGATTTAGATGGAGACCATTGTAGGTACTGACTTGTTGAAGCAATATATAGTGATATACAGGATCAGACACAAGGATAGATCAAATATGAGTGTTACACATGATCTCATCACTCCTGTCTATGTATATTCTGTATATCCATTCCTATAATATCCTCTTTTTCATTTATTTATCTTTTTCAGAGAATTTAATCTTCTCAAATGTGAGTATGTTCTGCTTTCTTTTGTCCTCTATGACGGTAAACTGAATATCTTTGGGTTGTGGACACTGTGTGACATTTAAGGACGTCACCTTGAGCCACATTAAATATACTGTAGTGTTTTATCAGAATTTCAGTTATAATTAGAAAATGAGAAAATTTGTACAGTCAAACTTAACCAGAGCTTGGATTCTCTGAATTTCTGGTGGAATAAGTAGTAATTAAGTAACATCACCTGTCATCAATTTTAAGAAGTACACTTGATGAGTGTGCCAGGAACCTAACCACATACCACGTGTATTCTAGGACACCTCACACTCCCAGATTGTATGTAGAAATTATCCAATTTCCAATGTCTGACATTTCCAACGTAAACTACTGGTCTGCAAGCCCACCTTACGCGTGACATGCTCAAGCACCCACATACTCTCTGAAATGTGAAAATCTTTAGTGAGAGTCGAAGTGTGTGCATGTGTGTACCTTCTTGTACTCAATGCCAGTGAACTGCTGGATGAAGGCACTCAGGGCTTCAGTTTCAGCCTCTGACTCTTTGCCTGGTGTCAACTTGGCCCTGTAGCTCTGGAATCAAGAGAATGAATGAAGAAATCAATAGTTAATATGTGTCACCTCTCCACACCCTCCCAAACCGCCATGAGTAATTAAACCAGGTCATACTGTTAATTCACTGACTGTGTGTGTGTGTGTGTGTGTGTGTGTGCTGTGTGTGTGTGTGTGTGTCTGTGTGTGTGTGTGTGTGTGTGTGTGTGTGTGTGTGTGTGTGAGAGAGAGATAGTGTATCGGCTCCTTTTTCTTACCTTTGTGTACGCTGCCACATAGGAGTGTGATCCGTCAAATAGGAAGAGGTATTCCACGGGCCGATTCTGGGCCTGAAGCTGAGAGACCATTTCAAATGCCACGCAGGCCCCAAAGGAGTAGCCAGCAATCCGATATGGGCCATCTGGCTGAACCTGTCTGATGCAGTTCACATAGTAGGCTGCCAGGGACTGGATGCTGTCCAGAGGAGCAGCTGAGGGAGAGGGGGCACACTAAGATGAGCCTGGAGCAACACTGTATAATCAGTTCAATGGAAACACTCAGAGCATCGACTCCTCACCTTTGGTGCACTGCAGGCCGTAGCAAGGCACGCTGAGCTTGAAAGCGAGCGTCTTAAAGGCAGCTGTGGAGCCCTCGATTGGATGGACGAGGAACAGTGGCCTCTCCTGGCTCTGGATCTTGTTGAGCGGCGTTACCGTGGGGCCGTCAGGGTTGACTAATAGCTGGGTCAGATCAGACTCCAACAAAGAGCGAACGGCGTCCCTCTTAGCTGTCGCCTGCTGGGCTTCTGGATGTTGTTGCAAACACAAACAAAAACAACTATTCTTTCTGTTCTGATCTGCGTGTCTAAAAGCTACATCCTACAAAGATCTGGATTTAAGATTGATGTTACAAAAATAAAATCTAATACAGTTCTTAAACATACCATTCTGTCCACCTGGCTTGCTGTTGGCCAGCTCTCGCAGCTTGTTGATGGTGAGCTGGCGGATTTCCCTCATGGCCATGACAATATCGTAGTCACGCTCCAGAGTCTGGCGGACCTCCACGCCCATCAAGGAATCCAGGCCCAGGTCAGCCAATGACGCATCGGCGTTTAGGCTGTTCACATCCCGGACACCTGAGGGTGAGGGGTGCAGAGAGAGTTCTGTGAGCTTCGTGTGGTAGATGAATGTTTTAGGTGGGGGAGTTAATGTAAACGTTTTGGTTAGGGGGCTGTGTTTTATGGTCGGAAATGACTGGTCAGTCACAGGGTCATTGTGAAAGACCTAAACTGCCCATGTGTAATATAGATTAAGAATGTAGATAGGACAACAGCTGTGTCCTGTTTAATGATGTGTTGGGTATATAAGGCAAAGCATTCTAGAAGTCTAGAGGGAACGTCTATGCTGTGGTCTTCCCTCCATACAGCATGAGTAAAGGAATTTGAGTCATCACACTGGGTTTGTAATTCTTCAGAGAACTAGCACCTCTCCAGATTATGGAAGAATTTCCCCAACATTAGCCTGATCACATTAAACAAATGAATGAATGCTGGGGGCGCCCGGTTAGCTCAGTGGGTAGAGCTGGCGACCCATGTACCGAGGCTGAGGCCTTGCTGCAGCGGCCCAGGGTTCAAATCTGACCTGCGGCCCTTTGCTGCGTGTCATCCCCTCTCTCTGTCCCCCTTTCCTGTCTGTCAATAAAAGACAGGAAAAAATGAATGCTGTAGAACCATCTCGTCTGGCCGAAAGTGCATGAAATTTTTTGAGCTGGTGGTTGTTGGAACACTGCAAAGACTAACTAATATGATTTTGGTGAGTTTTATTTTGTTTCTGTCCATTTTGAATAAAGTTACAATGTTAAGATGAAAATGACCTTTTTTGTCTGGTGGAGAGTGATAGTGATATTACGGCTGTTTGTGGTTAAACTAAAGGTCTATCTCTGACACTGAGAATAACAATCTGAGCCTGCCAGTGGCAGAAACAACTTTTAGTGGACGGGCGCATTTGTCTCCAAGGATTAGCTAACGTTAGATGGCAGCCATAGCAGCCTGTTTCGTGGCTATTTTCTCATCTGTGTGTGAAGTAAGGGTTTATTTAGACCAAAGCAGCGTTGGGTGATTGTTGGAACAGTGGAAATACTAACAAAGATAATTTTGATGAGTTTTATTCTGTTTCTGTCCACTCCGAATGAAGTTAGGACTCTGAAGTTATATTTTTGTTGTTTGATTCATAATTACAGCTTGTTTGAAGTGTCTTTGTTGGTAGGGGTGCTTTTGTATAGCTTGGCTCTTACCCAGAATGTGAGCTACGGCGTCCTCCAGGCTCTTCTGGCTTCCTGCCTCACTCTTTACTACTGTCCTCTCTGCCAGCACAAAGCTGGACATCACTGGCCTCTGCTGGCACAGGAAGAGGTCCAGCACCTCCAAGCAGGATGCAATGCGCTGCGGGAGGGTGCCGCCAATCACTGCGTCGTTGCCACCCATGGTCTCCAGCACCACGCCTACGTCGCCGATGGCACCCCACTGGACCGCCAGTCCAGGTACGCCGTCGTAGCGGCGTTTTTCACATACACGCTCCATGGCTGAGTTGGCGTAACCGTAGTTGCTCTGGCCGGCATTTCCACGGCCGCAGCTGACTGAGGAGAAGGCCACGAAGTAGTTGAGGTCCGGACACGACTTTCTTGTCACTCTGGAGAAAGAATGGAAGTGAGTGCATTAAGATCCAGAGAAGAAAAAATCAATTACGGATTTAAACTGCAGGATGATTGTGTGTCTTACTTGTCCAGGTGTATGGTGCCGTCATATTTAGGTTTGTTAACATCAAGGAAGAGCTGAGGAGTCAGATTCTCCAACATGCCATCTTTCAACACCTGATAATGTCAAAGCAAACATGCAAATGAACTTCAGATCAAAGTGGAAAGCAGTTTTTGGGGCAATAACACCAGAGAGGTCAGTGTGAGTATGGTATAGATATATGTATAGTATATGGATGTATGAGTATAGTATAGATATGACAGCAGAATGGAGCATGGATATAATAAAAAGCTATTAGCTCATTACTCTGGTGGTGCAGAAAGCCTACCATAACATATCAAATAATTCTGTCAAGGTGATATTTCAAATTATGAAAACTGTAGGCAGAAAGAAATAATAACACTTTTAAAAAGCGCTTCATTAGACAGTTGAGGTCTCGCCTATTTTTTCCACAAACAGTTCCCAGAAAAAATACACTGAAAATGATATTATACTAGCAACAAGTTAGTGAGATCAGATTGCCTCCACTATTTCATCACCTAGGCTGAAACTGTTAAAGTTGGACATGGATTGTCAAAACAATGTTTACCTAACGTTCATAGTTTGTATTTTTTTTACATTTGCAACAAATCAGAGTTTATGATTTCTGATTTAAAATGCTACTGGTGGCCTGAAAAGGACCTAGAGCTGAGGGCTACTGATGATGATGAGGTGGTGTGCTGTGTTACCATGGCCAGGTGGAAGACACCGCCCACTGGGCCCATTGCGCGGGCCTCAGCGACGAGCTGCTCTGTTCCCTCCAGTGTGCTGACATCATTGGTGGACACCAGCACTTCCACATCTTGACTCTGCCATTCACGCACTCGCTTTGCCTGGTAACCTAGCAATAGTTATAAAGGATATACATGTAACTGCTTTTTCTCTTTTCTTGAGTTAGAAGTTATTTTTGTTAAATTTCCCATTTTTTTTCGTTTTTACGTCTGTTTCATTCATATTTTTAATAATAAATGCCTCCTGAACGACTCCTGTCTAGTAACCTGCTTCTTCAACATAGTGTGTTGTCTTTGTGTGAATTGTTCTTTTCTCACTTATCAAATACTAAATATGTATAAAACTGAAGGCCAGCAGCTCTCTGCCGCTCACTAGCTCTGCACTTCAATGCTCTTATGAATCTGAATGGAACTGAGCAGCAACCTCCACTGCCTTGTGTCATTGTGCCTTACCGTTCCTGATGCCTGATCTGGAAGTCAGGACCAGTTTTTTGGCTCCTCTTTCTGTCAACCACTGAGCAAGCTCTAGACCAAAGCCCCCCAGTCCTCCTGTGATGATGTAGGAGCGGGAAGGGTGGCAGAAGGTGCGACAGATAGCTGGAAAAGACAAAGGGGGAGCAGTTTGGACTGCTGCACCCTTCTCCTCCTGACGGACCTGTGTGAGGACAAGAAGCAGTCAGAGGATACATACTGCTGTAGTAGACTTGGGGAGGGAAGTGGTTCACTTTCTAGGACTGAAGGTCAGAGGTGAAACTGACCTGCAGGAGGACCTTGCCAATGTGCTTGCCCTGAGCCATGTATCTGAAAGCTTCCTCCACTTGGTCCCTCTCAAATACTGTGGTCTTCAGAGGTTGAACTACACCTCCCACAATGCCTTCCTTCAGCAGCTCGGACACTTCCTCCCACTCCCGGTTGCCCTCTTCAAAGAGAGCATCTAGCAGGATGCCATGGAAGGCTACGTTCTTCAGGAACAGAGCCATGCCTGGAGAGAACATTGGTAACAGCCCAATTTATAGTGTGAGAGAAATGATTTAAAGCTGCAGTGGGTAACTTTTATAAGGGTGTCTGAGGAGGATAGTTGAGTCTCATTCCTAGATCTCAAAGCATCAGTATGTGACGCCCTGGGAATGATATTCAACAGTTAACTATCTTTCTTGGCTCGGATTGGTTGTTTTTATACAGTAGGAGCTCTAGCAGGATACTATATATATATATATATCTATATATCTATATATCTCTCTCTATATATCTCTATATCTATATATCTCTATATATATATATATATCTCTATCTCTATATATATATATATATATATATATATATATATATATATCTCTATATATATATATAGAGATATATATATCTCTATATATAGAGATATATATCCACACACACACACACGCACGCACGCACGCACGCACGCACGCACGCACGTATACTTTTATTTCTGGAATTCAAAGGAGCAACTTAATAAAATACTAGTACTATGACCTACTGACCCAGTGGGGAGTTGTTGGAAAGGTCGTATTTGCCAATCTCCAGGAACCGCCCGTGTCTGGCCAGGCAGCGGATACTAGCCTGAAGCTTCTCCTCTGCCAGAGAGTTCAGCACCACATCCACACCTGAAAGACACACAAAATAGTGCCTTTAAAACGTGGAACTTATTTTAGAAATTCAACAGAGAGAATATGCTGAAACTTTGTGAAGCAACACAACTCGTTACTAGAGGAAGAAGGGTCTGACCTTTGCCCTGTGTGTGGAGCAGGACGTGCTGTTCAAAGGAGGTGTTTCTGGAGTTGGCGAAGGACTCCGCTAAGAGCTGAGGGAACCTCTCCTGCAGGTAGGCCTGCTTCTCCTTAGAGCCTAGTGAGAGCACACAAAAATTTTTTAGCAGATACTATGTTAAAATTATCTCAGTTATTAGATACTATATCAATATCATGACCTTGTAATTACTGGAAATGAGACTGGAAAATAGAAGACACGAGTCATAATTATGAGGGAAAAATATTTAATAATAAAGATTTCGGTGTTTTCAAGTGGCTTTCATATAAAAATAAGTGTTTGAGAAGAGTTTTTGTGTCTAATCTGAGTGTTAGATACTGACCGACTGTAGTGAAGACTTTGCATTTCCTGCTGAGTGCTATGGCGATGGCAGCCTGGCCGACCCCCCCTGACCCAGAGTGGATGAGAACAGACTCTCCGGGGCGGAGCCTGCCGCGCACCACCAGAGAGTAGTAGGCTGTGGCATAGACCACGGGCACAGAGGCTGCCTGCTCCAGAGTCCTGCACACACAACAGAAGTATTATATAATAACTATCCTTTATGCTGCTGTGAGAGCATGCAGAAAGGGAGGAGCTTCTGCTTTCGATACATAAAAGTATATTTTGCTACTACTTCAATGCTTTTTATTTTACACACACACACACACACACACACACACACACACACACACACACACACACACACACACACACACACACACACACACACACACACACACACACACACACACACACACACACACACACACACACACACACACACACACACACACACGTAACACTGACCAGCTGGAGGGAACATCCCAGAGGAACCGTTTGTCAGCGTCCACACTTGTTGCCAGGCCTTTAGCGGGCAGCAGCCCCATCACACGCCGACCGTTTGGGTCACGACCAGAAAACTCCATACCCAACATGCACTGCTGCAGAGCTAGGTCACCTACACGATGTAGGATGAACACGAGAAGTTAATTGTCTAATTGTGTGGTAACTTACACGACGCTGTGTGTTGCTATTGTTAGATGAACACAGAAAGTGCATCCTTGCTGTGTGTCTTTACACTCTCTACCTGGAATAGCGTCTGGTGGCAGTTTGCCAGTGGCCAGCATGATATCTCTGAAGTTGAGCGAGCTGTAGTAGACACGACATAGCTGCACGTTGGGATTGCTGGACACAAAGTGGCGCAGTGGGGAGGCGATCCAGCGCAGAGAAGACAGATCACCTCGAGTCAACACATTGACGTAAGCCTGCTCTGTCAGCTCTTCATTTAGATCTGACAAACACAAAACACAGACTCAGTGGAGGTGTAAGCCGTGGGCACATCAAACACACTGAAAGGAAAACAAGTTATATGCATTAGAATGCATCTGAAATCAGAATAAGCAATATTCCGATATTTTGGTACCGTGAGTGATGAGCTGGTGCCTGAAGACGCCCCAGTGTCCGTCTCTGAACACATTCATAACCAGATCCCCCTCCAGCACTGACTGCATGGACTTGTGGGTCGGCTGGAGGGTCGGTGCAGCTGAAGACCCGTTTAGATTGGACACAAACGCACAGCTGGTGACCAGGAAGGAGAAACCAGAAAAGAACATTAAACCGTCAGACTGACCCAAAACAAGAAAAATAAGTTCTGTGACTTGTTTATGTAATTAAGTATGTTACACTTATGGTACAGGAGTATGTACGGTAGGGGACATGTCTCACCGTATTCGGTTGCCACCTGGCTCCTGCCGTAGACAGTTGACCATTCCCACAATGCCACAGTGGGCCTGAGAGGCAGTCAACCACACTGGACAGTCTGATGATTCAGCAATCGTCTCCTGCAGCACAGTAACAAACAGTTATGACTAATGTCACATTTGTAAATGGTGACTGAAGTCACAAGGAAACTGTATTCGGATATGTTATAAGGTTTTAAAGTAGGTGTTATGACACAAACAATTTTCTACTTCCTTTAACTGTCATTTTGACTCCAAAAATGCAATTCACTCACCTTGAGTGTCTCCACCCACTTGTAGTCGGTGCTGTCCACAGGCAGGAAAACAGGCTGTGTGCCCGGAGAATGACAGCGACACAGAAAGAGGGCCGAGCCGTAAAAAGACTTCCTGACAGCCACGAGGCTGAGGGAGGCTGAGGAGAACACCTTTTCCCACTCAGCCTGGTGAGAAGAGGGAGATAATATCAGCAAAACATCAACTCCAATCATACATTCAATTTGATGTTGGCATCTTGGGGGTGGTTGTGCAGATCGATAGAATGTGCTTCTAATAAACTGAGGAACTATTTGTTATATTTATTTCTGAGATCATTGTGATGTCTATAAGATGCATTAAGAGTGTGCAAAAGGGTAGAAAAAAGCTCACTATCATCATTAGTGATTTGATCTCCACTGACCTGTGTGAGCAGTCCTTGCTGGCTGCTGCTCTGAGTGGTGCTGGAGAGGAAGGCAACAGTTTCCCCCAGAGTCTCTCCCTTAAGCAGAGTGTGGAGGAGAACAAAACCCCCTTGTTTGGCTCCAGAAGCCAGATTTGCCACCAGCAGTTCAGGGTCTGTCCTCAGAGGGCCCCATGCGTGGTTACACAACACCAGATCTGCCCCTCCTACTGCCCCTCCGGGAGCCGGGCCAGTCAGGGGGTCCCACTGAGCTGATGTGACCGCCAGCTCCTCCAGGGCAGATTGATGTGGAGTCAGGAGACTCAGGTCGGGCGCCGTGGCGGTGTAATCCACGCGCAGCATGGGCTGGATGTTGAGGAGGGCTACCACGCGAGAGAAGAGCTGGCCGTCATTGGAGAGAGCCTGACAAAGGTCGGAGAGGTGGAGAGGGTCGGAGAATGTATATCTGCATTCTGCATTTTGACTGGTATTGGACTTTCAACTTGTTTTCAGTCTTACCTCCACGACTTTGATCTTGCCTGGCATGCTGTTTTCTAAGGTGGTGTCCAGGCAGTGTCTGAGGGCCGGGTGGTCCAGCAGACCCTGCAGCAGGCCGTCTTGCAGCAGACACGCCCTCTCCTTCTCCACAGTCTGCTGCAGCTCGGACCGAAGGTTCCCGTTCAGCTCCAGGCCGCAGAGCAGGGCCAGCAGTCGCACCAGACCAGGTTCAGAGGGCTCTGGGCTGGGAAGAGGGCCGTCCAACTCCCCCTGTAGCCCAGGGATGGAGAGCTTGACGCCGTGAGGGGCCAACTTCTGCTGCAGTCTGGTGATTAAACCTGGACAGAGAGAGTAGGAAAAAGAGTTTAATCATTTTAAACTGTCATCTTTAATAATGAAAAGTGATACAGCCACAACAACGACAGAGGGTTTATTCGTTGTACCTTTGCAGAGCCTCAACTGCTCTGCGAGTTTCCCATTAGCTGTCAGACACTCAGTCTCCACATAGGGAACAAACACAAACTCCTCCAGGGTGGGAGCACTCTGCTGCTGCTGTCGACGGGGGGCCACGGTGGCGTGCAGGCCGCAGATCTGGACTCCGCCAGCAACAATGTTGTCAAGGCAACGGTTTACGTTGACATCCACAGCTACGGGAATGAGACAAAAGTTTAATGTGGAGTTCAAGATTTACAGGCCTGTAAACATGTTTCTAATCAGATCTCACGTAAAAAATCTACACCCTATGTTTTTGTTAAGATTCATGTTCAGATACAGATTACAGAAAATACATTTTTAATCAAATTGTTAACACACACCTTGCTTTCCGTCAGCGTACTCGCAGACCTTCTCCAGGTGGATAGCTGGATCAACACACATTGAGCGGATCCTGGTTGGCAAACGCAGACTACGACCCGACAGCCCGACCACAATCATCTGCAGCATGGTGTCGAGAAAGGTCACCCAGTTTCCTGTCCACTGCAATTTCCCACAGTCTCCTGGAAGCAGCCAATTACATGACAGTGGCCAATCAACAAAGACAAACATATAGCACAAGAGCACTACTTAAGTCTGGGAGATATAGGGAAAATATTATCAAAGCACAGTGGAAACTTATTGTGTTTTAGCTACTCTATTTTCTTGTCTTCTGTGTTTACTCTTTGCATTATAATAAGTAATTAAAGCTGCAAGCAGCGTTGGGCGGGACCTCGCACTCGACGCAACTCGGGGCGTGCTGCGGTCGCATCCGTGCCGTTGTAACACGCGTCACGTAAATCAGCTCAAAATCGCCACGCAGAGCTTACTTCCTGTTGCCAATAAGGCACTATCACTATGTCTGAATATTGTCAAGTAGACGTGTTCAGGGTGGGACTCTTATCAAACATTAAGTTTCGTTGAGATCAGATAATGTACACTGAAGTTGTGAGGTTGTGTTCAGGCAAGGACTGTTACAGAATATGTGAAGTTTGGACATAGTACTCAACTTCAGTGTACAATCTGTTCATGGTGAATGGTCGAAATTCAACGCAACGCCACAGGCACGCCGTTTGATGGGATGTCGTAAATAGCACAACTTTTAATCATGAATGTCTTTAGATTGCGCTGATTAAATTTGAAGTTGATCCGATAAATTCCCTAGGAGGAGTTTGTTCAAATACAAGGCGAAAAATCCCAGAAAATGAGCACAAAATCCAAATGGGTGACTTTGATGCCACGCCACAGACACGCCGTTTGACGGAATGTCGTAAATAGCACAACCTTTAATCAGCACCATTTTTTGACTATACTGACAAATTTTGAAGCAGATGCGATAAATTCCCTAGGAGGAGTTCGTTCAAATATAACGCGAAAAGTTTGGCGAAAGTGAAAATCAAAATCAAAATGGCCGACTTCCGGTGGGTTTTGGGGTATGAGTCCAAGAGGCTTTTTTGTATGTCTCGACATGATACATGTGCCTACCGAGTTTCGTACATATCGGTGAAATGTGGCGCCGGGGCTGCTTTTTTCTTATCCTGTAGGGGGCGCTACAAACACGATTTTTGGTATGTGAGCTACAGGCACCAGTCTACACGTGCCCTGTGAATTTCATACTCATAACTATTACGGTCTCTGCACAGTGATTTACCATGCCACCAGAGCGCCACCTAGTGGCGGATTGTTGACACATTTATTAGTGAGCCTCAGGGAGTCATGGGCAAGCATCGTACAATATATAAACTTCTTAATTTTAAATTGAGTGCCATCTAGTAGTGATGGCCTGAAATTGTGCAAGATGTCTAATGAAGACATGGGGAACTATGGACCCAAGCTTGGTGTCAATCGGACATACCAATATGGAGAAATGGTCCACTTCCTTTTTTGACGAAAAATCCACAGGAAGTGCTAATTTTATAACATCCTTATTTTTTGAAATATCAAAATTCTTTGAATTACTTTATTAGGACGTTTCCCAGATGCTACCTGAAAGTTTTCATGCGAATCGGACAAAGTGTATGGGAGGAACAAGAAAAAGTAGTATATGGACATAAACTAGCGAAGAAAAATAATAGGCGGAAGTGGGCGTGGCTTATATGGGGAGATTCAGCTCTATTCACCGAACTCGTAGATACAAGGTTTTTGAATGTGCAACAAACTATGCAGAAGTTATTAGCCTAAACACGTTTTTTATGAAAATAGCGCCACCTAGTGGCCAACCCGGAAGCGACCTCCAGCGGTCGCTGGCTCGGTCCCTAATTATAAAAAAAATCAAACAATGACAGATGCAACAGTAAAAAAAAGCAACACAGACACAAACACCCTTTTACCTGCATTGTTGGACTCTAAGATCCCTTGGAAGGTCTTTCCATAGTCATAGCCACGCAACCGCAGCTCTTTGTAGACATCATGGGCCGTGAGCTTCATTTTGGGGTCACCACTGTCGTTGGCAGCTTGTTGACTTATCTGACTATGGAATGAATCGAGCGCTGCATCCTCCAGAATGCTCACCTTACCTGAAAAGTCACAAGCAGAACAGGTCAAATTGTATTCATATAGCACCTTCTAAAACAAAGTTACAAAGTGCTGCACATAAAATCCAGAAAATTAAACAAAAGTACTGAATGAGAAAGACTCAAGAGACTCTAGTGCTTATAAAGGCACTAAATTACAAACCGTAGGTACATCATGTGACATTGTTTTTTTATTTTTATGTCTTATGCATCAAGTTCACCATATATAATTTTTGTATATATTTTGTTTCATAAGAAGTATGACTACATAAGCGCAAAGCTATGACTTGAATTTCATTATACAACACCCTGACACAGTACAGTGAAGCTGATTCTAAGAGTTCAATTCAAGATAAAATATTAATTTCTAATCGAGATCAATCATATCATGTGGATGTCTGGCACCAAAATGTCTTAAAACCACCTACCGCTGACAGCCAGGTTTCCATTCTCTGAAACCTCAAACTTGTTGGTGGCCGGCATGAGACGCACCTCCAACTGGACAGAGCCTGAGAGGAACAGAGAGGTGACAGACAGAGAGTCAAAATCAGACAGACATTGAACCATAATCACAATCAAACCCCCTGACTCACACCGCTGCTTGCTCTGCTCTCACCGGTCTTTGGCAGGATGGTGGCCCTGTGGATGGTGACATCTTCAAAGGTTACAGGGGTGGTGTCCATGACAACCCCCAGATTTCTCACCAAGGTGCGCCAGGCCAGCACCAGGTAACCCGTCGCTGGGTAGAGGACACGCCCATCAATGCAGTGTCCAATCATGTAGTAGTCTGCAGACTCTGGGTTAATGTCTGTTGTTGGTCAAAGAAGATTTGGGACAAGAGGACACAGGGTGGTCAAATGACACAAGAAAGCACTGCTTACCTCAGTTTCTTAATGTGACACAGGGGGGCAGAACTGCGTCTTAATCCAGATGTGACATTTCTTACCAATGTTATAGACGGTGGCAGAATTGGATCCTCCTGAGCCAGAGGAAAAGTCCTCTACCTTGGGGACATCCCAGGTCTGGGCATGGTCCCACTGCACCAAGGGGGAGATCAGAGGGGTACCAACTGGCACAGGGTACTTCACCGCTGGGCAGATGTTGTTAGCATCCACGTTGATGCTAAAGAGGTGCATTGAAAATAATTAGCTAATGCAACTGCAATGGAAGGTGTCTCTGGCTGTCCTTCAGTTTTCTCAAAAACCATTCATCTGATCGATCCAACCTCAACAAATTGTCTACAACTGGTGGTGTATTTTAACATTACATGGCCTCTGTGTTGTTAATATACTGTGGGACTAGAACTGGGGCGGCTCTCTGGCTCTGCAGGTCGATGATATTGAGAAAGCTGCAAGCAGTGATACTGGAGGCCGAGTGTTAAACTAGTGTTAGCAATCTGAAACTGCTTCCAAGATGTACCAATAGTCACTAAATGCAGACAGTGAGAGGCGTTTACTAACCCGTTCATGTAAATTTTGCCAATGTTTGAAAGGAAGAACTCGAGGTTGTTGGTGTGGCCTCTCTTCATCAAGGGGAGGATGGAACACGTGTGCTTCAGGCTACGCTTCAGGATGGCCTGTGCAGAAAACATGGATGAAAAATCAACAGGGGTTCCCAACTTTTAAACCATTTTAAACCTTTAGTCTCCAGTAGATACTGTTCAGATCAGACAAAGATAAGCCCACGTTCTGTGGGAGAGGTGCCAGAATTGATAAATAGCTTAAACCTCATAATGATATTTACCAATAAGCCATACACAGTAGGTTGTAAGTATGTCACTTAAACAATATTTGTGGCTTAAATAGTAGATAAATAAATATGTCTAATTTGAAATGATATATAAATCAAACAGCGGCTTCTCTAGAGTGCTGATATTGTGCTCCGAGTGTACCTGCAGCAGAGCGTGAGGCGCTATCTCCACCACCACAGCGTTTTCAGGCACCAGACTGAGGCCCTCCTGGAACAGCACCGGGCTCACCAGGTTGTTGACATGGTAGTCAGCCGAGCTATACAGAGCCAGAGGAGAGTCCCACTCAGACTGTGGGATGCTGGTGCTGATCCAGCGGGAGGAGCGCTGCCGTGGCTCTTTGATCACCTACACAGGTGGAGGATGACATTTTATATTATCTGTTAATATTCAAATACTTGCCAAACAGCATGTGTTTCCCAGTCTCCCCAGTAGCTGCCCCTGTACCAGCAAGAGTCAGAGCTTCACTGTTGCATACTACAGCAGAGCTACGTACCTTCTTCAGAGCAGCCAGCAGGGTTGGAGCGATGGAGGCCATGTAGTAGGAGTGGAAAGCGACACCAGCGCTGCGCACCTCCTTTGCAAACACTCCCTGCTCCTTCAGCTCAGACACAAATTTACTGATTGCTTCCTGATGAGAGACACACACACACCACATCTGTCAAGACACACACAGCACCTGGGGGAAAAAAAATGCTTACATAATAGAGTTGCCATTATTCGTTTACAATGTTTAACATTCTTCTCTTCCTGATGTCGTCTGTCAGAAAAACGTCTGAAGCTATGCTGACCAGTTCAATTAGCTATGTCAGGGTTCCCACTCTTATTTCCAGGAAATATTCCAGGCTTTTTCTTGACACTTCCTAACACACATCATTAACTGGAAGTCGTAGTTTAGAAACATTTTTCCCAGTTTTAGTTCTCCTTTTTTAAAGATGCAGGCTTCATGATGAAGGGACGCAGGTTCATTACAGGTAGGTGATCTGCATTTATAGGACACTCCATTTTCACTTTCCACTGTTCTCACCAGTCGATTATTCGGTAGTCTAACTTCAGTTCACTACAGTTTGCCTTTAACCAAGGTTTCCCAGGATATTATTGATTATTTTCAGGATATTTGGTCATTTTAATCAGTTTCCAGGTGTTTCCATGACTGAAAAACTAGCCTCTAAATTTCCAGATTTTCCAGCACCCATGGGAACCCTGTATGTATAAAGTTTTGCACAATAGTGTTTACAAAAACGTTCCCTAACTTTGCCTATATTGCAGGATGTGTAAGCTGTACCCTGCAGTTACTAACTCAACATGAGCAAATGGAAATGGAAAATTCAGGTTGTTTGGGTCTGATAGAATGTCAGACCTGAGGACCAGAGATGGTGACGGTGTCCTCGGCGTTGTGGCAGGCTGGGACCACTCCCTGAGGACACTGAGCCAGACACTCCTGCCAGGTCAACCCTTGAACACACACACAGCAAGCACAAAGGTAAAACATGTGCAATGTTTTGCATAAATTTAAACCAAACACAAAAAAGCTAACACGGTAAAATGAGTAAAGTTAATTATTTGTCTATCTCTGGTTCTCTTGTCCTGTCTAATGGAAATATACAGCATCCAGTTGAGTTTTATTGGTAATGTGTTATCAAGCTTCAACATAAGGCTCTCGTATGGTACTGCATTTGAGAGCAAGGTGGGTTTCTTCATATGTGTGTGCTCATTGAACACCACCACCTTTTCTTCCATGTTCAAGTTTACAGCCTTGCTGGAGCAAAGCAGTCTCGTTTCTTTAAGCCCAGTTCACACCAAGGACTCCTGATACGATGAGTTGAAACTTGCAACTACTTGCAATGCACTGGTCTGCAACATTCTGGAAACCTGCATGTTTACACATGTGCAACGCTTGGCCATACCTGCTCTGCAGCATAATAAGATTTTGGGCTGTTATGTATGGTCATCATTTCCAAACTGACATGTGTAAACTGACATCTACTGGGATTGTTAGCATAACTTTTGGCTATTAAGGTAATCACATTTTGGCTTATTACTAGTTAAATGTCTGTAAAAAGTATCACTATTACTCTAAGATAAGTTATATAAAAACTGATTATGATGATTTTAGGTCTTAATCTTGTTTTTTATGTAGTAAGAAGACGTTTATCATTGCAGTTTACAGTGAATGAGTAATGGGAAGAGAAAATGGGCTGAAAACAAAAAAATGTGCTGCTCACTCATTTTGAACAATCAAAGTAAACACAGATACATTCTTAGCTTGTATGGATGAAAATCCAAAGTAATCAATCAACAGAAAATACAACTCTGGCTGATGACTTTTATTTTCAGTGATTAAAATGTCAGTGATGTCTCCAAAACAGAAATGGTCTTTATGTTGTTTAAAACCTTTGTTAAAAGAAAGTAAACATCAGAGAAATTTAAACTTAATAAACCCTCCTTCACAGGACATTTAGTTGTCATTCCAAACAAGCACATTTCACAATGAATCCCTTCTCTCTACACAGTGTGCTTATTCCATTAAACCCAGCTGTTTACTATGGTAAAGAACCACTGCCCTCTCTCCCTCTTACCGACTGCAGCCATGCCTCCTGGAGGAAGATTGGCCTCCTTGATGCAGCGGCCTCTCCAGTAGGCGGCGAGGATGGCCTCACTGTGGCTGAGGGAGCCGTCAGCATAGCCGCAGGCCAGCTCTCCCACCGAGTGTCCCACAATGCCGTCAGGCTGCAGACCCATCTTAGTGAGCAGGTCAATCTCAGCTATCTGTAACAGGGGGAGCCACAGAACATATGCAGGCTTATTTATATAATTTGATTTTAAGTAACTGTACACATAGTCTTAGCCCCCTGTGCACAAGTATCAGTGTGTTTTTATAGTGGTTGACATTTAGCACTGCAAACTCTGCCCAAATAGTTCCTAGATCACCAGAGCAGGGTCCTTTTGGAAAAATCCCTGTGGCAGTAAATGGCCAAAAGTTGCCGTTTTGTGTTCAGATCACCTGTAAGATGGAGCAGGATATCAGAAGTACATGTGGAGGTTTTTAGATTCCAAATCTGTAACTTGTATTAAAATGACACCAATTTGCATTTGCGTTCACACATTGAACACAACATCTCCACTCTACCTGTATGGCAGCGAGGGCGACAAAGGCGTGAGCAGTGTCTTCAAAAGTAGCTTCATCTGCCTCCATGAGCAGGCGAGACACCACCAGGCCGGTGTCCTTCAGGGCTTCATCCGACCGCAGGATGGACTCCCTGAAATCTGGCAGCTGCATGAGGCTGCGGCCCATACCTGCCCACTGTGTTCCCATACCTGTTCATACAGTCGCACATACATCAGTTACTGAAAAGACCCAACAGTCCCATTCTAAAGCTCAACAGTCATTGGTCACTGACCACGCAGTATTTGTCTAATGACTCACCTGAACAGATGTACCAGAGCGGCCTGCCGGTGGCCTGCAGCTGCTGCACCTCTGTGGCGTCACTCTGTGAGCCAATCAGAGTGTAGCCTCGGTAGGGCATGCTGGCAGTAGGAACACCCGACACCTCGTTCAGCAAAGACAGGAAGCTCTCATCTGCAGCGTGCTCCTTCCCCTTTTGGAGCATAGCGTTCACCGCAGCCTCTGTGCGGCCACAGGCCTGAAGCAGCCTCGGAACAGTCCTGGAGGGTGCGGCCACATCGGCCGGTCTCTCTGCTGGGCGGAGGATCACGTGAACATTCGAACCTCCAAATCCAAAGGAGTTGATGCCTACAATGCCGCCTCGAATGGGAATGGGCCGGTCGACAACTTGAACCCGGCCGTCGGTAAGGGCAGGAATGTCGGGGTTAGGACTTTTGAAGTGCAGGTTTGGAGCCCAGACTCCTCGCTCCAAAGAAAGCAACACCTGCATGTGGGATGAAAAACAATCAATAACATAAAAGCAAAGGCTAGATGATGAGCAGAACTTAAGTATGGCTGAAATCACTAAAATAGCTCCTCATCCACAATACGGAGCAAAAAAACCCCAACAACCACAACCACAGCTGTCTCTGGCTTTAATATATTTGACTTTAATTCATGCCAACTGCATGAATGATTACATACATTTCTAACAAAAAAAACATTGAGCAAATAAAAACCAAATTACAGTTTAAACTTCCGAACTTAAAATCTCATTCTATCTTTGACATTATAAATTAGACAGCAGAATGCTTGACCTAATAACCGAGTTCAAATCCATCAGTGATGCAGGCTGTTAATCACAAAACACTCTTCTTTCTTGCTATCATTTAACTTTTAACACATTGCAGTTTTTTTGCAGTGACACTGCATTCTCTCGTGCACCACGTGCCAAATATCTCGCACGCACATGGCTCTTTTAGTAAATGGAACAGGGTACAAAATAAACAGCCCTCAAGCGCCAAATGCGGGTACATTTTGGGTTTGACAAATCAAATTAAAAAACAGCTTACTATTACTATTTGCCACTTTCTACACAATTTCTGTCTATGTTTTTGCCATTAGAAACATCTGTGTGACATGTTATTAAAGGTGGCGTCTGAACAAGCTGTCAGATCCTGGCTAAAATAAAATTCAAAAAAAGGTTTACATAGGCTCAAAAAGTGAGGTAATTCATCTTTAGTCAAATAATGCATGATGCAGACCGGGTGTAAAAATACTAATACATGTTAAGTTGCAAAAGAAAACAAGAAAAGAAAAAATAGTAGTGTTGTTGTTTTGAATCTTCAGAGCAGCCAGTAACAGGCATGCTGTTGCTCTCACCTTTGCCAGAGCAGCCAGACCAGAGGCCGGTTCTGGATGGCCCATGTTGGACTTAGTGGAGCCAATGAGCAGAGGCTCTCGCTTTGATTGACAGAACACACCGACAATGCCATTTACTTCCTGTGGGTCGCCGACCTGCATGTAGAGAGCAAAGACATTCCTGCTGAGTGACACTGGATGAGTGTGTGAAGGTGACCATTTCATTGCCAGATACAAAATGTTTAGAGATTTTAGATAATGTCTTATCATTTATTGGTCATGTGATGCAAAGATCAGCACTGAAACGAGTAGTCTGTTGCGTGCACTAACCTTTGTTCCGGTGCCGTGGGCTTCGACGTACTCCACCTGCTCAGGAGTTACATTGGCTTCCTGGTAGAGAGAACGAACCAGCCTCTGCTGCATCTCACCTGAAGGGAACGTTACACCTGAGGGACCAAGAGAGTGTGTGAGGACCAGTGCAGTACACCATACCATGAAAAACCAGAAAATATGTAACTTTCCTTTACAACTGAAAAAGCACTTTCTGAAAGTAGTCCTGAGCAGGGCAGCTGAATGCTTATGATTATAACTTAGACTTATATAAAACTTAGAGTGTGGATGGGTGTGTCCCTGCACTTTGTCGGTCTGCTGTGGCTGGAGCAGCTGACCAGTTAATGAAATTTGTGACGAGAATAAAACTGAAAAAAATGTTGCATTTTTAGCTTTTAGCTCACTTTTACCTCAATATTTGACACTCATTTTCATATTTGGCCTCATTTACATTTAATATCAGACATTGTAATATTATATATATCACTCAGGAAAGGATAATTGGTCCCCTTTCAGTCAAAGTACAACAACAGTCGAACAGTATTATCAGTAAAATGTTCTTAAAGAATGAAATGATTCACTATGTAAAAACACTCTACTGACTATCTCTACAGGTTCAGTGAAATCCCTAATGTGTCACAGCATGAGTTCACAGCTCCTCACCCTGCTCTTTGTATCCATCTGTGTTGTTGCCAGCATTAAGCACCGTGGCGTAGACCCTTTTAGCCGCCGACCGCTTGGTCAGCAGTACTGCCACCGCTGCCTCAGAACGGCAGTATCCATTTCCTGAAACAAAAATATAAACTTTATATAATGGTATACCCACAATGGTGACAGTGAGAGCTAGTGAAGAGAGGACAGGAAACAATGGAGAGAGAGATGCAACAACCCCGCCAGACTCAACTGGGGGATGTTGTTGTTCATGGTTGGGGTCTGGGAGCACCCCACAAACCTTCTTTTACCTGATGAGTCAAAGGACTTGCAGGTCCCCTCAGGACTGAGCATGCCCAGTTTCATGAACTGCACCGAGGTGTTTGGCTTGAGTAGCAGGTTGACTCCCCCCACCAGAGCGGCGTCACATTGGCCTTGGCGTATGGCGTGGAAGGCGTTTTCTAAAGCCAGCAGGCTGGAGGAGCAGGCTGTGTCTATGGCGGTGCTGGGGCCTGGAGGAGGAGAGGAGAGGACTGGGATTAAAGCTGGAAACCACATCTGCAGAAAAGGATACCCTCGGATACTGGACAGCATTCAAAATGTGGAATGGTTCAAGTTGACTAAATGACATTAAAGGCCCAGTGTGTAACATTTAGAAGGATCTATTGTCAGAAATGGAATATAATATTCATAGGTATGTTTTCATTAGTGTGTAATCACCTGAATAAAGGAACTGTTGTGTTTTTGTTACTTTAGAATGAGCTGTTTGTGTCGTCAGATGTTGCGGGCATGTTGAACTGCCATGCTTCTACAGAAGGCAGCCCAGAGTGGACAAACCAAACACTGGCTCTAGATAGGGGGGTTTGCAATATCTGCGCATTACATAGCCACTGTAGTTCCTTTTTACACGCTTGGAAGAGGAGGGGGAAGCCATCGAGTTGTGATCTGCAATGATAGCTACATGCCACTAAATTCTACACACTGGACTTAAAAGCACTCAGAGAGTGCATGACTGAACAATCCTCTAAATTAAATTGTAATAACAGACAACCTGCACCCAGCTCTGCTTGAAAATACAGACAGCATACAATCATGCTGATGTTAGCAATACCTTTAGTGGAATTCTGTCAGCTATGCATGAGGATTATGAATGTTACACAGACTTGTGCAGTAAATTACATTCAAACTGATCCACAAAAGGCCAAATGCCATTAAATGCAGGCTCTGTCATAGTAATTATGTCTATGTCTATCTAACTAACTAACTACTCTATCAAACCACTGAAGGAGCTCTGAGTTGAGAGATGTGTGGCCACGTGGGGGCAGCATTGTATCCAGATATGCACTGATACAGAAGGCTGCAGTATTCTCTTAAACCATCCTTTGGCTCAGCATCCATGCAGACAGGAGACAGGGGAGAGAGATGGGTGTGACAACAAAGGTCGCTGGCTGGAATCGAACCAGCGATGGTTGCGACCATGTGGCCATGCAGCATGCACTGTAAGCATTTGTTTGTATTTTCAAGAGTTAGTATTGTTAGTTAGTACTGTCCACCATAATACAATAGTGTTATAAGTACAAAAGCTATAAAAAATTACAGACACTTCCAAACTTGCAGATCTGATTTCAACTGCTTGTAACCATAGTTTGTAACCATGGTAATTAGAGTGAGGGCATAATTTAGGGAAAGCAAGCATTACAGATAAACAGTTTCTAAATCAATATTCCTAATCTTACTTAAGACAGGAAAAGTGTATTAGAAGAAGAAGATATATACTTATTGATCCCCTAGGGGAAATTCTTCTTTTCACTCTTTTCTATTCTCTCTCTAACACACACACACACACACACACACACACGGTTCTTGGGGTTAGGTTGCCTTGCTCAAGGGCACCTTGGCAGTGCACAGGAGGTGAAACTGGCACCTCTCGAGCTACTAGTCCACACTCCATATTGTGGTCTGTGGGATTTGAACCAGCGACCCTCCGGTTCCCAAGCCATATCCCTACACACTGAGCTACTAACTTCCCTAAATCTTAAAAGGTCCAGTGTGTAACATTTAGGATCTATTGTCAGAAATTGGATATAATAGTCATTGCTATGTTTTCATTAGTGTATAATCACCTGAAAATAAAAATCATTGTGTTTTTGTTACCATAGAATGAGCCCTTTTTACCTCTCTACGGGTTGCCATGTTGAACCGACATGTTTCTACAGTAGCCCAGAAGGCACAAAACAAGCACTGGCTCAGTTGCGTTTCGTGGCCACTGTAGTTTTTCCCTCGTGCTTAGAAAAGGAGGGTGAAGTGAGTGAGTTACAACCTGCAGGTACACTGCTAGAGGTCACTAAATCCTACACAATGAACCTTCAAATAAACTCTCCTAACTATAGGATAACTTAAGCTATCCTAACTTCACTTTTTCACCTTTCCAGTGTTAGCTAATATTTTATTTCCCTGAGTTAGCCTTGTTTTCAGTTTGCTAAAAAGAACATCTTTGGATTTCTCTACAGCCGTTAGCTCTAACTCATCTGTCCTAAAGTGCCCCTTATTGTTTTTGCTCCATTTTTTGTATGTTTCAATCTGTTTCAATAAGAAAATCAATGGTTACAAAGTTGTTTAGCTCAGTGAAATAAGAAAGCCTTGCTATGTAACAGGCATAAATGTTTATAAGTGCTGTTGGATTGAGTATTTAGTATTTAGGATTTCCTAACGTGAGATAAGATAAGATGGAAGTAAGATAAGATTAGCTAGTATTTGCTTCTGTAATACCAAACTGGGGAAAATCCCATCTTCTCTTTAACTTCCTATCTTAACTTAAGACTTAAGATAGGAAGTTTCTGTAATACGGCCCCTGGTATTTAAGTTCACGTATTCTCACATTCCAGATTCAAACAGAAACAAGATAACAAACATGCTCTGTGACATCTCCAGCTGGTGTATATTTGTGCTTCAGTGCCGGGGAGTTTTCAGAGCAGCATCAATGTAACAGCATAAAGCACTGAAGGCATATGTTGGAGCTGGCTGTGTGTGCGTACCACTGAAGTCAAAGAAGTAGGAGAGTCTGTTGGCCAACATGGCGCGCTGGCAGCCAGTCATGCTGTAGCCCAGTAGCTCCTCTGGATCTCTGCTGAAGGCCTCGCCAGCCTCTGAGCCGCTCACTCCGATGTAGACGCCTGTCTTACTGCCGCGCAGTGTGGTCGGGTTCAGTCCTGTGTCACAACATTTCATTGTGTTTTTAAACCATCCACTCAGTGGATCAGGTAGCATCAGGTAGCCTCACTCATATCACTAGCTCTTTCTGAAACTACCCCACCGAGTTTTAAAACAGGTGATGTAGAAAATATAAATAACTATTCAGTCACACATTTTTACTCATGTTACTGTCCTTTACCAATCTGCAGTGCTGAGGCTTTTTACCCCGTTTCCTCACCTCCGTCTACGATGGCCTCGTAGGCAATCTCCAGCATGAGCCGGAGCTGGGGGTCCATGGTGTTGGCCTGTTTGGGGTGGACTCCGAAGAAGGCTGCATCGAAGTGGCTGATATCCTTCAGTTTACCATTCCTCTTTGGAAGACCGTACAGACCTAGAAATAGAAAATGTGGAGAAAAGGTCATTTTGAAAAGAATTCCTCACACAGGAAGTTGTATAAAACGTCAGAAAATACTCAAACACAAGAGATCTAGAAACAAAATATAGAGCAAGCAGGTACAAAAGATGAGGCATTTCTTTAATAACTGTTACAGTACATGTGACCTTATGAAAGAGGGTTTTTGGCTCAGAACCAACAGAAGACGGTTTACTCAAAAATACAAGCATATCTACATTGTCAGGGGTTAGTTATACATGTAGTTCTACACTTAAAGGAGTATTAGGTAGGATTATTTCTATAAAAATAGCAATAGACCCAAAACACAAAAATAATCTCTCTCAATCATCCATTATAACCCAGTAGAAGTGTGTGGCAGTGTCTTTATTTGTATTTTCTGATGTTGCTGTGCGCAGGACGTTTCTGTCTGTCTGTCTGTCTGTCTGTCACACAACGAGCAGCAGGTCTGTGTGTCAGGATGGGCAGACAGGATGAAGCTATACTCCAGCTGAATACACACACAATCAACAAATATGGTTCCTTCCTGCAGGGTTGTGTGGAGGTGTGGCTGTGTGTATTTGTGCTTTAGAATGTAACCTCTGGGAAACGATCGGAAGATAACACTTTATTTTCCTGATTCAATGCTTTGTTATCGCTAATGTCACTCCATGTCCTCATAAACATAGCTTTGAAGCTCTAAAAGACTCCCCTAATATTCATACTTTAAAATGCTACACTTGTAGTAAACAACAGATTCATAGACCCAGTATATCTGCATAGAGCCTCCAGCTATAGCATGTGTTGCCACATACAGTCGGTGAGAAATGAAACTAAACAATGGTACCAAACTTGGCAACCTCATTATGACAACAAGAGTTCAGGAAGCTGCACCCAGCTGTTGAGTGACAAGAAACAGTGCCAGCACATAACTCTTAACGCAAATTGTAATTTTGGCAGAAGATACAAAATATTTTTTCCCAGAGGATAACAAGGTTAGCAGTTTCCCCTTGCTTCCAGTTTTAGGTTAAGCTAAGCTAACCACCGTCTGACTCCAGCTCAGAATATTTTCTCATCGCACTCTCAGAAAGAGAGCTAAAAAGTGCATTTCCCAAAATACTGACCAATTTCTTTAAAATATCCTGTGTGAAATGATGAAGCCTCGGAATAAAGGGATAATGTACAGTGAGCCTGATAAAAACAATGTGCATGGAGGAGGATCACTCTCACCCATATTCAACTGGAATGTTCAGGCTATGCAAACTCAGACATTTCTAACTTGCAGTAAACTGGTTCACAGTCACTCAGTCTTTTATTTTCCAACCACTTAGACTGTGGCACCCTGCACAGTGAGAAAGGCGTGAGCCGAAACCTGTCTGACTGTTACTCCTCTACTGCAGTAAAAAAAGTGAATAGCAATGCAGCAAATGTGAACTTCAAAAGACTACTTTGTACTCTGAGTGTGGACCAGTTTAACTCTAGCTGGACATAAGCAGTTTGCTGTACTTTATTCCTCATAAACATGTCTGTCATTTCCCATGTTTTTGTTCTTTTTGTCCATTGTCACTAAGCAAGGACTCCCTCAGGCCATGAACCTCTCTTTGCTTTCTCCGTTTCCCCTTCTATTCTCCCTACTCTCCCATGATGCCCGGTGTGTGGTCTTAGCAGCATCAGCTGGCCCCATCCAACCCTTTCAGCAAATGAATGTGAGCTCAAGATGGTTGCCAAGCACTGAGAGATGGGTGTTTTATTCACAGAGGAAAACAACTGCCAGCAGGAGAGGGAGGACTGAAATGAGTGAGACGGCAGAGACCAGCAGGGAGAAAAAAGAGAAGTTATTAAAGCTGGACAGAGGTATAAAGTATAAAAGTAAAACTGGAGTAGGGTGAAATGATACAAGATGCCAAGTTTTGTGGATTACAGATGCTAAATGCTTTTTCTTGCTAAATTTGGTTAGTCAGGATGAGTGACCAACTTGCACTCACTGAGAGAAATACTAAGGAAATGGGTGAGTCTGCAAAAACACAGCCCCCCCATTCATTTCTGTAACAAAGCGGAGGCAGCCAATGCTAAGGAAGAAACGCAGGATTGACACCAAGAAAGTTGAAGCATGGACGTATTAGGAGGACTGGATACAGAGTTTGAGATACGGGTGTAAGAAAACATCAAATCGTGATTTTTTTTTTGTTTTTTTGTGTTATCGATTATAATTATATATTATATTTTTTGATAGGGCTATGATGGTGGATGTTACAGGGACTGTGATAAATGCAGATCACGCGGTTTTGTACTGCCAGATTCACAGCGCTAGTTGGAGACGGGCCCAAAACGTCCATGTGGCAATATTAAAAAAGGTTTAATATAGATTTAGATTCTGGCACCCCGTCTTTAAAGTCTGAATGGAAGTTGTTAAACTTATTTCATATGGAAATCTGACACTCAAAAAATACTATTTATCCACCATTTTACAGTCACTTTTTCCACAATGTAAGCAACCAATGATTATTTTCATTATTAACCATAATCTGTCAGTCATTTTACTGATTAATCAATTACTTGTTTGGTCCATGAAAATGGTGAAAAATGTTGATCAGTGTTTCCCTAAGCCCAAGGTGATGTCCTCAAATGTCTTGTTTTGTCCACAATGCAAATATATTCATTTTACCAGAAGTATTCACATTGGAGAAACTCAGAGACTTCGGACATTTATTCTTAAAAAACTATCAATTGATCAAAGTAGCTGCTGATTAACTCAATAGTTGACAATTAAAGGCATACTTTGCAGTTTTCCGGTTTTGTCAAACAGCTCCCCCTAGAGTCACAGCAGAGTACTTGTATTTAACGTTAACTGTCGTAAATACCACTCACCAGAGCCGTCTCTCTATACGGCTCTACGTCTCTGCACTCACGGCCTGATCCCCTCCCCCCTGTATACCGGTACATGTTCAGTAGGATGGAAGCGTTGGACATCGAACAGGCAAAGATAGACTCCGAAGATGTCTACTGACCAGGTAACGTCTGAGTGAAAAAATTAATTGACAAAATGCTGCCCTCTTCTCGGAGGCTTGGTTCAAAGCGCTGCATTGGCCAGTCAAATACATACAAGCGCACTATCCTGGTGGATTAGTTTGTAACTTGAACTTTACCAACGGTTAGCCAAAATGTTCTCACTACACAGGCAAATGGTTTTCTGGTCAGCCATCTGATATAAAATGACAATAAAACACACCAACTGAAGAGCCTCATATCACACACAGACTCACTGTCCTGCATGGTCTGCAAAATGGCTCCCTGACAGTAGTATTAGTGACAAAATGTTGGCTTTTGCACAGAGCCTCTGTCTGCTAGATCTGTTTTATTCAATAGTTAAACAACAATGCCGACAAACTGGTTGAGATCAAATCATAACCTATATCCCAGAAATCAGAAATGTTTACAACATCACCTGCTAAGATAACCATTGAGGTGGCACAGTGAAAAGAGCCGGTTATCATTTTAAAACGAGAAGAGTGTTTTCTTATCAATCATCTTATCGATGGGGCCCATAAGAGGTCATCACAACTATGTCAGAATGATGTTATTGATTAAGCAGTGATGGATTGTGGCAACCCACACTTTAGCTGGAGATGCTGCACAGGAGAAACTGAGATGCACTGTGTGTATAACTCAGCTTTAGCAGTGATTGCAGGTGTATTACCATTACTCTTTACTGCCTTTCATCCATAATTACTTTAATTACCACAGCATAATGGTTTGTTGTATTTTTAACTGAACAACCGATCAATCAATCAGTCATTATTGGTTCCACGCAGCACCCTGACCAATCAATCAAATCCAGCTTCATAAGGGCTCTCACCTGGTGTCCACCGCCGGTTGTCCTCTGTCACCATGTCCACACCGTTGAGGAGGTTTTCCCAGAATTCCTCCAGGTTGTTAGACTCGGGCAAACGGCCCGATATCCCTGCTATGACTATCTCATCCATGCTGAATTGCTGGAGAGAGACACAGAGAGCGAGAGAGATATGTCAACAAGATACAGCATTACTGTCCCCTGTAGCATTTCACAGCTTTTTTTTTTGATTGTTGCTGCCTAAAATGGCTGGTTGTCACGTCAGCTTTCTAAGAAACTGCAATGCTTGTTGCAATGTTTTAAGCAATGAAATTGCAATTATTATTTTTCATTATTTTGTTTAATACATTAAAAATTGAAGGCGACTTGTTCCAGTGAGAATACAATGGCACTGTTTGGAGGGTAAATGTGAGACGTCTTCATTTTGTGTAAGGAACTAGAATTATCGGTAACATTTGTAGGACAAAGCTGCACAGAATTCACAGAGATTAGTTGAATTTGTGTTAAATGTTGCAAATAACAACATAGCAACTTCCTGACTGTCATTATACAACACAAGGTTGTACGATGAAACGCAGCTGTAGCCCCCTGCAGGCTGACAGAATATGTAAAAAAAGAATTCAAGTCCTCAATTCTCTATACTAAAGATCAACACTGTGCCTTGGTTTAACATTTACAGCCCTTCTCCAGCTACTGTTCGGAATGAACTCTACAATCGGTGTACATCATTGGAACAATAATCTCTCAAAAACAAATATTCCTCTCTCCAGTGGGCTACATTTCTGACATTCTTTCAATTCCTGGGGCCTCGTTCACCAAATCTGCAACATGCGAGCTGAGCCCGTCAACGTGAGGTTGTTCGAAACATTTCACTGATCAAAACAAACACCACACTTCAGACCCAGGCACGAGCATGTAGTTGATTTTTAGTATTTGCTGATTCTCTTCATCATGTATGATAGTTAATGAATATTCTTTGGGTTTTGGACCATAAAGAAGCTGCATGAAGAAGTCAATTTAGGCTCTAGGAAGCAATTTTCTTCGACATTTTAGAGACATTAAGTGTGAAAACAATGGCTAATGATTTTTCTTTCTGGAATTCCACATTTTCGAGAATGTTCAATGAAAAAGATACCCACGCAGGTTTTTAATCTGCCCTTAGATTCTTATCTGTATTCACATTTTAAATTCCCTCAGCTTGATATTGAGGATAGCTGGCTCAGTGAACTACTGCCGGTCACTGATATATTGTACATATACAGTCCTGTTGGCAAAAGAAACGTGGGATAGCCTTGAAATTCTTAATCACAGCAAAACCTGCAATTTCAAAAAAGGTCCCTGTAGCAGTTGTAGTCTGTTATTATTGAGGCATATGTAATTGCATTGGCGTTGAGTGGCAGGTTTGGAAATGAGGAGTCCCTCTGAGCACGCATGAAAGCGCACTTACAGCAGACAATGTAGTCTGCTGATAGACTCCTCTGTGTACATGACTGAGCATATCCATGTTGTACTGTGTACGTCCTGGTCTTTGTTCCTCGTTTCTAGGCCAGGCCTTTTTGTGTCAGCAGGGCCAGAGCTGTCAACCAATGAGCTAGCAGCGTGGGACAGAGCTCCTCTGAATCAAACCACCATGTCTCTACCTCAATGTAGAGCAGCCAGAGAGGCTTCCATCATCCCCAGACTCCTTCCCTGCTAACATACTTTACACACCTCAGAGATGTACAGCACTATAGTCAATAGATACAAACTGGTACTAGGCAGACAAAAGAAACTCATTTCACCTTTGGAGGAGACATTCTAGTGAAAGTGAACTGGGGCAGTTCTCAGCAGAGTGGAGGCTTCAGATGAGGCAAAACCTCTCTGGCCACAGTTTGTTAGTTTTCTCTCTCTGACTCACACTTTCAAACAGCACCAGCAACTCATGCTTGCAGATTACAGTGAGCTCTGGTTGAAAGTCAGTAAATCAAACAAGTCCGTCTTCTGTATGCAGCAGACACACATTAATGCAGTTCAAAATATTACACAGAATATCAAAACTGAGACTCTCAATGGTGTTTCCTACAGTAAATCCATCCTGTGATCCATGTGGGCAAGCACCACCTTCATTAACACTGCCCAAGCATAGTTAATTATTGGACTGACATATCACAAACTCTCAGGTTTTACAGAAGCAACTCTATCTGACAGTGTCTGGAGCAGAGATTTTCTGATGATTTTTTTCCTTCTCTATCCCCATTCTGAAACCTGAACACTCTGCATCAGCCGTTACTGAAAACAAATCAGACACACGTGCAAAAAAAAAAAAAATATATATATATATATATATATATATATATATATATATATGTGTGTATACATACTTTTTTATGCACATGTATTTGATTTGTACTCTGTGGCGACTGATACACAGCGTTCAGGTTTCAGAATGGGGATAGAGAATGTATTTCTAAGCCTGTATGATTGCTATCATTGCTCTATGGCCTGACTCAGGATGAAGCCTTTGTCAGCGTCAGAGGCAGAGTAGGGCGGGTCATGACTTTGATATCCTGGTTCTGGGGCTAATAAATTCTTTGGTATCGGAGCAGTGTGTAGCCTGCATTTTAGGCAGTATTGGAGGAATTTCTGATACTGGTATCAATATCGTTGCAACCATTGACAGTATATATAATAATAATATATAATGGACAGAGCTTGTGGGTCTGAAAAGTGAAGCCAACGCATTACTGTCTTAAACCGGCATTCTATGTAAAAGGCCAGCAGGGGGAGTTCCATTGGCTGCAATCAAACACTGACACAATGCACTCTAAAGGAGAATGAGCCGACTTCTCACTTTGTTTATGAGCTCAGTAAACAGTTTCCTAATGAGTTTATGGTCTCAGTCTCTAGTTTCAGTCTTCTTCCATACAGCATGATGTTCATTTAGTAAATGATGGTCCCATTTAGAGTAAAACAGACCATAAAGCAGGGTATGCTTTAGGGTGTGGCTACCTTGTGATTGACATTATCAGTGAGTCCGTCCAGCTCAACGCACCAAACTCAGATCAAACTGTCAAACTAGGCAGTGCTGATCAAATATGGATCCAGATTCTGTTACTGTGTTGACTATTTCTCACTTTGTTTTAATAAATGTACTACATTCATGTACATTAGATATGTAATTGTATTTAAAAGTAAATAATAAACCAAAGTGAAAAAAACAAAAAGGTCAGAGCACCGCGGTGACACTGTGCTGACACAGGACAGTAGTTTCTTTACACTGTGCTCCACACAATACAGTACATAAATTATGCATAATACAGAGGTGATAGTGGGGAAGTGTTTTAAACTCGAATTATACTTTGTGTGCACACAGCCGAGAAGGTTGTAAATTTTATTATCTGCCAGCGTCTACAAAGATCCACATGGATGTCTTTGGGAGCGTGCAGACTACGCATCTACTGCACATGTTCTGCAGTATACACAGAGCTGTGGACCCAGACAAGTTCCATTTTCATTTTCTGTTTCAACAGTTTCCATTTGGAAACCCACTTCAGCACCTAGAATAGCTGGCTCTGATGTTATACTCTTAAGAATTTGAGCAAAAGCTTAACAACAAAAAGCAGACAAACAGGTAATGCTGGATGAACTGGTAGAGCAGTTTTAATTTATTTGAGTATTTGTCAGTTTACACAACTATTTTAAAATAGTTTGTTTTGGAAAAGGTGTGGGGCTAAGAAAACCCAGCAGCAAACAAAGCCAAATGGTTCTTATATTTTAGAATATTCCACTATAAACCTATATAAAGGCTCTGTCATGCAAAAACATTTTTTAAATACAGTGACATATCATGAAACTGCCAGAATCTTAAAAGATAGTGTGATACAAATCTTTGCTCATACCGCCCAGGACTACAAACAGGTCAGCTTCAGTGCTGTATAATGTGGTAGATGTCAATTAAGCCTGTATAAAATGAGGAAAATCTGCAATGTGAGATAACACTGCTCAATATTGTGATTAAAATATGACTTGTAATAAATAAACAAATATTTCAGTGTTCGTTAGGGGCGCATGACATGATAAAATCATCATATTGCAATTATTTTGACAGATATTACGATATAATTCACATTCATTAGTGTCATTTTTGCATCAGAAATGTAATTTTCACTGATCTCTGCAGAACTACAGTGCTTCATTATAATGCTGTTGTCACATATTTTACATTTAGCAAATAATTGCAGCATTTGCAATTTGCATATTGAACTTGGCCTTATTGCAATTTTGACAATATTTGGATTTACTGTGCAGCCCTAGTGTGCGTATACAGTTCCTATGTCTTGCTGCTTTAATAGGTACACTGCTAACATAGACCCCAAACATTGAACAGCCTGTGTCCACCGAATAAAGACATGACATTGATAATTGAACAAACTGCCCCATTGTCCTCGCTCTTCTGTCCTTACTCAGCCAAGATGCTAGCTAACCTCACCAATTAGTCTGAGCTAGCTAACAGCTAGCTGGGGCTTCCATCTGATTGGCCAAATGGTGTGTAAATACTGTATACAGATTTTTCTTATTCATTCCATTTCAGGAAGTGTGTGGTGTGTTCATTTATCATTCAGCAGCACTAATGTCAATGAGACAATCCAGGTAATGAGAGTCAGACTGTGAGCCCAGGCACAAGCAGGATGATCACAGTATGATAGGCTGATTGGATTTGAACTCAAGGATACACTGGTCGGGGATTAGACCTAATGTAGGACCTTCAGTACGATACCTAGCCTTACCTGACCCAGATCACACACTAACACCCTGCACACGACAGCAGGCATAAAGACACAATCAGATAGCTGCAAGCCGGGCTAGCCAACGCTTCTATGTACCATTACTCAGCATTCTGTAAACTGTGTCTCCTCCACGCAGCCTGTCTGTCACAGCAACCCCTTATTCCATTCCCACCAGCCCCACCATTCTGGATATTAGACTGCTGAGCTCATCCAGCAGCACCCAACAACAAGACCCAACTTGTTGTCACACAGCCTGATGGAAAGAACCCGAAGGTGCAAAAACAATGGCGACAAATGCCAAAATCTATCATTACTCAGCAGATAACTATACGATCCTCTTCCACCGAGGGAAGAAGACAAACTTGTTCCTGGATTACAGGGCTGAAACCAGTTCACATCAGTCTCTCTCTCTCGCAGGGACAAAACACATCCTTCAAATCATGTCCAGCTACATTCAAACTGCCTCATTTCACAGTGATTTGTTGTTAGAATTACATTTATGATTATCAAACAGCTATTTATTTTTGATTGATTTAAGCAGATTACACTTTTATACATCATGTGCTATTTTTCAATATTGCTATTCAAACTAATTAAATTATTGCTATTTTAAATATTGTTAATTATGTTGTAATTTAGGACTAATACTGAATACTAATAATCAATTAGTTAACACTGTACTACATGAGCCCACAAGCCAAGCTGGAAATGTGGCTGGAAAGAAAGATGGTGGACTGCCTGCCGGCGACTTTCTCTCTCTCTCACTCTCAAACACACACACACACACACACACACACACACACACACACACACACACACACACACAGCTAATTCCTCAACCACGTGTTAAAGTGAGCAAACTGCTCTAACTTTGTTCCAGTGTCTTTTTGTGTCTGTGTCTGCCAGTCTCCATACAAGAGGGAATTTCAGATACTTTTTAAGTCTCAATACAATGGCCTTCATTTGGTTAACCTAAAGCAGTGGTTCCAAACCCGGGGTTGCAAGGCCTTTTTTATTTGAAAATGTGCTAGAAAACTTAGACAATATACACAGTAGGCCTATATCTCAGCATTTTGTTCACTTCTGTTAAGAAAAGTAAAGTAATGTGTCGAACATTGCTATGGTCAAGCATACAACAACATATTATGAACATATTAAGTCTGTATGATTGTTAACAATTATTTTAAAAATTCCATAATACAGACAGATAATTGTATAAAGAGTTCCCTAAAGTTAGTTACGGAGTTCACTGTTTAGATTCCTTGTATAGTTTTGAATACAATATAAAATATCCATAAAATATGTCACTGAGTCAGGGGTTGTCAGGTTACTCAATGATAGAAAAAGGTTGGGGATCACCGACCTAAAGTAACACACAATTAGTAAAAACCACCTCCAAACAAGTGAAGGGAACAGTGACCATGAGTTTGTAAACCTATGGTCAAGGGTGGCTGGTGGTTTCAGTGACCTGCAAGTCCTCATGCTCCCTGTAAAGTGGGAACCATCTGCATGTCACTGCTATGACATGTGACAGACTGCAACACCAGCTGTATAAAAATAATAACAGACCACTGGCATGTTATTTGCTCCATACCGCATAGTTAAGTTCCAGCATGCACTGCAGTTACAGCAGGGTTAGCTAGTTGTGGACAGCAGCTTTCTTTAAACAGGCAGCTTTATCTGATGCACCATCACAATCTGAGGAAGATGAGGGCAAAATGTTGAACACAGTGGGCGATAAATAGGATACTGACGGACAGTTTGTTTAACTATTAACGTTAGCCTGTGTCTCACAATGTCTTTACTGGATACCGGCGTTTAGTACAGCAGGAGTTACCATCAGAGTGCAGTGGAAGCAGGAGGACCTACGCACTGAGAGGATGCGCTGTCGAACAATACACCAATCTTCGTTCATTTTTTGGGGCAATTTAAAAAGGCCTTTATCACCGGTAAACCCATTACACAATGCTAAATAATTTGAGAATAAGCAACAACAGGAAACATTTTTAATTGGCGCTTGAATATGATAATGATAACAATGATAATATACCAACATGGGTAATCTCCATCAGCAGGAAGCAGACAACGCTAACCATTTTCAAAAGTTATCATTCGTTGAAATAAAAGCTGCAGTACGGATACAGTATGTGCGCCCAACACAAGACACCAAAAATGTCAAGTCATATCGTTAATTGAAGTCCCATTGTCACATAACGCGGCCACACGCCGGTTTTAATAAAAGCAGTGACATGTGTAATATTTTAATGTTTAAACATTTTATAATTTAGCATACAACTGTTAAAGTCACGCACACCGGGCTGTGACGACGTTAGTCGCTATTACCCGTTAGCGAACTTACCTGTGCTGCCCGGACCGGTTTGATGTCACCAAAATATCACAAATTCGAACCACTTGGTGAAGAGTTAGCGCCTGTTTGGCATGTATACTATCGGTTGTTTCCGTTAGCTACCCTATACGGCTCCCCCGGTGCTGTTCCTCTTACTGTAACTGTGTCTCTGTCGCTTCCCTGTCTGTCTAAAGAGGTTGACGTTGGCCTTCGTGCTTCTGAGTCTTTTTACTCTGATGAATTTAAATGTCTCACATTCTGCCTGGCCACGCCACATGGGCTGACAGCTTGGCTTGGCCGCGCAGTCCAATGAGAAAAGAGGCAGGGCTCTCGGATCCAGCCAGTGATGGAGTAATTCGTTGAACGCCCCCGTAGAAAAAAAAATTTAATGTTGAGACGGGGTTATTGGAGTTCAAACGGAGGTTCTTCTCGGCCCCCACCGTCGCTCCACCAGGCTGCAGGCGACAGGCAGCAGCATCAGACTACTAAATAACACCGAAAGCGTCCATTAGCCTTAAAGATGAAATAAGAGTGTGGGAAAACGCACGTTCAGGTCGCCACATCTGACGGTAGCTAGCTAACTTGCGAGTGACGCACTTACCTTAAAGCGTAACAAAGCGGTACAGTGTGCGGCTCTGTTCGCTATTACCTTACATTATTTCTTTTTAATTGGGTTGGTTGTCACTTAAAATTGACCGAAGGTGAGTGTGTGTGTGTGTGTGTGTGTGTGTGAACCAAGGTACAGCATCTATATAAGCAACTAACTGGGGGTAAGGCGTTAGCTGCTTACCAACATACCTCATACCTTGTACTAAATTCCAGTCAGCAGCTGTCAGTGTTCCTGGGACTTATGGTACTGAACCCTTAGTTCACTAAAACCAAAGTGTGTGTATCTGTATTCCTTCTCCTTGCTACAGTGTGATGGTTTTTTTAGCTTCACTATACAGAATGATGGCTGTGACGTCTGACACTACAGGGGCGGATCTAGCTGGGTGGCATGGGGTGGCAGCTGCCCTACTGGCCACCCAGTTTGGTGGAAAATGCTGTCAAATTTAACGCATGAATTTAGATAAATGGAAAAATAAAGTGTGAAGAAAGAAGGTCCAGTATCAACTTGTACAGTGTGATGTAGAAACCTGAAGCCACCAGTGCACATCCACTGAGAATGGACTTTACAGTGAAGGAGGAGACATCTTGTGTCCAGCAGGACGACTTTAGAAAGGAACAATATTTGCATATTCAGAGATTCTGGAGTTTTTCATGTGGAAATTAGACAAAGTTTTCACAGAAAAAGAACCACAGACACAAAACATAACTGTGTAACTCAGTTAAGCGTGTTAGTAATGCTAACATCTGCTAATTAGTTAGCACTAATCACAAAGTAAAGCTGAGGTTGATGGGAATCTCATTAGTTTTGTAGGTGTTCGGTAATAAATCAGTATTTGACAAAGTAACATTTTCAGTTACATTTCATCTTCTAGGGCAGTGCTTCCCAACCATTTTGGTTTCAAGGACCCCAAATTGGTACACATCAGGCCACAGACCCATATTTGATGAGATGTAGTCTCAGGGATCCCCGTCTCACAAGATTTTGTTATTCCATACCTGTATGTACTGAAGATCAACAGTGAAGACTGAAACCTATGAACAGAATAGTTATTCTTATACATTCTTTCTTCTAGTCAATAAAATAATAATACAATTTACAATTTTCTGGGGACCCCTTTGTTTTCATCAAACTGCATACACTGAATATCAGTAGCATTTCATTTTGTAATATCTTAATATGTGTTCCCTGTTCTGTCATGAATATTTTCTTACTTTAATAAATAAAAAATGTCTGATGATAAAACACACAGTAATTGTGCTTTATGTGTTTAAAAAATAAATATGAATAAACCTTTTCTTATAAAACTCATTGATCAGCCTGTGAACCGTCATGTTTCATTTACATTACGTAACTTTACATTGAGTGTGAACGTACATACCGGCGTCGGCACATGTACACACACACACTGGAGTATTCTGAATGATACGCAAATTAGCCAATCATGGGGCGGGGGGGTGTGAGGCTTCGTCCAATCACAACAGAGGGGCGGGTCCTTTCAGGAGGTAGGGTGATTAAAAGGCGGGGCCCAAGTGGTGACGTAGCCGGGAACGCTCGTCTGACTTGTTGGGGTTACTGGAGTTCATCACATAGTATGATGTTCTGATCATCCTACTGACCTACTGTAGCAGCACACACTGACCTGTGATCGATAGAGAAACACACACATTGGTTGTCTGAAGTAGCCCTATTTATGTCACATTAATGCTAACTAGGAAATTTGGGTTTAACATACACAGTTTATAGAAACAAAATTCAGTCTATTGTGTTTAATAGAAATCTATTTTATAGCTGTATTGCTTAATAAAAATTAATTCAATAGCATTGTTTAAAGGTCCAGTGTGTAACATTTAGGAGGACCTATTTTCAGAAATGGAATATAATATTCATCGGTAAGTTTTCATTAGTGTATAATCACCTGAAAATAAGAAGCATTCTGTTTTTGTTACCTCAAAATGAGCAGTTTTTATCTACAGAGGGAGTGGGTCCCTTTCTGTTTCATGTCTTATTTAAAAATATAATAATTATAGTCATATTGTTTGATAGAAATTTATTTTATAGTCATATTGTTTAAAGGTCCAGTGTGTAACATTTAGGAGGATGTACTGCCAAAAATGGAATATAATATACATAGGTATGTTTTCATTAGTGTATAATCACCTCAAAAAAAGCATTGTTGTGTTTTCCTTAGAATGAGCCGTTTTTATCCACAGATGGAGTGATGGTAAATGGACCTGTACTTGTATAGCACCTTTCTAGTCTTCCGACCACTCATAGCGCTTTTACACTACATGCCACATTCACCCTTTCACACACATTCACTCAGTGATGGCAAAGCCCATCGAACAGAAACTAACTCATTCATACACATTCACACACCGATGCACAGCATCAGGAGCAATTTGGGGTTCAGTATCTGAATGGTAGTAAAATAATAAAACACAGAACTTACAACAGCCTTGAACGTTACATACATTACAAAACATTACTGAGGTTTGTACACAATAGGTCTGTTTGTTTTGTGGCCTGTTGTTGTCCCTTGACTGCTCAGGCACGTGAGCTCTGATGTTGGAAGCAGCAAAATACAAAAATATATTTCTACCATAAGTTTTATTGTAAAATGTAATTATGATATTTGTAACATTTCTTGACTTAGAGAGCACTTCTCTTGTTGGGCTTTAAAAGAGTTCCCAAAAGTTGGGGAACTCACTATAGACAGATAATAAATGAATGGCACAAATCAAAACAGAAGAGGCTGAGATATCTGGAAGCTCTTAGTGGGCTAAGCTCCAACATAAAATGGGATCCTATTCTTCCCATAAAGCAACTTGATATCTCTTCATTAGACCCTCCCTTTCAAACTGCAGGCTCTCTGTTATAAATGTGTGGCTGATATCATCCTGCTGACCTCACTATGACAACATCAGGGTTTATCTCTCAGACTTGACAGAGCTCCTCCAGTAGCACTCTCTCCATGAGCAGCATACTGACAGACTGTCAGTCTTTAACGTTGTAATTTCTGATCTTGCTCATCCTGTCTTGGGCTCCATGTCTGCTGGTCTTGGCAGTGTTTGACGGTGTTGTAGATGGGTTCCTTCTCTGCTTGAGCTCGGATGGGGGCTGGTTACGGAAGGGAGCGCTGGTACCGTGCACCATCATCTGGACTCCAGCACTGCCAGACTCAGCCACCTCCACCCTGCTAGGCTCGCCTTCACCTTTAAGTGCAGGGAATACAAAGAGGTGTAATTGTAATGGCCGTTACAGATGACACTATTTCATTTGCTGATGTCTTTGGATGCCTGAGTGGATCAGTGATCTGAGGTGTGACCATTAGTGACAGGAAAACTATTTAGAGCCATCCCTTTGTAAACCTTAATGAAAAATTTCTAGCTAACAAAGGACGTCCCGGAGGGGCTGCGAGCCGAGCTGCTGCTAACGTTAGCTCAGCTTGTTTCTCTGATAACTTAAGATCCAGACGTCCGATGACTAAAATCCTTCATCCGGTTCAAATCTAGAGTTAAAATGCACCAAGATCTAAACAGTGGATGGTAACAATGTGGCTTTAAACTGGATAAATAGTCAATGACAGCTTCTGGCAGACAACCACAATGCTGACGCAGGCACAGAAGGGGATATGACGCCATCGACAGGCGACCGGTGAAACACAGCGTTACCTTAATAAAATGACAAATTTGAGTTTGGAAATTTGGGATAATGGAAGTACACAACTCAACAACATATAGAACATAGCTCTAGTGTTTATAGATATTTTTAATGTTGAAATGACAGATTAGAGCTTTATATACTTCGCAAGATATTTTCTAGCACATGCAGCCATGGTTGCCTCTTCCTATTTGTATTTTGATACAAATGAAGATACAGATTACATTTTTCTCTTCCTCTATTTCCACATTGTAACTGTGCAGCATCTCCTCGCTCTGAATAATATAGGAACTTTATCTAACCTTTACTCATCCAGCTGTTCCATATCTGTAATACACTCTTTGACCCAGTGCAGTTATCATAAGTGTACTGAAAGCTCGTGCCAGGTTTGTCTGGTTTCACAACTGTTAGATGGCATGATGCTGATCACTGTGTCTCAGCCTGATCTGGCAGCTGCTCAGGTTGGGAAACTGTTCCCTGGAGAGCTGACAGAGACTGCAGCCACAAATTGGGCAACGTCCCTCCTTCTATCTGTCCATCACTGGTCCAACCACTGCAGCGGCATTCATACTGGCCAAGGACTTACTGTCCCTAACATAGAAGACTACACCCACTGGATGATTACTGATTACTGCTCCCTGTTCATACAAGACTACACTTATGTGAGGACTTCATGTATTTCAGGATGGGTAGAGAATGCGTCTTTCTGATTCTGTATAGTCATGAGAAATAAGCGGCTGTGTAGAGCCCCGCAGCCTGAGGGGTCCCCAATGTACATGAAAAAGAAAATGAATTCATGTCCACCTGTCAGATATTATTTCCTATGTGACCCATCCTGTAAATATTTTCTGAATGGTTCTTATTGGAACCGATACTGGTCATTTATAAAAGATTCTAAGTGTTTTATAGAAAGAGACAGACACAGTAAAATTTCCCCTAATATTGACATTCTTAATGTTATGTTATACATCAAACGCTGAGCTAAGGATTCTCATATTGTAGGTGCACCATTTTTTTTCTTAGTTGGATGAACACCAACCTTTGCCTCTCTCAGAGAGGAGCAGTATTTTAATTAACTGTATTTAAAATGGGTATTTAAAGAAACCCTCCAGACACGTATTAAGACGTACTGCATGAACAGATAATCTGCTTGGAACAATAATGTGTGTCTCCTTTGCTTTTTCCACAAAAAAGTATCATTAAAAAATGTTCACAGGTTTCACACTCTTCACTGTTAATCTGCCCATCTACAGTATAAACAGTTATGAAATAACAAAATCTTATCAGAGACGGGTACGTGGCCTGATCTGTATCAATTTGAAGGTCCTTGACACCAAAAAGGTTCACAACCACTGCCCTAGAGGATGAACTGTAAACCTTTCAACTAGTACATTCATCTTACTTTGTTACTTTGATGGTGGTGAACATACTGTTGCCCTGAGCTGATAGGAGTTGCTGGGAAAAAAGGACAGTTTAGGATTTGTAGGCGTATGGAAGACCCAAATTTAATAATGACTAAATAACATAAATATTGAAAAAACAGTGTCCGTCTCTAGCAGTCAAGCCCTAATTATTCTGGTGTGGTTACCTTCAGAGAAAATAGATGGACTGAGTCCATGGTCCAGTATTCCCCACAGCTGGTTTAATGACCGCAGTGATTCCTCTGATGACAGCAGAGACCTGGACTGACCTGAGCGGGGCTGTGGCCCACGGTCCAGGGACCTCACAGACTGGCTGAGAGGAGGAGTGTTCTCTTTGTTCTTGGAGCGCTAAAGAAGAAGAGAGTAAATTTTAAGTTGTTTCACTTGAAAGGCCTGGAGTCCTAGAGATAGTTAAACATGAAATACATTTTCTACATTTTCCATTTCTTTATAAATGTATATATAAAACTATGAATATTTTAAAATTGACTTTTGCACCAACAGATATGCATTCAATATGAGGAGTGAACTGGGCAGCTGGGTTGTCATTGTGTATCAGTTAATGCAGTATTCAAGACTGAACTGTTACCTCAGGCCTGTCTGCGCTTTCGTGCCCCTGGGACCAAGGATTGGCAGCCCCTTCAGTGGCAGGACCTAGGTTGTGGGTTCCAGGGAGGAGTTGTTCAGCGAGAGTGCAAACCCTCTGCCTCAGAGCGTACTGCAGCTCCTGAAGACACAAACATTAGTGGAGCCACTGTGCCCTCTGCAGGCAGCACAGAGAAATACAGCACACCGGGATCACTCTTCCTCTGAGGGCTTCTTTATTTGTTATCATTTTGTGTCTTGTGCTATTAACGTTCTTGTCTGAGTTCCTGCAGAATGGTTATAAGGCAAAGTAATGAGCAAAACAATGAACAAAGAATGCATTTAAATCATTTCTAACATGAATGTCATCAGAAAAATTAAAAACAGTCAGAGTGTGCGTTGAGGGAAGAACAGCCATTCCAACAGGCCAGTATCAGTACAGTAGACTCAAACAAATTATGGCACCAAATGGGAGACAAGAGTAGAAAAGATTATTCTCACATCCAGCTTGTGTAACAGAGTTAGAAATAATCTCTATTATGAATTTCTACAAAAGTCATATGCTTGTCTCACATTGACATAGTTTTAGAGCCACTTGGTGGGTTAACGGTGCGGCTGCATAGATAGGGTTCTTGTGAAGCATGCTTTGCATTAGAAAAGTAATCTGGTTTTAAGAAAATATATCTAACTGTGTCTTAATAAGATATTACCGCTGATATTGAGCTTGATTTAACCAGTAACAAGTTACAAGTTTGAATAGCATCCCTGCAGATAAACAAGATTATTTTACTTATTTTCTCTGTTTAAGAGAAAGTAGTCTTGTTCCAATGTTATAACTGAAGCAGCAGTTTAGCTTTTTATTGTTTTGATCAAAAATGCTAAAAATGAGAATGCTTCTGGTGCCTTCATGTAAGACTAAGTCACTTATTTTTATTATGCTGTTTGAAGAAATTGTGTCTTATTGTAAGATTTTTTTTAAATTAATTAATTAATTAATCTTATGTTAAGGTACACATTCTTAAATTCAGCTCAATAAAATCACCAAGATACTTGTTTTAAGAAAGTCTATCTTAAATAACCTAGTTTTCATTGCTGGTAAGGGAGCACAACTTGCTTAAATGTTTGGCATTTCAGTAGCTAGATTTTTTATGTGACTTTTAAGAATTCTAGCCAAACTAAATTGACTTACCCCATTGGCAGATTGTTTGCTCAATACAAGAAAATGTGATTATATTTAAGAATATTTGGCTTGTTTCAGAAAGGCTGTTTTTGTAGTGCATGCATACAGAGTAACACTTTTGGCTGCATGTTGAGCTAATGCTAGCTGGCTAACCATGCACTTGCTCCCGGCTGTAATGTTTCTAGTAATTATTTCAGATAGTAACTTTTCTACTCTTTGTTACACATATCTTGATGCTTGCAGTTGCATAACCCACTGTTGATGACCACTGCATGCTGCAGATTATTATACCAGCTCCAGAATACAGAGAGAACCAGAACCGTGCTGTCCTTCCTGCACCATAGACATGAGGGGACACATCCACTATAAAGTCCACAGATAGACACCAACCGTTACGCTTGCTGTTCCCAGTTGGGTACAATAGTGAACCCTACTTCTTTGTTACCATCACACTTAGTGAATCTGAAGAGGTAGTATATGAAGGTGACACTGAGGTAAGAGATTGGTGCCTGTTGTTAGAAGGGAAGAAGGAGCAGTTTATTGGTGAGAGATGCAGATACCTGTGAGGTGAGCTGGTACTGCAGCTGTTCCAGAGCAGACAGTCGGTCATGTTGCTCTCCTAGTTTTTCTGTGGAGGAATCTCTTTCTGGTTCCACTGCTTCTGTTAGACACACAGAGTTCTGAGGGACTGCAGGTGCTCATGATTACTACTGTTCCTGCTCCTCCACCCTCCAGATGGTAACTAGCCATATTGGCATCGTGTTTCGGTACCTGACCCAAAGAGAAGGCAGACATCACTACGGCCGATGTGTTCAAAACCTAGCAACTCACAGCAAAACAATGTAGATGGATAAATAGCGCTGATTTTGGGGTGAACTGTCCCTTTTACATCCCCCTACGGAAGTGAGTTTTTAAGACCACAAATCTTTTGTTTTATTATCATTATATTTTGGGCTATTACTGCGTTTTTTAGAGAGTAACAGCTGCAGAGTGACGGGAAAGCGGGGTGAGAGAGGGTGGTGACATGCACTACCTGCTCTTAAGCGTAATGTGTGTGTGTGTGTGTGTGGTGAGTGTGTTTGTTATTGTACCCTCCAGTCCAGCAGTGGTGATCTGTGCACGGAGGCGGTTGCCCATCTCTATCAGCTGCTGTTTCTCTCTGCTCAGCCGGGCGATGCAGGACGCTGCCTGCTTCAGCCTGGTGTGCAGGAGACGAGGGTTGCTTTTAGCACCCTGGACATCTTCAAACAGACCAACTGACATCTGACCTGAGGCCTGCTGCTGCTGCAAATACAGGTTCTCCTCTCGGAGCTGTGCATTCTGGAAGGAATATGAGATTAGAGTTGAAGGAAGGGGGTTGCTGCAGCAGCTTACACAATATCTTCCCAACATCTCACACATCTGACCCAACTGGTAAAACTACCATTTTTGCTGTGGCAATGTTACACAGCACTGAGATACAATAAAGGTCATTAATTATCTTGCCCACTTTCGACATTTATGTGTCGATGGTGGGAAACTGTCTCAGTCATGGGGCAGCACTAAAGACATCAGTAGCTTTAACTGGTCCAGGTAACTGGTTTACTGATTACCTTTTGTACCTGTTCTATGACGTGTGTCACTCTGGCCTCCAGCCTCATCAAAGCAGAGGTGTTAGCACGATTCTCCAAACAAAGACCACCTGAGGATCCATACCACATAGAGGAGAAAAAGACAAATTAGGACAAAGTTTCCACAAAATGCCATTTTTAAATACAAATAACATTTCAACCGAGATACAGATTTCAGTTCATAGGTGGAAATAAATGATCACCTTGCTTAAGTCCCTGGTACTGTAGGCGTGTGTTGTGTGGAACTGTGGGTAGCAGGTCCTCTGGAGCCAGGCTTGGGAGTCCTATAGGCCCTTCTAGCTTCTCCTCGAGGTGCCTGCATCGAGCCTTTAGTTGGGACACCTCCTGCTCCAGAGCCTGAGTGTAGTCTGGGCCACCAAGATATTTGCATGCTAGGCCGGTCTTAAGTTTGATCTTAGATTATTCTAATGCAAGTTACACAGTTCTACAAGAATAAAGACTGACTTATTTTAATGAAAATCATCAACCATATTTGTGTAAAAGAGTGCTGTCCACACCTGCTGGGTTGATGGTGGAGGAAATGTCAGCGGATTGGGCCGGTGGTCCAGTCTGAGTGTCAGCTTTAGGCGTAAAGGAGGTGGTGGCAGGGCCTCCTTGATGCCGAACTGGCTGAAGAGAGGAGGCCTGTGGCTGGGGCTGGGGTAGGAGACGGCTGAGGCCCTCCATGTCCTTCCTCATCTGGGTAACCACAGCCCGCAGGGTGCTGTTCTGCTCCTGCAGGCGACGGATCTCTTCTGATGCTAGAGAATCGACCTTTGGTGTGAAACCCTGTGGATAGATAGTAGTGTACTGTATGCATCTTCTTTTTGTAATATATCACTTAAACTTTACTGCAAGCACGGCATTCATTGGAGGATAATTTGTGGCTCTTTGTTTTGCCCCAAATGGTTGGTAAAGTTACTTTACCAAGAACTCACCACTCAGCACCACAACACAAGACAAAAGAGCCTACTGTATTTTCCACACAATTTTACCTTTCTGTTTTCTGCAGTTTTCGCCTGATTTTTTTTCCTGACTTGTGGCTCACAGTAGCTCCAGTGTGATATAACTGAAGCGGTTAGCAGCAGTAGAAAGTAACTAACAACATTTATTCAAGAACTATTCTTCAGTAAAATTTTGATACATATATATGTCAGTGCTGTAGTGCTCCAGGACAGTTTTTTCTATTGTCTAAGACTTGCCTTGGACAAAAACCAATGATGGAGCATGCTTGAGAAACGGGTATTGGTTTAATTCAAAATCCACTGACATTAGCTGTCTGGTAACCAAGGTTACCATGGACAATCCATGTAATTTGCAATCGTAGGCCTGACTGCTAAAACTATTCTTCTTTTTCTGTCTCTGTCTCTGGCTTGTCTTGGGCTAAATATTGACTACAGCACATATGTTACTTAATACTACTGCACTAAATTTCAGATGGAATTGTATTTTTTACCCCACTACACTTATTTCACAAACATAGTTATTGGTTACAGATTAAACATTTTCATGAAAATCATAACCACTTTCAGTTAGCTCCCACCATCAAGTCACAAATTTTAAAATATCGATATTTCAGCAAAGAAGATGACAGCAGCATAACGTCTCAAAGCTACTGGCCCAACACAGGGCGGAGCATGGCAGGGACTTCCTCTTTCCAAACTCTAGACACTAAACTTGACCAGATTCAAACCACAGTTTCTGGCCAGGAACAATTTAGGTTTGTTACACAGAACCATCTGAGTTCTGTTTGAAAGAAGGGCAGGCAAAAATACTTGGCAGGGGATTGGATGAACCCTCATCCCATGTCACGGCTGAATTTCAACCAGTCAGAAAATGGTGCCAACCTGCCCTATTCAGGACTAATTCAGGACTTGTCCAGAGTCAGGACACATCACTGCAGACCCATCACACCCTGGACACAACACGTTCCAACTTCTCCCCTCTGGTAGAGCACTCACTGTATGCCAAAAACAACCAGATACATGATACACATCTGAGAATGAATGGACATGGATAGTACTTTCATTATTAATGTTTTCTTTGGCATTCCTGCTAATGTGCACAGCTGTGAGAACATCTGTATGACGTTTGTACTTTAAAATGGTCACTTCAGTTCTGTTCTTATTGAAATGTGGTGGATTAGCTGTAACATTATATTTAGTATTGTATAGTTTGAACATGGCTGATATAATGTTTGAACATTCTCACAGAAATTTGGAACATGCAGCCTAACATCTTTGAATAACAAGTCACCAAATATATCATGCCTCGCTATGTAGAGCCTCATTCCAGGAATTTAGCCTAAGTATTTTTTTTGTCATTTGAGAAGGTTTACATGGACAGGACCTTGATATGTTTTTCCTCTTGGTGCCAATGGAGCTTTCAGAGGCTGCTATGTTGGGGAGTCACTGAGCCTGACTGAAAGGCCACCATACCTCTCAGGATGCTCCAAGAAAAGGCCAAAGGCCAAACACAGGACAGCATTGAACACACTCTGAGGGAACAGGGCAACAGCTGGATTACTAATACAACACCCCATGTAATATATGACTGTATGTTAGCCTGTAATAGGTTTGTTAGCCCTTATGAGAATAATAAAATGTCAAATCTGCCCAGCATTATTGGCTCAACGGTGGTCCATATCATCTGATAATACATTTTGAGAAAGATCATTTGCAGATATTCCACATGTTGTAGCTCTCTGATACTCAGATCCTGGGAAAAGGGGGAAAATACTGCAAGATTGGACAGTTGGATTTGTGCCAAAGCTAGTCATGGTTCTTTAGGGAATACAATCTGTGGCTAAAGGACCATTTGAGTGTCGGTATCATGGTAAGTAAACCTACATAGCAGAGAAATCGGAATAGGAAGTTCCACTCAAACAGAAGTATGTCCTGGTTATTTTTATGGGAAACGTGTCCAGGGAACAACTCTATTTCAGTGACCAGTATCACTGATGGGAACACACTGAACTGATCAACAAGATATGCACTAAATTGAGATGTCACAACATGTCTCATCTTACCCATGCAACAGATACCTCAGTTTACAGAGGTGACATGTTGGCCTGGGGATAGTGTAAGTCATGAAAAGGAAAGAATTTGTCCTCATTTCATTTTGTGGCAATCTGCCAAACAGAATATGAGCCTCAAATAAATGGTTGTCACCATCTGGGGGATATCCAAAACAGTTTTCACAGCAATCGGGTCAATTGTCAAGATTCCTTGATCTGGACTATTGACAGTCTTTACAGTCATTAGTGGGCAGAGCTTCTGGGTCTAAGAATTGAGGCCAATGCGGAGGCTAGTGTCCTTAATCTAATGTCATTTAAAGGTCCAGTGTGTAGGATTTAGTGCCATCTAGCACTGAAGTTGCATGTTGCAACTAACTGAACACTGCTTGCATCTGTATTGGACGACCTAGGCATGAGAATGGGCTGTAAAGTGTGTAGGAGAAACTACGGTGGCTGTGACACTTGAAAAATGCAAAAGGCCCTACCTATAGCCAGTCTGTCCGTTCCGGGCTACGGTAAAAGCATGGCGGATCAACATGACAGACTCCATAGAAGGCGACCCTCAGTGTCTTCAGGCTGAGAGGAGTCTTTTTTTAAAGTCTTCCTTTAACACCAGGAGGCTGTTCTCATCTGCTGAGGGGTTAAGTTTCCTTGTGGGCAAGCTCCCTAACCCGAGCAAATCAGTTCCACTCTATCTGAATTCCACACACAAGACAGGACATGCTGCTTATGCCAACCTGAACAGCTCTGTGTGGCACATAATTAAAATACTAAGTGTTCCAGCAGCCTCATAAATGTGTTAAATGAAATTAATTGAAAATGCCATAAGAAGGAGACGTGAACGTTAATATTTCAACTATAAAGGTAACATAATATTTAGAGGGTTTATGCCACTGAGCTGGACCACTTTACCTCCTTGGTTTGCTAACTGGCCATTTCCTCTATAAAATCAGATAAGCCATAGATGTGGTCACATCCCTGGGGAATGCAGATAGAGGAATGATGCACAAACAAGCAGACAGTGGACACAGTGAAGTCCACACACCACCGAATCCTGCTCATTGTGTGCGACTGGGACCAGTACAGTGTGTTTGTGTCCGTGCGGAGGACTAACAACAAGACAGAGCATGCCTGGTAGGTTTGCTTTGGTTAACAGGTCAGCACTTTTTAATGTTCTATTAGTCTGCACAGTGTAAGGTGGATGTATTCTCACCTGTATTGCCTGGTCTCTCTCCGTCTTAACAGAACGTAGTAAGACAGTCAACTCCTGCAGCTCTTGTTCTTTCTCCTTCAGCTCTGCTTTAGCCTGAGAGAGACCAACATAAAACCTCTATTAGTATCAACTACATCAGCCTGGGCCTTCAAACCAGTACAGAGACAGACGTGGTTCTATTTCTATCTCAGCACCCTAGACAAAGATCAATGCACTCACTGAATCATAACTGTGAGTACAGTGTCTATGGGCACTACAGCGTTTGTTCACATGCAGGAACGTATTTTCAGTCAGAAACAGTGACACTAGTAGTATATTTTCTATAGTTAAATCCAAAACTTGCAAGGAACTATGATGAGAGTAATAAACGGTATGATCCATGTGATTCAGGATATTTAAACCTAAAAGTTCAGCTGCTGCCAACTCACTCAAAAGTGTAAATGAAAAAAATCTTTTACATACAGGCTTATGTATGGGCTTTTGGCCTTTGTCTGGCAAAAAATGTGGCTAGGTGAGCTACCGGGCACCCCCTTACTGTGTGTTATTAACAATGCAACATGTTTCAGATACTGTAGATGTCCTGTCTGTCCTCAGAATCAGCAGCTGTCAGTACTTTCTCTGTTGAGCATTTGTATTTATCTCCTTACATTCACAAGTCAATAGTGAGTTATTTTCTTCTCTGTGAGATTCAGTTCCAACAAAATTAAAGGGGATTAAAACTGGATTTACAGTAGACAACAGAAATCAGTAGAAATTCTCTATAGCTGCACCTGTGGATGTGCAGATAACAACTTCACTTCTTACTACTGGATACTGTGTCAATTGTTTTACACTTGCCTGTTGTTTAGTTGGTTTTGGACTATTTAAAGTGAGAAAATTTGCTATTTTATGTTATTTACCATTAATTAGCTACAGCCAGTTATGTTGAGCAGCTCCTCTTCACTTTTAGCCGAAGTAAAGGTGCACAGTCACATCAGGATGCTTATGTAGACAACCATAAATATGTTTATCCTTCACATTTGCATATTTGCAAACTTTTCTTTTCTTGATCAGATTTCATCAGGATTAGATTTTCATTGGCTCCATTTCAAAACTGTTCCTTCAAATGCAATAGGAAGATAGGCAAACCTTGCAAACACACTAGAATGACACACAAACAGCGACTCCATCGAGGTATCCGTATAGGTTTTATGAAAATCAGTTGCTGAAGTCTCAATGTTTATCTTTTTCAATACAAAGCAGCATTCACATTTAAAAACCTACAGTAGGCAAACCCTTCAATGAATGTGCGGCAGTAAATCCACATGCATTGTGCAGGGGGGGTTGTGTGATGTATGAGAGGCTGACCTGGTCTCTAGCATTGCTCAGGTCTTGTATTAGCTGCTCATTAGCAAGGTAGAGTTCAGCCTTCAGGTCCTCACAGCGTCTCTGCCACTCCAGTTCCACCTGGACTCTCTTCTGCTCTAAGGCCCTCTCTCTCTTCAGACCAGCACTCAGCTGCTGCTTGTACCTGACAACACACATAGAGGACATTTCATAAATCATAGCAACGACTCAGACTAGGTCATATAATTCATGTCTTTAAAGCTACATAATCATCATAATGCTTACCCCCCTCTTCACCGTAACCTCTGTGTTCTCCTGAGGATAAAGGTACTAAATCACTGTGTTTTACCCATCCTTTCCTCCATCTCTTTCTTCTTCATTTCTTAATATCTACCACAATATTCCTGCTGTCTTCTTACCCCTCCATCTCCTCCTTGATCCTGTCCAGCTCAGTCTTAAGTTTGGTTTCTCTCTCCTGCAGGGTAATGACCTCTGTATCCTTGACAACCATCTCACTGGAGACCTGACTGATGTACTTGTCCCATCCAGTCCGGGTGGTTTCTACCTCTGTGTGAAGCCTTTGAAACACGCACACACACATGCATGCACACACACAGGATCAACTGGTCACTGGTTACATCAGCACAGGTCATAGATGCTGGTGTCTGTACACATTAAATTAGCAGCCACATACATTACACACACTGTATATAAAATACACACAGAATCATACCATCTAAAGCTCCACAGATATCAGGTTTGTTAATGCCAATATGATGATTTTTGGCTTTTTTGTGGGATCTTTTTTTCATGAGTGTCTGTCTCACCTCTGGATTGTCTTATCTTTCTGTTCCATGGCATCCTGCTGGGTTCTCTGTGAACAGTGTACTTGTGCAGCCAGAACTTCCATATCCTCCTGTAGTTTGACAATGCGTTTCTTAGCCTTCTGCAGCTCCTCTGTGTGGGCCTGACACCGAACCTCCAGCTGCGCATCACGCTCCTTCAGAGCCTGCACCACAGCCTCATATCTTAACAGAAATAGACGGACAAGACATTAGGGGACATTTAGAGGACTTATGCTCAGCTTCATGCACAGCTGACTTGACTTTAATGCCCAAGGTGACAAGAATGAACAGTTATTACCCCTACAGCTGAATGAAAGGTTGCTGAACGACTTAAGCCTTTCAATTTATGTTGGGCCACCACAGATTTCATAAAATTAAATAGGTTACCATTGACATTTGCTGATGTTCTAGTCTGATATTTTATTTTTTTCTATATCTCTACCAAATCCATCACCCCGGCCACCCACTCCACTGTCTCCAATTGCCTCACCGACATCAAATCCTGGATGCATTCCAACTTCCTCAAACTCAACTGTGACAAATCAGACCTTATCATTATCGGCCCCAAATCCCTCACCAAAACCACAGACAGTTTCCACCTCACCACTGACAACTCCACCCTGTCTCCATCCCCCCACAGTCGCAACCTCGGAGTCATCTTTTACAATAACCTCTCCTTTGAACATCACATAAACCAAATCACCAGAACTGCCTTCTTTCATCTCAAGAACATTGCCCGTATTCGCCCATCACTCTCCTTCTCTGCTGCTGAAACCCTCATTCACGCCTTCATCACCTCCAGAATCGACTACTGCAACAGCATCCTCTATGGCACACCATCCAAAAATAAGCTACAGTACATCCAAAACGCTGCACGTATGCTCACCAACACCCGCACCCGTGATCACATCACTCCCGTCCTCCAGAACCTCCACTGGCTCCCTGTTCCACAGCGCATTCAGTTCAAAATCCTCCTCCTTACACACAAAGCCCTCCATAACCAGGCTCCTTCCTACCTCACTGACCTGCTCCATCGCCACAACCCATCCCGCAGCCTCCGCTCATCTGACGCAAACCTTCTGACTCCTCCACCCCGGACCAAGCACCGAACCTGGGGCGACAGAGCGTTCTCTGTAGCTGCCCCCTCCCTCTGGAACTCTCTCCCCAAACACATCCGTGACTGTACCGACCCTCCAACATTCAAATCACTGACAAAAACACACCTTTTTAAAATTGCTTTTAATGTTTAGCTTAGTCTGATGTGTTTTTAATGTTTTACTATTTGATGTTGTTTTGCTGCCTTTATGTTTTTATGTAAAGTGTCTTTGAGTATTTAGAAAAGCGCTTATAAATAACATTTATTATTATTATTATTTTTATTTAACCTTTATTTATCCAGATAGGTTGATTGAGCAAAAATGTGTCTTTCACGGAAACACCCTGCAACAAGTAAAAGGTCAGATAGACACATTAATAAATTAGAGATCACATGTCCGACTAAACTAATTGCATGACACCTGAGTACTTACTGAATGTAACTCCGCCTGGGTGCTCTGAGGTCTTTGCACTCACTGCCGAATCAGGAGGTAGAAACCACTTATTATAAAAGACCAGCATGCACCCGCTGCTTATCTCCCTTTTGAACTCAGCCACAGGAAAAGAACAAGAGCCAGCTAGGCCTCTAGTTAATGGGGCTACAAAAATACTCATAGAACTGGAGTTACATCCAGGAACTACGCCCTCCAACAGGCTTCGCTATTGGTTACCACTGGCGGCAAAGGCCTGAGATCCATGCATACTACAACTGAGACCCACCTGCTGGATGAAAAGGAGTTAGGGCAGTGTGTAACATTTAGGAGGATCTATTTTATATATATATATATATATATATGTACACACACTACCAGTCAAAAGTTTGGACTCACCTTCTCATTTAATGGTTTTTCTTTACTATTTACATTGTAGATTCTCACTGAAGGCATCAAAACTATGAATGAACACATTTTTTAGTTATGAATTATCTAGTAAACAAAAAAGTGTGAAATAACTCTAAATATGTTTCATATTTTAGATTCCTCAAAGTAGCCACCCTTTGCTTTGTTTACAGCACTGCAAACCCTTGGCCTTCTCTTAATGAGCTTCATGATGTAGTCACCTGAAATGGTTTTCACTTCACAGGTGTGCCTTGTCAGGGTTCAGTTGTGGAATTTCTTGCCTTCTTAATGGGGTTGGGACCATCAGTTGTGTTGTGCAGAAGTCAGGTTGGTACACAGCTGACAGCCCTATTTGACAACTGTTAGAATTCATATTATGGCAAGAACTAATCAGCTAAGTAAAGAGAAACGACAGTCCATCATTACTTTAAGAACTGAAGGTCAGTCAGTCCGGAAAATTGCAAAAACTTTGAATGTGTCCCCAAGTGCAGTTGCAAAAACCATCAAGCGCTACGACGAAAACTGGCTCACATGAGGACCGCCCCAGGAAAGGAAGACCAAGAGTCACCTCTGCTGCTGAGGATAAGTTCATGCGTATCACCAGCCTCAGAAATCACAAGTTAACAGCACCTCAGATTAGAGCCCAGATGAATGCCACACAGAGTTCTAGTAGCAGACACATCTCTACATCAACTGCTCAGAGGAGACTGCGCGAATCAGGCCTTTATGGTCAAATAGCTGCTAAAAAAACACTACTAAGGAAAAGCAACAAGCAGAAGAGATTTGTTTGGGCCAAGAAACACAAGGAATGGACATTAGACCAAATTTTAGATTGTTGGTTCCACCCGCCATGTCTTTGTGCGACGCAGAAAAGGTGAACGGATGGTCTCTACATGCATGGTTCCCACCGTGAAGCATGGATGAGGAGGTGTGATGGTGTGGGGGTGCTTTGCTGGTGACACTGTTGGGGATTTATTCAAAATTGAAGGCACACTGAACCAGCATGGCTACCACAGCATCCTGCAGCATCATGCCATCCCATCCGGTTTACGTTTAGTTGGACCATCATTTATTTTTCAACAGGACAATGACCCTAAACACACCTCCAGGCTGTGGAAGGGCTATTTGACCAAGAAGGAGAGTGATGGAGTGCTGCGCCAGATGATCTGGCCTCCACAGTCACCTGACCTTAACCCAATCGAGATGGTTTGGGATGAGATGGACCGCAGAGTGAAGGCAAAAGGGCCAACAAGTGCTCAGCATCTCTGGGAACTCCTTCAATACTGTTGGAAAAACTTCCTCATGAAGCTCATCGAGAGAATGCCAAGAGTGTGCAAAGCAGTAATCAAAGCAAAGGGTGGCTATTTTGAAGAATCTAAAATATAAAACATATTTTGAGTTATTTCACACTTTTTTGTTTACTACATAATTCCATATGTGTTCATTCATAGTTTTGATGCCTTCAGTGAGAATCTACAATGTAAATAGTCATGAAAATAAAGAAAACCATTAAATGAGAAGGTGTGTCCAAACTTTTGACTGGTAGTATATATATATATATATATATATAGTATGTTTTCATTAGTGTATAATCACCTGAAAATAAAAATCATTGTGTTTTCATTACATTAGAATAAGCTGTTTTTATCTACAGAGGGAGTGGGTCTTCTTCTGGCAGAGTCTGCCATGTTGAACCACCATGTTTCTCCAGTAGCCCTTAACAGACAAACCAACAACTGGCTAAAGATAGGGCCTTGTTTGGAACAGGAGGATGAGATGAGGGTGTTGCAATCAGCAACTACATGTCTACATGGCACTAAATCCTACATATTGGTCCTTTAAGTGGCAAGGAAACTGGACAACAATCCACCTAGGGGTCCCTCAGTCAGCTGACCTAAGAAGACAAAGATTTCCCCCAAAAATGTCCCTTGTCAAGCAGACCTGCAGAGATGAAATACATCCTGCCAGAGGCAAGGACCCAGGTTGATGGCACTGTCCTAGCACCGACTCGTGAACCCACACCCAAAGCACCGAATACATGTCCTCGGAGTGGAGGAGGTTCATGCGTTTCTGTGGAACCATTGCATTGCATTGAGACTTAAGCTGCTCAGCTGCTTCCTCTCAGCCATTAAAGCATGAGGTAGTGTGAGGTAGGGGCGAGATGACAAAGAAACCCCAGCTTGAAAACGTGCTGTGGGTAGGTCTTAGAAACAGGCGAACAAGAAACTTATAGAGGACTATTAGGAGGGACATCTCAGCAAAACCAGAGGGTGACAAATGTTTTGATGAGTGCTGTGTCTGTACAAAAGGGGGATAAGTTAAAGAGATGAGCAGCAGGTGCGCTGGTTATTATAGTATGTAGTTAGCAGTGAGTGCAAGGATCTGTCTCAAAGAATATTTTTGATCAAAGCCAGAGGGAGCCAATAGAGAGGGGCTAAAGAGCAACAGGTTTCCTACCCCTGGTAGCACGTATGAAATAGAACTAGCTGAGTTAGACACTGAAATGAAATGTCCTCACCGTGGCAGGCAGCTGTGCCACAGTTAATCACTGTCTATAAAAGGTTAAAGTCACTGCTTAGTGCTCACTAACATGCAGGAGAGAGGGAGCAGCTGTGTGCAGCTTGCACTGTCATGATGCTGGTAAGATCTGGTTTTGCGTGGAAGTGATTCATGTATTGTATTTATGCACACGTGACGAATGATGACGGAGAAATAACATTCAAACACTAATAACTACGAAGGTTTGTCCTTCTGACAAACTGACATGATTATAAATAAAAGAAATTGGGAGGTGAAATGATTGCCACACTGCTGTCACAGCGAAGTCATGCACATGCATACACATGAAAAGGTTACATATATAAATAGCCAGTACTTAAGTGCATGTAAATGCACAAAGTGACATTCTGAGTACTGATGAACTAGTTTTGTGGAGACTGTTACAAACTGTGAATCTCCTCATCTCTCAAGTAAATTTCTGATACTAAACTAACGAAATTACAGCGGATCAGCTAGGCAGTGGGATGATATATAAATTTCATGTCACAATTACCTTGGTCAAAACAATATTATCACAATAATATAAAATATACTTCATACCTTTAAAATGGCACTAAAACATACTGGAATCACTTTACCTTACACACACAACAAGCATGTTTATTGAGACTGAGATGTCTACATGACTGTGAGTCACTATGTTTGTATTACCTAATACCTATTCTGAACTTCTTAAATCTTGCCCCTGACAAATACCCCCTATATTATAATATAAAACCTAAAACTAATAAAAACTAACCTGAAACAACCAAACACAGTCTGACACTATATAAAAAATAGTGTTACATGCTTCAGAAGTTAGAAAAAGCACAAACAACCACATCAAAAACTATAAAAACATGGTGTCTGGACACAGCCTTTTTATCCCTGCTGCTATTGGTGCTTTCCTTTGTAAATTTAAAGATTTGCTTATCTCTCTCTCTCAGCCGCTGAGAGCTCCATCAGTACCTACCTATGCCGGCAGCTGGCTCTGACTGGCTGGCTGAGAGGAGGTTATTAAGGACTCACTTCTTAATGTGGTTATCCTCCTCATTCTTCAGTTTGGTTTCCATACATTTCAGCTCATCCTCAAGCTCGTTCATTCTGAGACAGAGGACAGACACAAAACCATAAACACACGTAGTGCTGGGAAATATAGCTGAAACAAGTGTCAAGATAAAAATTTTTGTTTCAGTCAACTCTGATAATTATTGCTCATTTTTAATCTATGACCTATTTATATTAAAGACCAGGTAAAAAAGGTTGAATTTAATCACTTTTCTTTTAATGCTATTGTTTTGTAATACGGTATTGTTGCTGAGTACTCTCCACCTTGGACTGGCGGTGGCCTGTTTCTTGAGATGTAACCCACGGTATCAGAAATGGGGCAGACGCACAATGTAGTCACGGTTGCCTTTTAAATGATCCTGCCGACATAATGCACCCCCGTTGGCTGCCGCTCACATTGCAATTTAACAACAAGTAGAACTATTCAGAGGTTATTGGGGCTGTCCACTTCAACTCCACATACTGTTGTGTTGATGTAGCTTATTGTCAAAACGTTCGCTTTCTTCCAAGTCGACTATTAAACTAATAGCTCCACCAAAAACGTCACCACGGTGGGTCCGTTCAACTTGTCAGTTCTCAGCTCAACGTCCTGATATCAAACATCTGGAAACATTAAAACGGTAAATATATTTGTTTGTGTCACACCGAAGTGTCACTCCTTGGGGGGGGGTTCGAATGCCCCCACTGCTAAAAAAAAAATCCTAGAGGAAACACTGTAACCCCACACAGTACAGGAGCAGACCTGCAGTCCTTGTCAGCAGTGAGGTCTTTGATCTCCTGCTCTTTGTGTTGCAGCTGGGTTTCTATCTGCTGACAGAACTCCTTAGATACTTTGAGAGCCTCTGTGGCCTGGAGCTGAGCCTGGTAGTGAACTTCAGTCTCTTTAGACAGCTGCTTCACCTGGACGGGGACACACACACACAAACACAAATGCAGCAACAAAAAATGATAAAAACATGGAGGTGTGAAGCAGTTTGTGAGATCGCAAGAGAATCCATCCATGCAGGCTTCAAGCTATGTGCCTGTGTCCAACCACAGTGGTTTACAGCAATCAGCGTCCTTTGAGGAACTACTGGCAGCTACGGCGTGATTTAATGCTAGGTGTGTGCAACGACATGCGTGAGAAGTGACTGTTGACTCTAAAACAACAATGGCGGCTGCTAAAGTGGTTAGCGTAGATGCTGCTAGCATCAATTATATTAGAATTTACTTGTGGTTCCTATAGTCTCTAAAAGTAGAACAGGAGCCAGAGCCTTCAGTTACCAAGCTCCTCTCCTGTGGAACCAGCTTCCAGTTGTGGTTCAGGAGGCAGACACCCTCACCACATTCAAGAGTAGGCTTAAGACATTCCTCTTTGATAAAGCTTATAGTTAGGGCTGGATCAGGTGAGTCCTGAACCATCCCTTAGTTATGCTGCTATAGGCATAGACTATCGGGGGATTTCCCATGATGCACTGAGCTCCTCTCATCCTCTCCGTCTCTTTCTGCACACATTTATGTCCCATTAGCATGTTACTAACTTCACTTCTTCCCCGGAGTTCATGTGCTTTCTAGTTTTGCAGGTTCTCATGGATCCTGGTGGAGCCTCCTGCCATGGTCCTGCTTGACTCCCACTGCTAATATCACTGATATTAGTGTTATTATTATTATTATTATTATTATTATTATTCAGGAGGGGAAGATGGGCAGTGACTTGGCCACCACTGCCGACCCACCATCGGGAGGGTGTTGTGGATGAGGGTCGAAACAGCCAATGAACGATGGGTACCACCTGATGACATCAACCCCTCCAGGTCAAGGCTACATTCTCTTAAGGTGAATGAAGATGAGAAGCATCTTCGGATGTATTTGTAATTGATTAATATTATTATTACTAGTTACTATTATTACTATAGTCACTGCTCATTGTCCCCCATCGTTGTTGTTGTCGTCGTCATCATCTTCTTCATGTTCATCATCATCATCAGTCACTACTATTAGTGTAGTTGTTGCCACTGCTGTTGCGGTGCACCTTTGTCGTTATCATTTTTCTCTCTCTCTTTTTCTTTCTCTCTCTTTTCTCATTAAGAGTTTGACTACGTTACATGTTTTGTTTATCTGATTGGAGTTTGGATTGAAGTTTGCCCGCGATAGATGGTGATAGACAGATGTTTCCTCCAATCAGCTGCTGAGTATTTTTTGAAAGTGCCTTCCCTTTTTTCCAGTTTCCAACTACGACTTCCCAGATGGTTCTGTGTATCTAACCACCTGGCGTAGTCAGATTACCTTTTACTCTCCTCACCTTGAGATCATGAGACAGCACCACAGCACGCATCTCATCCATTTTCAAGTTGAACTCATGTTCCTGCTGTCTAAGCTCACTGTCGAAAGCTGCCGTCATCTCCTGTTGGCCAAAAGAGTGATTAGAGATGTTGTGTTTAGAATAACATTATTACATTTATTGTGAGATGTATGCATAGCTGCTATAACTAAACAAAAACTAAAATCACTACTAGCCTCCACTTTGTATGTGTGGTGCCAATTCAAGCAGCTTGGTTGCTATACAGTGCAAACTTATATTACAGCACAAATAAAGAAGAGATCACTGCTCTCTAGTATAAACATTGTTCAGCATTTACAAAGCAATAGCAGATAGTGGATTGAGTGAAGGCTGGTGGAAATTAAGACAAACAGAGAAAGTATAAATCCTCTTCTGTCAGGAGGAATCACAATGCATAAGAAATAGTCTTACATCTGAAAAAGCAGAAAGCAGTTTATTTGTCGACAAGTAAGCTATTAAAATTTAAAAAATACTGAAAAGTAGAATGAATTTCTTTAGGGCCGAAGGATGGTGGATACGAAGTAAAGAAAGACAGAGAGTGGGGCGCCCTGTTAGCTCAGTTGGTAGAGCTGGCGACCCATATACGGGGTTGCTGCAGTGGCCCGGGTTTGAGTCCGACCTGCGGCCCTTTGCTGTGTGTCATCCCCTCTCTCTCCACCCACCCTTCCTGTCTCTCTACAGCTGTCTCTATAAAAATAAAGACAACAAAATGCAAAAAAAATAACTAAATAATAATAATAATATAATAAAAAAAAAAGAAAGACAGAGAGCAAGAGAGGAGTCAAGTCTCAATGAACACTGAAAACCTGAGATTAAGCCCAAAAGTTTTACAGTTTGACTTTGATTTGCTGACTTTAACCTCTGTAAACAGTGTCCAGATCAGAAAAGAAAAAACACTCCTCAGATTTTGAATCACTTTGTAATTATAATATTCTTCTAAAAAGACACAAGGTTTGAACCAGTAACTGAGAGTGCTCTTTTTAGTAAATATGTCCATACACATTTTCTTAAATTTTGTATCAGGTTTATATTAAGGTTGGGATGGTGGATTAATGATGAAAAAGTTTACATACCATTCCTTATTTTGTTAGACTGGCATTATATATATATATAAATATTATATATATATATTGTAATTTCTTATTTTCTACATTGATACAGCTAAAGGTCCGTTGTGTAACATTTAGGAGGATCTATGGTCAGAAATTGAATATAATATTCATAGGTATGTTTTCATTACTGTATAATCATCTGAAAATAGGAATCATTGTGTTTTTGTTACCTTATAGTAACACAATGGTTGGATGCAAGGGGTTGCAACGCTTCCCAGCATTGGACACTTGTAGTCACAAAAGGCTACATCCTCCTATAACCACGCAAACACTTCCTGCCTGCATCTGATTGGAAAAACACTTCCTGCTCCAGGATTTCAAAATGGACTAACATGACAGCCCGTTTGGAAACTTTCATTTATATTACAAAAATAGTTCACCGAAATGTTTTTCTGAAAACATTTAAGTGAGAAATATGCCATAGATATTGAGTCTGTCTTTATTTATAATGTTTTTCATACGTTTTAGAGGGGATGAGTCGTGCTGCTGGATGCCCCTGATTTGCATATAGTATATAGCAAGGGGAGGGTGATAATGAATCTTTTACACTGTTACTTGATGAGTGTCAAATACAGAAGATACCCAGAGCCAACACTAGCCTAAATGTTTCATCCTCTCATATCATTTATCACTTAGTGTTAGCACCTGCTCATTTTCCCTGACAGACTGCAGTAAGTGGGGATACAAACATACACACACACTTGGACATGCACCGTGTGCATGATAACAAAACCAGCCAATTCAGTGTAACAGACAGCAGTCAGAGTCAGAGATTGAGTGCTCTTTTGTCTGGGTTCATCCTAAAAGGTCTGCAGCTGGTCCCTTCTAAATGTTTGGCTGCTCTACCAGCCACGGGACAGCGCTAAGAGCAGGGGGTGGTAACACAAGACGTAGTACATTTTACTGTGCAGATTTGCTTTGTAGCACAGCTGCGCATATGTGTCAGTAGCTCAATGTGCTTTACACTGTGTCCTATTAATATATTCTTTATTTTGGGCGCAGCTAGCAGAGGCCATACTGGTTTTATTCACAACAGTTAACAATAGATATTTACATGTCACACATTATATAAAGACATCAGACAAAACAACTTCACACCTTCAGAGGAATAAAAGTATGTGTGTTCACCTGTCTCTGTAGGGTCAGCTCTCCTTCTAGCTCTTGTATCTTGTGCTGCAAATCCCATTTCATCCTCTCATACTCCTCCGTTTGCCTTTGAATTTCACCAGCCATGGAGCTACCATCAAGCCACATAAAAAAAAAAACACACACACACACACACACACACACACACACACACACACTCTAACAATTAGAGTACCGTACCACTGATTAAGTTAAAAAAAAGTTCAATATTAAGTAGGGATGCACCATATGGATATTTTTTCAGACGATACAATAACCCATAGTTGGGTGTCACTGAGAAGATAACTGATCATTTAAAATTTTTGTATTTTAAAAAGAAGTTCATACTAATACACCTGAGGGTAAGAAAGGCTAAGATGTATTCAATATTCCATTGCTCTGAGCTAGCCAAAACTAACAGACATCACTATTTTCTTCAAATGTTCATTTATTTTTTCGTTAAAGTTCATCAAAAAGAATATTTTGGCTTTCATAGAACATAAAGCCTATTAAATGTTTTGCATACAAATTCAAAATAAATTAAAGCTGCAAGCAGCGTTGGGCGGGACCTCGCACTCCACGCAACTCAGGGCGTGCTGCAGCCACGTCACGTGCCATTGTTACACGTGCGGACCAAAACATGAAATTTCACGTAAATCAGCTCAAAATTGCCACGCAGCGCTTACTTCCTTCTGCCAGTAGGTGGCGCTATCACTATGTCTTAATATTGTCATGTAGACAAATTCAGGGCGGGACTGATATAACACACGTGAAGTTTCATTGAGATTGGACCACGTACGCTGAAGTTATGAGGATGTGTTCAGGGCGAGACTGTTACAGTATATATGAAGTTTATTGGAGATTGGACATTGCACACTGAAGTTATGAGTGCTGTTTTATGGCGAATCGGCTGAATTCGACAAGTCGTCACTTGCACTGTCATTTCACGTAACTCAGCTCAAAATCGCCACGCAGTGCTTACCTCCTGTTGCCAGTAGGTGGCGCTATCACTATGTCTGAATGTTGTCATGTAGACATGTTCAAGGCGAGAGTGTTATCAAACACATGAAGTTTCATTGAGATTGGACCATGTACGCTGAAGTTATCAGGACGTGTTCAGGGCAAAACTGTTTCAGAATATATGAAGTTTATTGGAGATTGGACAGTGCACACTGAAGTTATGAGCACTATTTTTTGGCGAAACTGCTGAAATCGACAAGTTGTCACTGGCACGCGGTTTGATGTACATTCACAAATAGCTCAACTTTTCAATCAGTTTGTATGACCACAGAATTCAAAGTGGCCAACTTTGACCTCACGCCACAGACACGCCGTTCAACGTACAGTCTCAAATAGCACAACTTTTAATCAGCACCATTTTTTGACTGTACTGACCAATTTTGAAGTAGATCCAATAAATTCCCTAGGAGGAGTTTGTTCAAATACAAGACGAAAAATTCACCGAAAATGCACACGGAATTCAAAATGGCCAACTTTGACGGCACGCCACGCCACGAGACGCCCTTCAACGTACATGCACAAATAGCACAACTTTTATTCAGCACCATTTTTTGACTGTACTCACAAATTTTGAAGCATATCCGATAAATTCCCTAGGAGGAGTTCGTTCAAATACAACGTGAAAAGTTCGCTGAAAGTGAAAATCAAAATCAAAATGGCCGACTTCCTGTGGGGTTTCGGGTATGGGTCCAAGAGGCTTTTTTGTACGTCCTGGTATGTTACACGTGCCTACCGAGTTTCGTACATATCGGTGAAACATGGCTGTTTTTTTTTCCTGTAGGGGGCGCTACAAACACGACAAACACGATTTTTGGTATGTGAGCTTCAGGCACCAGTCTACACGTGCCCTGTGAATTTCATATTCATAACTATTACGGTCTCCGCACAGTGATTTATCATGCCATCATGCCACCAGAGCGCCACCTAGTAGCGTATTTTTTTTTGTCCTTTTCAAGGTGAGCCTCAGGGAGCCATAGGCAATCATCGTACCAAGTTTCATTTTAATCACACGTGCCGTTGCAGAGATATAAACTTCTTCATTTTAAAGAGCGCCACCTAGTGGCAATGACCTGAAATTGTGCACGATGCCTAAGAAAGTAACTATGGAACCAAGTTTGGTGACAATCGGACATAGCAATGTGGAGAAATGGTCCACTTCCTTATTTGACGAAAAATCCACAGGAAGTGTTAACCACATTATGTTTTCTCCCACACCCACCCACAGTGGAATCTAGACACGCAGATTTCAGGTGGGCGATACTCCAACATTGCACCGTTCTTTAACAATGTTCACTAGGTGGAAGGAGAAAGGTTTTTCCAAAGCCTATGGGGCCCCAATGACAAATGCACAAAAACCTTAAGTCCTCACCATCAATTGAGAAAGAACGAACAAGGTTTTATCTGAGGATGTAACAGTGGCACTGGAGTTGTTCAACATGAAATTAATAAATAATACACTGTGACTAAATTGTGAATAGTCTGGCATGACAGACAAAAGAAGTTGTGATTATTATGCTATCATTTTAAAATAAGATGACCATCAGGGGAAAATTATGTTGTTAAATAACAGAATATGTTGAAATACAAACGGTGAGAATTAACTCTTATCTTAAGTTAGCTAATGTTAGCAAAACACTAGCTAACTAGGTAGCTAGCTAATATTTTATTGATCCCTGGGGGGAAAAACACAATGTTAAAGAATAGAAATATTAATTATATTACACAATATATATAGAAATAGAAAATGTATAAAATATATATACACACATACATACATACATTCAAATATATATATACATATAAGTAAAAACTAAAAATAGAAATATAATAAGAGCCTAAGTACTTATCTTATATTAATTTAATAATACATAATGTAACTAGAAGTAGCTAGCTGACAGAGTTTCTGGCTTTTTTGCTCATCTCTTATTGGAGCACAGAGCAAAAAGGGGTGGGACTTAGGAAGGGTCAATTATATTACATATTTTCTAACTAGCGAACTACCTATAGTATTTCCAGCCAAACTTGCCTTAGATACCAAAGCATTTGTCAAACTCATGGCTTATTCCCAGGGGTTAAATAGTGATTTGTAAAGTAGGAAGATGCTACTCTCTTACAAACATCCAGCAGACCTGGGTTCACCTGACGGGAGGCCCTACTCGTGTCTGCAGCAAGCTATGCCTCCAACATTGTTTATGTTGTCTGTTTTTCACTGTCCTTCCACTGTAGGTTTCGACAAGATGGTAGCACAATAACAACAAACTTTACATTTTGTTCCTGGATTCTGTGGGTGCAGACCAAACTGTCCATATGAGCCACACCCATTTGTGTCTGGATCGATTTTGTGCCATTTAGATTTTTGTCCAAATGTTTTTTTCTGAATGGGCACGCCCCCCAACTACTGCACTAGTTGTTTAATTTAAAACAAAAAAAACACTGGATATGACTATGGCAGTAATTTGTTACTGTGTGGTGGGTTCACCCACCTTACTCTCACATTTCAATATTACAATAGTAAATTCAGAATGGGCTCACATTAATCACTGCTGTAATTGTTCTTTTGCATTTTTTGTTTCTTATTCTGAGTTTCTTCCTCCTGACTCACCGCTTGAGCTGATCCAGCTGCAGCCTGTGCTGAGCAGCACTGTGCTGACTTTTACATTGCTCCTCCTGCCTCTCCTCAGTCTCTCTGGCTCTCTGCTCCTCCAGCTTGGCAACCTGCATGTGGAGCTGGTTCAGCTCTTCCTGCCTGCAAATGACAGCGGTATTTTAGTATTAGTCGATGGAGACAGTCATTGTGTCTGCAGGGGCCATTACTGTTCTCCTTGTGCCCAGACTATGGATTTAATATAATGTATTAACAAGGTGAACTCTGGTTCCACAAAGTCACCCTGCGTCATCTTATCAGCACAGTGCTTTATTCCATGTTGAGGTGTATAAGAACAATTAATCAACTGTACTCCGTAAAATCAACAAAGGAAGAGAGGAATTAAATGATCTGTTGATTTATCCATTTGTCAGTGAACAGAAAATGTATCAAGGATCTGATAATTTATCAATAAAAAAAGATGAATGAAGTGCATTTCACATTAAACCAATGACACTTTCCAAGCAAAAAGAACAATATAAAACTTGCTGAATAAATAAAAAGCTTGTTAATAGTTACCTGCATTTCTCCATACTGAATTCACTATTTCAAACTTCTTCACACAGAACTCTCACCAACTCAGCACAACAGTTAATCTCACATCCACAATCAGAATCAGAATCAGATTTATTGCCAGGTAGGTTTTTACACATTCTAGGAATTTGTCTTGGTGCAATGGTGCTTAGAAAATATAATCACACAAAAAAATAAAAAGATAAATATATATAAATCACACAAAAATATACAAGTCACACAAAAATCACACAAGAATAAAGTACTTTTTAAAAAAATATATAGATAAATAAAGATAAGAAAGATAAGAAAATATAGGAAAACTGTACAGAAGACGGGAGTGCATTGATGTAATACTACATACTGTATATACAGGGTGGGTATGAGAGTCAGTGACAGTGGGGGGTCCGGGCCTTGTTAATAAGGCCAGCTGCAGACGGGAAGAAACTGTTTTTGTGGCGAGAGGTTTTGGTCCTGACCACAGCCTCCTGCCAGAGGGGAGAAGGTCAAAGAGTTTGTGGCCGGGGTGGGAGGGGTCAGCCACAATCTTGCCTAGTCCGACTGCTTTTCTGCCGACGGTCGGCTGTCGGGTTTGTGTGTCCTGGCCTTTATCTGTCTGAGCCCCTTCCAGACAGAACCAGAGTCATTAGCTAAGAACTGATGTTTGAGTTTCTCTGAGTACTATTGTTTAACTTCTCTCACTGCCTTCCTAAACTTGTACTTAGACTCCTTAAACTTGTCCCTGTCTCCACTCCTAAACGCTTGCTCCTTCTGCAGCCGTAACTGTCTGAGCTGTCTGATGCTATGATCTACACATCAGTCATTCTACTATAACAGAAAGAAATGTCCTTTAACAAGACTACCCTTGCTCCTAACAAGAATCCCCCTAACACAGTGACCTATGTGGAAGACTTGGAAACAACTGAATAAAGGGTATAACGTATTTTTTTTCCTAAATGGACATTATCATATGTTGATGATACATACAGGGCAGCTGTGGCTCAGAGGCAGAGCGGGTCGTTCCTTAATTGACTCCTGGTGCCACTTGTCGAAGTATCCTAACTTATGGTAGAAATATATTTTTGTATTTTGCTGCTTCCAACATCAGAGCTCACGTGCCTGAGCAGTCAAGGGACAACAACAGGCCACAAAACAAACAGACCTATTGTGTACAAACCTCAGTAATATTTTGTAATGTATGTAACGTTCAAGGCTGTTGTAAGTTCTGTGTTTTATTATTTTACTACCATTCAGATACTGAACCCCAAATTGCTCCCGATGCCGTGCATCGGTGTGTGAGTGTGTATGAATGAGTTAGTTTCTGTTCGATGGACTTTGCCATCACTGAGTGAATGTGTGTGAAAGGGTGAATGTGGCACGTAGTGTAAAAGCGCTTTGCGTGGTTGGAAGACTAGAAAGGCGCTATACAAGTACAGGTCCATTTACCATTTACCATTTACATACGTATGATTTCAGTGAATGTTTAAACATATAAATTAAGGACTATCATAGATGTATTGGCTAAATTTGATTACTATGTAAAGACAGATCTTATACAGTAGTTATACAAAATGTGGTGCTTTTATTTCTCCTGGAATATTTAGATGTGACAGCTCAATATAATGTTTGCAGTCACATGATTCCAATGATGCTCAAAATTCAGAATGAGGCAGGAAGTGAATGGCAGAATGGATGAGATTTCTTACTCATTGTGTCATCCTGTCAACGTGTGTGAAATCTGGATTCAGCCAATTCATTCTTAAAATATGGCAAAAAAACTATTTTGAGGTCATAACAGCCTTTGACCTTTGAGAACATGTCACCAATTCAGGGTCTGACCAACTGTAATCTCCCCTTCTGTTCCTGAGCGAAGGTGTTGAACAATGGGCAAAAAAGTGTTTTACCAGGACATTATGATTGACAAATACATTGCCCGACCAATTGTTAAATATGGTCATCAATTCATCAACCAGTTCATTAAGTCCAAGTGGCCCTTTGTGCCAAGATAGAAGAAATTCCCTCAAGGCATTCCTGAGATATCAAGTTCACAAGAATAGGACAGACAGACAACCCGAAAACATAATTCCTCCAGCCATAAGGCATAAAAATACAACCAATAGATTGAAAGGACACCTAACGCCACCTCTTCCTGCTATCTCAAGTAGAAAACAATCAGACTGTATGAAGCAGTTTCATGTTTTGTTGTTTGTCTTTCATTTGTGATTCTGATGAGGGGAAAATAAATGCATACACAATTTTTGTATATTTTTCTTTTTTTGATGCACTTACTCTGACACGACTCACATGACTTTTACATTATTAGATTTTTGCATTGAAAGTATTTCCTTACTTTTTATTTCAATCTAATCTAAACGTCACACAGAAACTGTACCTTCTGTGAATCTGAACTGAAGAGGCTCTGAAGAGGGATGAATTGTACCTGTGGCGCTCCGCATTTACAGCTCTGGCAGTGATGACATCGTATCTCTCCAGCTCTCTGTCTCGTTCATCCAAGATGGCGAGGTTGAACTGGAAATCCTCACTCAGTTTCTGGTAGCCATCTCTGACAAAAGAAGCATTACAAAATAATTAAACGGTTATTACTTTGCTCAGAAAGAAAGACATTTTCAAAGCAGCTGTAAATCAGGAGGCAGACTGGGTCGTCCACTGAACACAGTGTTAGCGACTCGATCCCCACCTCCTCCTGTCCACACCTCGAAGTGTCCTTGGGCAATGCACTGAACCCCAGATTGCTCCCGATGGTTGCAGCCCCTTACATAGTCACTCCCTGCCATTCGCTGTGTGTCTGTGTGTGTGAATGGGCGAATGAGAGACAAATTGTGAAGCACTTTGAATAAAAGCGCTATATATATATATATATATATATATATAAATGTCTGTGGTCATAAAGTCCTCAGAGACACTGGTGTTGCCTCCTTAGGGACATTTGCAAAAATCCTGTTTGTGAACAGCTCTGTGCTAAGCACAATCTTACCAGAGGTCCTCCACTGGAAGCTGACCCAACTGCCTATGTCCACCCCCATCTGTAAGTGGATCAACTTCTTCCTGACAGACAGGAAGTAGCAGGTGAGGCTGGGGAAAGCACTGGTGTAGAACCCTACACAGGACTGTTTTCTTAATCCCGATCCCAGTGGATTTCTAACCATTACTGCCCGATGCCTCAATGTGTGTGTCCACTCCTGCCCGCACCCACAAACACTCTGATCATTCACACCCGCCTTGATTTGCTGTTTTGTTCTGTTGTCTTTCCAATTTGATTTGCTGACATTTTTCCCTCCTTCTTGTGGGCACAAGATAAATCCCAGGACCTGCAGTTTATTTTTTGACCACCAGCTCCCACCCACAGCAAAGTCAAAACTGCTTGCACCTGTGAGATTTCCAATCCCATCGCAGTCCTCTGCACTGGTGCCCTTCCTCCTGCTCCTGAGGCCTAAAGAACCTCCGCCTCCCGGTGGTCCAAGGCTACTGTGCTAGAGGTGCAAACACAAGACAGCACAGCTAACTGAGCTAACTAGCTTAGTGTTTAACCTACTTTAGCAACAAGTAAAGCTTTCTGTCCGGTCGAGGCAGACAGCCGCCCACCTAGAGGCTGGGTCTGCTCAAAGATTCTGCCTGTTAAAAGGACGTTTTTCCTGTGGGATGGTGGGAACTGTTGTCTCTGTCTCTGTAAATAAATGTATAAAGAGTACTGCTTTATTTGAAAAGTGTCTCAATCTTCTGTTATGATTTGGTGCAATACAAATAAAACTGAACTGAGTGGAATTTTCCATTATCCATGTGAATCAGAGGGCTGAGGCAGAGCAGCCAGAAGACATCAGAGGGCAAACCAGAAAACATTTTCTCCATAAAATATGATCTAGTTTCACCAAAATCACTGACAAGTTTGACAAGTTTTTCGTGTAAACTTGTCCCAACCAGGATCCAACTTCTTGCCAAATACATAGAAGTGAAATTTAAATGTTTCCCATTTGTCTGGGGACCCCCTGGAACTCCAACCGGACCCAGGCTAAAAACCACTGTAAGGTAAAATAGTTACATAAAGTTGCTTTAAATCTGTCATACGTGCTGCTTATGAAGGAATGTATTTGTGCAAGTGGTTCTTGCATGAGTCAAATTCCTTGTACTTTGCCAATAAAGCTGATTCTGGTCTGTTTAATTAAAAATCCATGCTTTGTCAAATATTTAGTTACGACATATATTGTAGTGGTATCTTTTTAGTCCGGTATTTTTGTTTGTATTATTTGTTCAGACCGAGATATCCGTCTCTGAGATTTCTGCCTCCCACAGTACAATGGTGGTGGATAGAATTTAGTTTGCGGTGCTCACAGCATTGAAATATGACTTTTAAACATTTCAATAGCAATGTGGCTTCCAAGACACAATGTCCTGGTTACTCTTGATAATCCACAGACCTCCATTGTATTGGCCTGGAGGCAGATATCTCTGACAAAACCTGTCCAAACAAAAAAGCTATTTGAATGGTTAGATTGAGAAAATGTGTTCTTTTGTAACGTTGCTTCACATGACAAACAAAACACAATCCACCCAAAGATGGTAAAGAATCTCACACTCCACAGACATAAACCAGACACATATATACAAAATTAATCTGAAGCCTAAGAAAATAAAAAAGACATGGCAGAAGATATGTCACTGACTATTAATGGGTTGATTAAGTATTTTATTTTTCAAAAATGAGTGAATTCACTGAAAAAATAATTGACAAATGAAGTGTATGACCGTAAAAATAATCACATTTCCAGCTAAAAGCTGAGGTGCACAGTGGAAAGTTGACATTGCGGTATGAGGAGGATGTAGACGTGGTACCTGAGGGAGGAGCACTCCTCCTGGGCCTTTTTCAGGAGACTCTCCAGTTGATGAACCCTTGCAGCCAGGAGCTCCTTCCACTCCCTCTCTTTACTGGCCAGCTGGGCCTCCAGATCTCCCAGTCCACTGTCTCTGTCTGACTGCATGGTGGAACTGGAACACCACAATATAGGTTATCATACAAAGCAGTGCACAGTATTCATGCTAATAGTTAGCTTACTTCCTGTAGCAATGCTAACAATGTTTCTGTGCTATACATTTTGGAGACCCCCAGATTCCAGAAAAATCCTGTTTAGGAGTAGGAGAAACTAAAGTGGTTGCGAAACGTACAGAAAACAGCTGCCACAAGAGCTTGACTGGGTACAGTCAGATGGCTGAGAGGACTGCTCTATACGTTTGAATGGTCTTTAGGTTGCACAAAGTCTTCTTTACAAATAACTGTTATTTTATTACACAGGTTTTCAAACACAAATAGGGCTGCACAATGAATTGCAATATTATTGAAATTGCAATATACAAATCACAGGAAGCTGCAGTTTTTTTAAAGGTAAAATGTGTGGGAGGAAAAAAGCATTATAATAAACTACTGTAGTTCTGTAGAGATTCCCTGGTCTACAAATCTTGTTCCCTAGACAGGTACAAACCCCCCAAAATGTGTCATCATCATGATTTTCATAGTTTTGTCAGTGAAAATTAAATTTGTGATGCAAAGATGATCATTCCCACTAATTGTGAATCATATCATAATCGCAATATCTGTCAAACTAATGGCAATATGATGCTTTTACCATATCGTATAGCCCGACAAGAAAAGGAATATTTTGTACATGGAAAAGAAAAAACACTGCAATGGTTCAACCAGACTGACAAATGAAAGGGCAGAAAGAGACAAAGATCCCTCTGAGCAACAGTTCAATAAGAATAGAAGAAATTAGCAGTCACTGGACAAAGAAACTGGAAGTTAAGCATCAAAATCGGTGCAGATTTAAACAGGAACAAGTTCCTGTTTCAGTTCATTATAATGCCTACAACAGGCCGGAATTAAAACTTCAGAACAGAAACAGACGTTTAGTCTAGGGTTAGAACTATAGAATATCAACTGAACGTGGTATGGACTGACAAATCACATTTAAACCTGTTCAAACTGCCCACTGAGTAGGCTTTTTTTGAGTCATATCATATTGAACATGATCTAATTTGCAAATACGGACATTTTAAGGATTTTAAGGAAAACATTAAAAAAATATATACAGAGTTGGCGTAATGTTACATCTCAAAATTCCATTAATTTGTGAAGTAAACTAAATGAAATTGTTTAGATTATTATTCAAGATCTAAACTTTGAAGACCCGAACACAAGCTATATTCACAGAGCCGTCTCTGGTAAACAGCCTCGTCCTAAAACCTTCAATAACACTTTACTGACAGTTCTCAGTCAATGAAGTTGTGTCCATCTAGTGAGGGTAAATCATCTGAATTTATAGTCAATTTTCAACAAGATAAGAACGCATGCGCACAAAATAAGAAATCCTTGAGATGATTTGTCAAGGACTCCGTAGAACCGCTGGTGTAAACGGGTCCCACTTTACAAACTACTGACACAGTTCAGTTAGCTTACCGTGATACAGTAGCTTTAGCTTGCTCTCTGCCGTTACAACCGTTGGAGCTTCATTCAGTCTTCATGTGAAACGACATGTAGCGGTTCAACTAATAACGGTTTAACGCTTTAAGCAAATAATATCAACGTTAACGAGCTTATGTCGACGCTAATTCAAACTTGGCTCGTTCCTCTTTGAGGCAAACGGTTTCTATGGTAACCGAACGGCTGTGAAAGTGTCCCCCAGCTACAGTGACCGACAGACAAAGGTTCCTGGCTCTACCGCCAGTTACAATAAACATTGCTAATTTATTCAACACTGCCTACTTTGTTCTATTTTTATTAATGATAAGCTAATGAATTGCTTATAAAGATCACAATGGAAACCACCGACGCTACTGAGAGTCAGTGAATCAGACAGTTTATAGTCAGTGGGCTTACTTGAACCGAAAACCAGATTAGTTCATTTAACTCAAAAAAATTGTTGAAACTGATTACATCTGAATCTTTGGTAAAACAAATTCAGTTTTTCAGTTAGAAAAGATTCTTGATGAAGCCGCTTTTAATTGTAACATTAAGTGGAACTAACTTATAAATATTCCTGATGAATAACCTTTTACAAGGTTTTCACAGTACAAATAAAATTCCAAAATGACAATGAACAATTGGTGGGAGGTTATAGCATCATAATAGAGTGGAAATGTTGAGCAGATATTTGCCCCCACCAGGACCAATGTCATTACTTTACCTATAAACACACTGAATTAGTCGTCTGATATTAGCTTTCAGCTTGGCTTCAGCAGTGTTGCTTCTGTGCCAGGAGAGGTAGCCCACAGCTGTTCCAAAGGATCCATGGATTATTTCATTTTGTAAGTTTTTTCTCTTTATATGTAACCTATCTTCAGTTCGTGGGTAGGGGTGTATCTAAGAAATATTCATGGGGTGGCCAGAGGTGGCAGAAATATATGCTGATTTAATCTCTGAGTTTAATCAGTTTATTTCAAGGTAACAAAAACACAATGATTCTTATTTTCAGGTGATTACACACATACCTATGAATATTGTATTGTATTTCTGACAATGTCCTAAATCCTAAATGTTACACACTGGACCTTTAAGTAAAAGATATAACGTTTCATATTATGCACAGGTATGTTTTGTTATTTTGAGTAATGTGTATACCGTGAATAAAATAAAATAATAAATGAATTGTATGTAGCAGCTTTTGAATGTTTGTTGCCAATTGATCAAACCAGATGGCAAAATGCAAATAAATAAATTAGAGAGTGTCAGTCATTCTACAGAAGCGTATTACATTCACTTGAATATTTCTTTTTTGGTTTGTTTTTTGGAGTAATTATTTCTGTTTTTCTGAGTAATTTATTTATTGGTTTGTTTTTCGTTTTTTTTTGGGGGGGGGATTACGAGAAAAAAGTCGTAATGTTACGAGAATAAAGTCGTAATCATACGAGAATAATGTAATCGTTTTAATGAGAAAAAAGCTTCGATAGAGTTATCAAGATCAACCAATCAGCAGCCTCAGCCTGAGCCCAGCAGCCACTGTTTGTCTCAGCCGTACCGTACAGTCAACAGGTAAACTAACGGATTGATCATATCGTCGTTAAACAGTTTCGCTGGCTGAGCCAACAGGCTGACAGTTCTCATAAAATTACTACTTTATTCTCGTAGTTCTAATATTATGATTTATCTGATATATTATATTATGATTAGTCTGGCCCTGATACTCCGTCGAGCTTCCGTACAATACGCTTCTGTATCATTCAGATGTTTCATTAAGCACGAGGAGGTGGGGGTGAGCGGTGAGGCGGAGTTTTAGAGAACGCGCGCCGTCAGATAAAGGAAGCGCGCACACGCGGATTATGTAGAAGCGCTCGCGAAGGGAAGGAGGGAAGTCCGCATCTCAGCAGGTAGCGTGTCTTTACTCTTTCTCTTTTTAACCTGTGTTTCTTTTATAACGTGTGTCTGTGTTACTGCCTTCCTGGAAATACTCTATGTCCCCTTTAATGCGGTACAGCCGGTTGTACAGTAACAGGTAGCCATTTGGCTGTGGGCCTATTCAAAGCAGCCAAATAAAGATGAACAGCATATATTTCTGTGAAAACTCTATTAGAGATGCTTCAGGCTCTGTTGGTTCTTCAGACTGACTGTGCTCGGTCTAATGGGAGCTCGGTCTGCGGGGATCCACATCACAGACCCACGCCTCGGTCCTCACGTACGCCACCAGGGTTGTCCGCACCGCATCTGTCTGTCGCACTCATACCATAGAGTGAGCTCCCATCATGTAGGAAGAGGACCCTGTGTAAAAAGAGGATAGAAAGCGGGTGAAATAGGAAGCTCACTCACTTCAGTACTGGATTTAAACGTGAAACCGTGAACGTTTCACAAACTGTTGCGTGGCTGTGACACTGGACTAATTATGAAGCAAAAAACTAAAACGGAAACAGTCGTGTGAAGTCGTATTTTGTCTTCCAACAACAAACTGGGGCCACACAAACAAACAAACAAACAAACAAACAAACTTAAGTTGCGGGAGTAGGTGTGATTTCACAGAGGACGTTACACGGTCGCTTCCTGCTCCGCGGGGTGATGAAGAGCGCGTGTGATGCAACGCGCTGTCAAACTTCGTAGTAATGGAAGTGACGCATTAGTAGTAGTCAGCTGCCTACGTGCTGTCGGCTGCATCCCACGAGCCTGATGATGTCAGGGCTCTCTACATCATCGTCCTCGGTTCGGTACTGTCTGCTGAGAATACCTGTGTCTCAGCGGGGGGGACACAGGAGACCCCCCCCGCTGTCAGTGTGAGGACGCACTGTAAAAAATGATGGGTAAAATGGTTACATCTTTGACACTGATTTGAAACCAGTGTCTTGGTGAGGAAGTGCTCAAGTAGCTAATCTTAGTGTCTTACAGTACAGTGGCTCAGTGGTTCTGGGTTCGATTCCCAGCAGGACTTTTCTTTATCAATTCCATATACTTTTTTGAGAAAATGAATTAGGTAATGAGAAAAGTAAATACATTTTTTTGTACACTTTTATAGGGGCAAATGTTAGTGAAGCTGCATTGCTTAAAACAAGCAGGTAAATACAATCAGGTGGAATGAATGAATGAATTGAGAGATCTTATGGGGAGAAACTGCTCCAACCAGGTCAGCCTTACCAAAGTGAACCGAGACAGGTCAGTCATGCCAAGAGTAGGTTCAAACGATGAATCACTGCCTGACAACTCACAGACATGTGGGAAATTGTACAGACAACTTGTATAGTCCAGTGTTGCAGTGTCGACTTCACTTTGGTTAGTTGAGCCACACCATATATTCCCATTTTAAGTTATGGTCACCATTAAACCTCCACTATTAACTTAAGAGATAATAACCCACAACATGTGTATGATGTGTGATCAGTAATCTTTAAACCTCCAATAACTTTTTGGACTCTTTTTGGGGGCAGCAAAAAGTTTTGAATGCTAAAGTGGATATAGGTAATGGTTTGGATTACAGTCCACCAATTTACAGTGTCATTTGATATATTCAAATATGGTGTATGTTGTAAAGTTGACCTACAGTACTATTAATAATCAGTAATCATTCATTTTGTTCACCTGATGAATTTAAGTCTGATCTGATAATTCACATTTTATATCATTTAGGGCTGCAACTATTTTATTGTTTTCATTATTAATCAGTCAATCATTTTCTCGATTAATCCATTAGTTGTTTGGTCCACACTGTAAAACCAGATAAGTTCATTTAACTAAAACAATTGTTGAAGCTGATTACATACTTTTTTTTCAGTAAAACTAACTAAGTTTTGTAAAGTAAAAAAAACCATTCTTGATCAGGTAGCTTTAGTAACTTTAAATGACAACAATTTTGTAATTTTATTTTTATTGTGAAAACAGATTAATAATTAATAGAGCTGTCAGTTAAACGCGTCATAAACGGCGTTAATGCAAACCCATTTTAACGGCGTCAATTTTCTTGTCGCGAGATTAACATTCTTTATGGCCTAGCACACTTTGTAGTTTTTTTCACATGCTGTTGCAACAACTAGTAACGTTAGAAAAACTACAACACCACACCGGATCTAGCTAGACCGGAAACAAAACAACAGGCACGCCGCACACACTTGTTTAAGAGTAGTAGACGTTACGTTTTGAGTGGATGGCGAGTGCGAGACGCCGAAATGGATGCCAATAATATTCTGAATGGAAAGTTTACTTTTGAAAAGTTGCCAAATGGTTCCATTGACAAGACCAAAGTGATCTGTGTGTTTTGTCGTTGTGAACTGAGCTATCATCGCAGCACGTCCCGTCTGAAATACCACTTGATGGCCGAGCACACAGCTGATGAGAATTCTCCACCCATCGTCAAAGCCAGGCGACAATGGATGATGTTAGTGTGAAATTGAACACTACAGTATATGCCAATGTTGTTTTCAATAAAAACAACATTTTCACAAAGCAAGCCGATCCACTTTTCCATGTTGATAAGAGCACTAAAATGAGAAAAAATAATGTGACAAAAAGAAATCAAGGGACATTTAGAATAGATAAAAATGTGCGATTAATTGCCATTAATTGTGAGTTAACTATGACATTAATGCAATTAATCGCGATTAAATATTTTAATCATTTGACAGCACTAATAATTAATTAAGTTATTAATCAGGAATGTATTAACCTACAAAACTAAGTTGCCACTTAAAATTACGTTAGTAATTAAGTAAAAGCTGCTCAATCAAGAATCTTTTTTAACCAAAAACATTGAGTTTAGTGAGTATAACTTAAAAATTCTGATGTAATCAGTTTTAACAATTTTCTGGAGTTAAATGAACTTGGTTTTACAGTGCAGAAAGTAAAAAATGTTGGTCAGTATCTCACAAAGCTCAAGGGGACTTGTTTGGTCCACAGCCCAAAGATATTAACTTTACTGTCATAGATAAGTAAAGAAAGCAGAAAATATTCACATTTGAGAAGCTGAAACCAGAGAATTTAGACTTTTTTTTCTTTTAAAGTGACTCAAAACAATTAGTTGATTATAACAATAGTTGGCGAGTAATTTAAAAGCTGACAATCAATCGTCTAATTGTTCTCTCTATGGCCTCCTCTAGCTGTTAAAGAGAAACTTGTATTTTAGAATATGAGATTCTCCCCTTTGATTCAACTATAACAGTTTGCGGTGTTGGTGAGTTGGAAGTTGTCCAGGGTTCTTGGTGTGGCCTACTGATTATTCAGGGCACATGCTCAGTGGTAGGGAGAGCAAGGTCACCCTCCCAGTCTCAACAACAACAAAATGGATAAATGTATTATAAATATTAGTTTAGATGTCGTTATAGAAATAAGAAAGACGCTCAGAAATGATGGTATAACCAGCTGGGAGAAGATTGTTTCTGTTTTACTCTGTGTGTGTGTGTGTGTGTGTGTGTGTGTGTGTGTGTGTGTGTCTCACACATGCACACAATGCAGGATAGCGTCCAAGTGCCTTTCATCTGCATATCAGGGATGAGAAATGATCCCTGTGTGATAGCTAGTGTGTGTGTGCATGCGGAATGTAAGGGTCTTATTTTAGTATGGGTGGTCATGGAAGGTGTGAATGATGTGGGTGGGCCTGGGGGTGCCATACTAATGTCACTGGGCCACTGTGTCTGTAGAGGTGCATTTGCAGTATGTTTACTTGGCAGTAACCCCCAGGTTGGTTGCTCATTCAGGTAAACCCAGTTGGTTGGCTTTGAACTATGGGAACTAGAGGATGCCCCCTCTGTTAAGCTTCTCTCTGACGGGTGCAAAGAAGTCAGACAGAGGTCACAGAGGTCACAGAGGTCACAGAGGTCACACACCTCGACAGGCCAACAGCAGGACTGCAGAGGGAACGGGTGCAGTATGAAAGGTCAACTAGGGAGAATTCTGTGTAACTGTTTCTCAATACCATTATGAAACATCCTGATAGACTGATGTCACAAATGAGTGCAATGAAGAAGCTCAGAAATCTACGAGGAAATACGTTAGACGCCACCACCTATGTTCCAAATGTGCTCATTTCATTTCCTTTCAAACTGGATGTTATTTAACTATTCATCATATAAAAGTGGATTTTATAATAGATGTTACAATATTTTCATACAGTTGAACTGTTAATGTCTAGTTTGGTTTGGTCAAGTTTATACAGCAACCACATGGAGCGTTCCAACCATTTATTCATTGCTTTAAGCTAATTATGTAAGTAAGTAAGTAAGGCTTTATTTATATAGCACCTTTTTGACACAGAGATCCAAAGGGCTTTACAAACAACAAATATCCATATGGGTATAACCATACCCAATCACACATACATAGGGAGCATGTAAATACAAACAAAAGGAAGATAAAACAAGAGGGAAGGATAAATTAAAAGAGAGACGACAGATGAGAAACAAACAAGGAGATCGATAAAAAGCCTTGCCTGTAGAGGAGGGTTTTGAGGATCTGCTTAAAACAGTGCACAGATTCAGTGAATCTGAGTGAATGGGGAAGACTATTCCACAATGTTGGGGCTGAAACAGCAAAGGCACGGCCACCTTTAGTTTTACAGTTAGAGCGGGGAATGGATAAAAGGCCGAGATTTGAGGAGCGGAGTGGCCGAGGAGTGGAATGAGGAACAAGGAAGATCTGAAATGTAACTGGGGGCAAGGTCATGAAGTGCCTTATATGTAATCAGTAAGATCTTATAATTGATTCTGAATTTTTGACTGAGCTTGACTGAGGCACGTGTAGAGGGAGCTACAGTAATCTAGACAGGACAAAATGAAGGCGTGAATGAATTGTTCAAGATCATTTGTATTTACCACAGTCCCTGTAACATTACAACATTACAGCCCTCAGCCCTCCGCACTGCTGTTTAAACACAAATATCAATACAGTGTTTTTTCTTACATCCGTAATATGTATAACACATCTATAATATATGAACGATAACTCTGCTTTATATATATCATAAATATAGCATGGATGGTCTATTATCTATTATTTAAGGAAATGATCACATACACACATCATATTTCTTGTTTTTCAAAAGTAATATAATTATTTTACTTATTACTCCCTGCCAAAAGTAATCAGTTACTCTGCTAGTTATATTACTTTTCTGCTACTCCCCACAAAATTGGTAATTGTGTCCTTTCTCCCCCCCAAAATATTTTTTTTATGATGACTAATGATTAATGATGATCCAGTTTTGTTTGTTAAAATAAATTTAAGTAAAATTTTCAGCAATATTATCGCTGAAATGTATTAGTAACACTACTAGTGACTGGGGAAAATAATGAATTACTGTAATGTTATTACTAGTAATGAGTTACTGCCCAACACTGATCATGACACAGGGGGGCTTCCTTCCACTTTTATAGAATGTGCTAAAAGGGAAGCAAAGGAAAGGGTGTTACACTACACCAGCTAAGAACAGTATTCATGGGATATACTCTCACACAATCTTGTACCCAGACTGATTTAGTAAAAAATAATAATTCATTTTATAAGATAAGAAAATAATATACTGAACTTATGTTAACAGTGATTATAGTAATATTATATGATATAATATAGCACAGAAAATAAAGTGCATTACTTCAAAAAAGCTCTTAAATGAACACAAAAGAAGAAAACATTTTCCATTTTACAACACACTTTGAACACTAGATTGTGAAAGAATTGTACAAGCATGACTGCAATGTATGAGAGATGTGTGTGTTATACTGGAGTACACAGCACAGATAAAAGGCTGTGCAGGAAATATGAGGATGTGTCTGCATGTGTGTGTGTGTGTGTGTGTCTGTGCATGTCTTCTGGCAGAGAAGGAAGCTTTATCTGTCGTGACAAGCTGTTAACATTAAATCAACCCTAGCAAATACCATGTTCTCATATTTACACCGTTCTCTTCAACCAACACACACGCTGTCCTACACGCAGCCTTGAAAGTGCACGTCCTGTAATTAAAAAAAGACTATATCTTATCAAATACAGGCCTCGTGTATCAATTTGGGGGTCCTTGACACCTAAAAGGCTGAAATGCTCTAGGACATGACTACACATTTTATAAAATAATTCACAAAATCAACATGAAAGCCAGAGTGACAGCACAGGCTACAGCCCTGCACAGTTAAAGGATAAGTCTCTGTTTCTTTACCATTGTGTTTACAGCCACTGACCTGAACACAGCAGTCAGAGAGCATCATGGGAGGAGCAGTGGTGGACGACGGGCCCACTGGGGTGAAGGCACCAGACGGCGGCTGGGGCTGGGCGGTATTGGCCGGCGGCTTTGTCATCACTGGCTTCTCCTACGCTTTCCCCAAGGCCGTCAGCGTCTTCTTCAAGGAGCTGATCCGAGAGTTTGATGTCGGCTACAGCGACACCGCCTGGATCTCGTCCATACTGCTGGCCATGCTGTACGGCACAGGTACGCGAGGGTAACACACACGTCTGATAGTGAACCCTTTCGGGACCCGATGGCCCCTACATATGCCCCGCCTCTTTTGGAGCCTCAACTTCCTCCCTTCCTGTGCACTGATATGCTATATGCTACACTCTCTGTGTTAAAAAGACAGCCACATTTTAAAGATGGTTAAAAGACAAAAGTGACATATACAGTATAAAGCCACACGCTTAAGTTCGCTAAGGTTAACAAAATGCTAGCTAACTGGCCAGCTAACATTAGCCATCAGTTAATGTAGATTAGTTAGCTAGTTCTCTAACGTTAGCGTTCTGCTCTGTAACCAAACACAAGCGTAATACCTGATCAGCTATCTGTCCAGCTAACCATTGATTTCCATTAGCTAGTGTGTTAACAGTGTTTAGCTACCATTAGTTAACTATATATCTTGCTTTTATCTTTTCACCATTTTCAAAATGTGGTTACACAAAGCTAATCCAAATGTAAATACAGGGAAAGGAAAAAGTTGAGCGAGGTTCTGACCGAAGCTCGCTCGCCTGTAATGGGAGCACGGAGCAGGAAGGGACTTTGTAATGGTGGATTTATCCTTAGCAGTAAAACATATTTAAAATACTTTATTTATTGTGTGGTATTTTTTCTGTGCATTTGAGTGAAGTCAGATAACAGAAATTATACACATAGACAGTCGAGACATCCTAGAAAGTTAGGACTATTGGAATGGAAGGGAGATCTGGATGGGTTACCTGTTAGCAACACAATGCTAAATGTCACACTCCACATGTGTATATTGTGTTCTTACTGATTGTGTTTTGTTAGGTCCTCTGTGCAGCGTGTTGGTGAACAGGTTTGGCTGTCGACCAGTGATGATGGTCGGAGGGCTCTTTGCTTCACTGGGAATGGTTCTGGCCTCCTTTGCCACCAGCATCATACACATCTACCTCTGCACTGGAGTTATAACAGGTAGAGTTACAACATACATAAACATAGGAACAACACAAACAAGGACGCAGAAAGGTACATGCATCCATTCTGTTGGGTCTGGTAACTAGCTACTTCTTTTTAATCTTTTTTAGAATACACAGCATCAATATTGATGAGACAGAACACAAAGGGTCGAGGAAATCTACCTTAACTGTTCCTGTGATTCAGTGATCATTAACATATTTTAGGTGTACACCATGGTAACTATAATGTTATGGTAAAATCTGATTTATATAGATCAGAGTCATCTACTTGACACCCTGTTACCATGGTGTGGAGTCATAGATAATAAATAGTGGACGGAGCTTCTGAGTCTGTGAAGTGTCTTAAAGCTGCATTCTTTCAAATGGCCAGCGTGGGGCAATGCCACCGGTTTCAAAAAGAGGTCAAATTATAGTGATTCTAATGAGAAAATGAGCCTGCTTCTCACTTGATGTATGAGCTCAGTAAACAGTTTCCTGATGGGTTTCTGGTCTCAATCTCTAGTTTCAGTCTTCTTCCATGCAGAATGATGTTCATTTAGTAACTGATGGTCCCATTTAGAGTAAAACAGACCATAAAGCAGGGTATGCTTTAGGGTGTGGCTACCATGTTATTGATAGGTCAAACTCAGAACAAACTGTCACTGTCGTGAGGAACAACGGTGAAGATAATGGCACCAATGATGAAACTGAAGCTGAGAAATGTTGAAGCAAAGCCAGAATTATGATAAATCTGATTGTGTTGTAACAGTTACAACATGTTGTAACTCTTTCAACATGGTAGCAGAAGTCTGAGGTACTGCTCACTAACTGCTGGAATCACAAAAAATGATTTCTGTAACATTGCCTCTGTGTCTGTCTGTCCCTCCTCAGGTCTCGGCCTGGCGTTGAACTTCCAGCCGTCTCTGATAATGCTGAATCGCTACTTCAGCGAGAAACGTCCTCTGGCCAACGGCTTGGCGGCAGCGGGCAGTCCTGTGGCACTCTGCTGTCTCTCCCCACTGGGACAGATTCTCCAGCACCATTATGGCTGGAGAGGGGGGTTCCTCATCCTGGGGGGGCTGCTGCTCAACTGCTGTGCCTGCGGTGCCCTCATGAGGCCCCTGGTGCCCCCTAAGAAGCCCCAGGAGCTGGAGCTGAAGCAGTGCTCTCCCGCAGCTGCAGAGGAGGAGGAGAAGCCGAAGAAGAAACTGTTGGATTTCAGCGTGTTCAAGGACAGAGGATTTGTCATCTACACCGTCGCAGCGACTATCATGGTGCTGGGCTTGTTTGTGCCCCCTGTGTTCGTGGTCAACTACGCTAAAGCCCTCGACTACGAGGACACCAAGTCAGCATTGCTGCTCACCATCTTGGGATTTGTTGATATGTTTGCTCGGCCCCTGGCAGGACTTGTAGCAGGCACAAAATGGGTACGGCCCAGAAGTGTCTACCTGTTCAGCTTTGCCATAATCTTCAACGGGGTCACTGACCTCATAGGATCACAGGTAAGACTGCAGAAATGGGTTCGATATTTCAGGGAGAATGGAGAGGAACTGATCAGGCTAGCTTACTGTATGTCTCTGCTCTAGGCTCTTCAGATCACCTGTACATCCTCTACCTGTTGTGGTTCCAATGTTTCCTGTTTCTTTTCCTGCAGGCGAAAGACTATACAGGTCTGGTGGTCTTCTGCATCTTCTTTGGTATTTCGTATGGCATGGTGGGAGCGCTTCAGTTCGAGGTCCTCATGGCTATCGTAGGGACGGAGAAGTTCTCCAGTGCCATCGGCCTGGTGCTGCTGATGGAAGCCATGGCCGTACTAGTGGGACCTCCTGGAGCAGGTCAGAGAACAAGAGGAACGAATGGGAATCTGTCTCTTCTAACGGCACTTTGTTTTTGTTCAGATGAGATTGTGTAATGTTTCGGGCTCGTCATTTTCAGTTTTTTATAAATTTTGGACAAAAATATGCAGATGTTTTAAAAAGAGCTTTAAAGGAGCTTTCTCACCAAGATGTTTCCAAGCATCCAAAAGCTGTTGCTTTTTAAATCATTTTTTGGTATTTTATGACGATATACTGGTTGTGGAGAGATGACGACTTTGTCCTTTTAGGTAAAATAAACTATGTGCCAGTGTCCTTCTATGTAAAAACAAAAAAATACTACTAATGTCAACTTCTTTCAGTTTCTATTTTAAAACATGTCTGTGGTGCAAATCAACATGTTTATGATAGGACCTGATAACTGACTGAATGTATCATAGTGAATTGTTGGGTTGGCAGATTCTGATCCAGGAAATATCCACTGACAATTGAGTTTGGTCTGGCAGACAGGAGGTGACTAATAGAGCAAGGACAAGTTCTACCCTAGTTTCTCAGCGTTATGCTAGCTATGTGTTTACACAGAGATGCATAATTCCCACACCTAATTCAGTGAAGACCCGCCTCTATTCTGACGCATTTTTCTCTAACCGTGACCGAGACGGTGAGACACTCCTAAACCCTTAACAAACACTAGCCAATCAGAGGCAGAGTAGTGCTTATCTTTGTGGAATGTCAGCGGAGGGAAAAATCAAGCGTTAGGGAGGTGGAGGTATGCAATAACCTCATGGACAAAAATCCCAAGTGTCAGTTCTCAGCCCATTTCTGGCACTGACTGAAACCAACATAATTATTGACTCAAATTTTCACCAAAGAAAAGTTTGCTCACTAATGTCATTTTGCAGCCACTGATGCTCCTCAGTCTTCTTATTGTGTGAAGGCGTTTCACTTTATAACTCCAGCTTGATGAGCACCAGTAACAATCATGTTAATCTTCTTGTACTCTCCACCAGGTCGCCTCTTGGATTACACAAAGCAGTACATGCACGTCTTCCTGTTGGCGGGCTGCGAGGTCACACTGTCTGCCATTGTCATCGCCCTGGGCAACTTCTTTTGCATCAGCAGAAAACAGGAAGATCCGGCGGCGAAGCTCGAGATGGCTGTGAGTGATGCAGAGAGGGAGGGGCTGAACCGTGGCGTGGAGGGCGAGGAAGAAGGCGAGGAGGAGCCAAAGGGGAAAGAGAACGGAGAAGTCGGAGCTGTGGAAGTCGGGGAGGTGATGATGGTGAAGGAGGAGTGTGAACAGGAAAACACCTCACTATGAAGTTAAAGACGAGTGATGAGAAAAGACAAACTATGCACCAAGATGGGGAGACACATAAAAAGTGCGGGATATGGTCTGTGGCAAAGAGATGGAGCGTGAAGCTTTCCAGAAAAAGAGGGAACAAAGCATTACTGTAAGATATAGATAATACCTGGGTGAGATCATTTGTCTGTACTGCTGTCTACTCAGATACACGTTACATTTTAGAACAAAGACATTTCCAGTTTTTTTGTCCTGTTCTCAGCACAGTTTTTTCTAATACAGTTCCTGTTGTTGTGGTATTCTACTTTCCATTTACCTGATGATTTCAAATAAGTTGACAGAAAAAAAACTTCACTCAAGTTCCACTTACTGGCTTTTTCTGGAGCTCTCAACCACCCTGCCTTTAAGAATCTGGCCAGTCCGAGTGCAGTCAGTCCCCCTGTAAAGCGCCATGCTTAGTTCACATAACGACAACTCCATTCACTAACAAGGTCTGTGAGATGCTCTGGAAAAAGGTATCAATTGGACACAGTGTTAAGAATAAATTATCAAGAATGACTTTTCACACTCAAATAATGTACTTGTTGCACTCTTTTGCTTTATTTATTGCAAGTATTTATTGACATGACAAGTTACATTCAAAAACTTGTAAAAACTTATAAAAATGAAACGGTTGAATATTTGGGGCACTTAACATGCACCCTGGCAGCTGTATTACATACTGTAGCTGTTCACACATTGTTGAGATGTCTGTTTTGTTGTCTGATCCACGATTGCTGTGTGCTACTTTGTGAGACTTCCTCCGGTTGCTGTCTGAGACTATAACACAATGGTACAAACCTGGATTGTTAGTCTCAGTGCAGTGTACCGCTGCTGATGAATGTATGTCTGCTGTGATCTGTGTGCTCTGTGCCTTCTATGTATGTGTTCAGTGGGTGACGAACGTAGCACACACCCAGTGCACTTACACTGCTGTATTTCTGAGTGATATCTAACACAACATGGGCATGTGTTTCCCAAATAAATATTTTTTCTGTTGAGTAAAATGACATCTTTGTACCATTTAGTAAGTTATCTCAGGACACTTTTCAAATAGAGCAGGTCTAGACCGAACTCTTTAAAACATTAATTACAGAGACCCAACAGTACCACCATGAGCAAGACCTTGGAGACAAGGGCAAGGAAAAACTGCCTGTTAAAAGGCAGAAACCTAGGACAGATCCTTCGGCTCTAGGTGGGTGGTCGTCTGTCTCGACCAGTTGGGGTGAGAGAGAGACAGAGAGACAGAGAGAGAGAGAGAGAGAGAGAGAAACAGACAGACAGACAGATGCACAGCAACAACAGTAGCAACAACTACACTAATAGTAGTGACTGATGATGAACATGAAGAAGATGACGACGACGACAACGATGGGGGACAACACGCAGTGACAACAGCAACAACAGTAACCATAGCAATAATAATACTAATAATAATAATAACAATAATATCAGTGATATTAGCAATGGCAGTCAAGCAGGACCATGGCAGGAGGCTCCACCAGGATCCATGAGAACCTGCGAGACGAGAAAGCACAAGAACTCCGGGGAAGAAGTGAAGTTAGTAACATGCATTAATGGGATATGAATGAGTGCAGAAAGAGAGAGAGAGGAAGAGAGGAGCTCAGTGCACCATGGGAAATCCCCCGGTAGTAACAGGTTTACATCCACATGAAGTGTTGGGCATTGACCCCTTTTAATTGCACTGCTGCTTGAATTCCTCGGTTGATCAGTCTAATTTAGACAATAATCTGATTTGCCAGCTGTATTTTAAAGGTCCAGTGTTTAACATTTAGGATCTATTGGAAGAAATGGAATATAATATGCAGTACTATGTTTTCATCAGTGTATAATCACCTGAATATAGTTATTGTAATGTCTTTGTTACCTAAAAATGAACCGCGGGTCGCCTTCTGTGAAGTCCGCCCTGTTGAACTGCAGTGTTTCTACAGTGTTTCTACAGTAGCCCAGAATGGAAGGCAGATGTATTTATATAGCATATTTCATACCTGAGGCGCAGCATTCTCCAGCAAAAGATAAAGACAAAATTAAACAGGCAACAAAAAAATAAAACCAAGGGTCAAACCAAACACTTTTTGTAGGAAGCACGTTTCACACACATTTCACAACCATTGCAATTTCTAGACAGTTGCAATCTGAAATTACACCATTAGATGCCACTAAATCGTACACTCACGTTAAGGTCTTTATCATTTTTTGCACCCCTCACAGCTTTCCTGTAGCACCCCCTTTTGGTCACTGAGCTCAACTGATTCATTTACACAAACTATTCAGAACTACTAGAGGGTGAAAAAAAAGCAGTTTTCTGGGGCCCGTGGGGGCCAGCACTATAACATTTTATTTTAAACAAATACTTACCTTCGTTATTGAAACAAAAAAACAAACATTTTATTTATTGTTGATTTAGTGAAATGTGGCCTGTTTCATAAAAAAACCCACTCTTCTGAAAATAGTATGATCTGACCTCATAAATGTACTGATCTAACCTAACTACTCTAACTTAATGTTGGAGCGGCTTAAAGCTGCAGTCTCATTCCCAGAGCGTCAAATACGGACACCTTGGGACCTTCTTTGTTCAGGCCCGGTGGATTCTTGTGACTACCATTAGGAGCACTAGGAGGAGCCAGAGGAACCTGATTGTTTCACAGATTATCTGTCTCGTGTACTACTGTCAGGATATAGTGAAAGATTCAGTGAATATTAGTTATTTTTATATAAGTTACCTACTGCAGCTTTAAAATCAGGATGCCAGAAGAGAAAAGAGGGAGAAGAAGAAGAAGCTTTAGATACTAACTGACAATAATGTAATGACCAACTTTGCTCAGGAAGCTGCACTAAGCCAGGCTAAAGAGGCCACCAGGAGGCTAATTTCACAGCCCCGGTCATGTGTCTGAGTTTATGCAGGAGAGAGCGCAGGCATGCATGGATATGAATAAAGCAGATTTGGGCCCTCTAACCAGACCTTTTCAGGGGCCCGGTGATGTTTGTGCAGGAACAAGTAACGGCACAAAAAGGTACAAGTAATTCATTTATTTACAGTTTAAGTACACAAATACAGTGGCAAATATAAATGTGAGAAAGTAAATCTTGCTGATCCGGTTGCTTACATAATTCAATAGGTGTAGAGTGTCTGACCAAAGAGGTCATGGGTCAAAATCAAAAAACTATTTATAGCATGAGCAGCAGCAGCGAGAATTAATTACAACAGGCATGGCAGAGTTATTCATCACAGCCAGTGTCGACGAGTTGAATAGAAAAAATCCCAAAACGCTGCTGCTGGAGAAGCCTGTGAAAACATGGACAGCTTTCCACTCAACAAAGAATCCCTCCAATAATTGTTTATGTAAGAGGATTCATACAGAACGCATTTTCCATGACCACCCTGCAGTTTGTTTGCAAAATGGGTGCAGGATCACTGAACGGCTCGTATTGAGAGCAGAAGTTGTGACGGTTCAGTTCAATATCACTGCTTTCTGTTCAACTGCATGGCTCTGAAAGGGTGGGGGGGCAGAATACTACACTTATGGCAGCCCGAACTTGCAGCAGCTAGGTTCCTGGACCAAGCTAAGAAGTCTGTGAATGTTCAGACCTGTCCCTACAAGGTCAGTTTAAACAAATTGAGAAAAACATTTACACATCAATATTACAAGTAATTCACAGCTTGGAAATCATACAAATAAGAAAGAAATATGAGAATGTTTATCTGTACACAGTGAATGGACATCTGGTAAAATGTGTCAATAATATGATGCCCTTGCACCCTCATAAAGTGCACTTCCTTTTGTACGGAACATTAGAAAGAGAACAGGGCTCATTGGACAGTACACCAGAGCCTGGAGGTGAACTGACAGAACAATAACTAATGGGTGAACACACAACCTCCTGCACCCAAGATACCAAAGCATACATTTGGTACATCCCAGGGTTCAACTAGCACTCGAGCTTCTGCGCCCGACTCTGAAGGCTCGCCTCTAAAACATGCAAAGAAGTACTTTCTTTTTATTTAATACAAATGGCTATAGGGTTACTGAAGAAAGCCGTCGATGAGTGGTATTAAAAACAGGAAAAGCGGCTGGTGGGAGGAGGGAATGAAAACTTCAAAATACCAATGAAAAGCATCACACTGCCAAAATAAACCTGCCCGTACATTTATATACAATGAAGAGCTGCTGGTTCAGCTTGATACATCTTACTGCAAAAGAGAGAGAAAAGCTGTTTTATTGATCAGGCATGTAAGTAGCAGACAGTGAAAATGTAGGGTCATCAATGACAACAAGTGTCCACAGAGGAAGGAGGAGCCAGTGGCGTTGTTTCATCAGTCAGTCAGTGTCCTGGAAAAGACTGCTGGGTTGCCATGTCTGCCCTGGACTGCACTGGAAGCACTGCCCATTCAGAATCTGGTGGTGGGGCAGTGAGGAGGGTTGTGCAAACGTCTCCTGAAAAAGTGGACAGTCCTGAGGTCCAACATCCCCTAAATGTTTTGGGGTGGGGTCAGACCAACACACAAACGGGAAGAGAGTGAAAGAGATTGTACAAGATTCTGAAGGAGGCAACAGTACTGTGAGCAGTCGTTCAGAAAGCAGTTCGTGCTGAGTCAGAAGCTGGCTTCCCATGGTAGCTGTAGTAGTAATTAATGGTGGTGGTAGTATTAGTATGTCAGATTGCTTCAGGGCTTGGTCCGCCAAGGTTGCATCGTAGGGGAGGGGGGGCTCATCGAGGAGCTAGGAGATGGAGACCAGCAGGCGGTACACCGGACACCATCTAGAGGAAACGCAGGACAGGAAGCAGGAGGGTCAAAAAACAAACATCTGTTCTAAAACAACTGGACTTGCTGAGCTTTCCATGCATGCTTCCCCCTTCATACAGTCTTTAAATTCACCTACAGGCAGACGTCACCTGAAACATAACAATATCCCAATACTTTCTAGTTTGGGCGTTTTTCAACTTATTTTGGGTGACATCTTAACTGGACTGATAATTCCAGCCCATTTCATAGAAAAACACGCTTTAATACTGCTGTGATGAAGGGAACAAGCTCTCGGAAGGATCATGAGTAAAGATTGAGGAGCGTAATGATTAGCGGCAGAGCTGTGAAGCAGCTGCAGGTGCGTTAGCTGACAGCCAGTGATGGGGAAATCGCTCACACTGAGCGTGGCTAAGCTGACGCCTCACAAAAGCACAGTGGCTTCTGCAAACAACACTGACAGGTGAACAAAGGCATCTGATGAAGGTTTTTATTATGGCCATGCCTGGTTACATCCAAAATACAATAAAGTCATCCAGATGGTATAATAACACGGCTGTGAGGAAAAGTCATTGTAAGGATTATATTTCAGCTAAAAGCAATATTGACATGTTACTGGTCACTGTTATTGTTCCTCTTCTCCTATACTGGCTGTGAAGAGATCCCACTGTACAGTGACTTTAAGTAATTGAGAAAATATCCAGTCTCTTAGCTAAAGCTATCATCTCTTTTCCACTGCAGGTCTTAGCAACCCATAACCTGAACCTATAGGGTCTAGGTTCTACGTTTTGCCTCATTTTCCACAGTGTTTACAACCAGAACATTTCAGATGTACGTCACCGACAACAAGAGTGTGCAGAGTGCAGCGCACTTGTGGGACCAAAAAAGTGACACTAATATAGATTTTCAAGGACGATTGATGTCAATATTGTTGAATGAACAGAAGAAGGCTTTAAGTTAAGGGGTTGTTGAGTTCCTGTAGTGGTAAAGGCCTACATGAGGCTTCAGCAGTCTGAGCTGGACAAATCAACTAGTTATCTTTATCCTGGTGGTCCTGTGTAGGTTTACTGCCAGGTTTTTATTCTGACAACAGACCTACAGTACATGCAACAACCACGAGATATATATAGAATTTTGTACTATGAAGGCAAGGAGCAAGGACTGATTTGAGTCATTTTTGAAGACATGCTTTCAGCCACAGCAGTGAGAAAGCTGAACGCTGACTTCCAAACAAGTAGCTTCATATCATGCAAGTGTTTATTGTGAAAAAAACAAGGAGGCAGAAATCTGAAGGTGAAATAATACTACACTGCACCAAGCAAGGCTGGGGGTGGGGTGGGGGGTTGTAGGTAGGGGAAATCCTTTAGGTTGCTACAGCTGTAGGCCTGCCATCTGAAAGATGGGGC